AACGTGTATCCTCAGTCTCCCCACTCCACCACACAGTGTACAACAACACAAACGTGTATCCTCAGTCTTCCCACTCCACCACACAGTGTACAACAACACAAACGTGTACTCTCAGTCTCACCACTCCACCACAGTCTACAACAACACAAACGTGTATCCTCAGTCTCCCCACTCCACCACACAGTCTACAACAACACAAACGTGTACTCTCAGTCTCCCCACTCCACCACACAGTCTACAACACCACAAACGTGTATTCTCTGTCTCCCCTCTCCACCACACAGTCTACAACACCACAAACGTGTATCCTCAGTCTTCCCACTCCACCACACAGTGTACAACAACACAAACGTGTATCCTCAGTCTTCCCACTCCATCACACAGTCTACAACAACACAAACGTGTATCCTCAGTCTTCCCACTCCACCACACAGTCTACAACAACACAAACGTGTATCCTCAGTCTTCCCACTCCACCACACAGTGTACAACAACACAAACGTGTATCCTCAGTCTCCCCACTCCACCACACAGTGTACAACAACACAAACGTGTACTCTCAGTCTCCCCGCTCCACCACACAGTCTACAACACCACAAACGTGTATTCTCAGTCTCCCCACTCCACCACACAGTCTACAACAACACAAACGTGTATTCTCTGTCTCCCCACTCCACCACACAGTGTACAACAACACAAACGTGTACTCTCAGTCTCCCCACTCCACCATACAGTCTACAACACCACAAACGTGTATTCTCTGTCTCCCCACTCCACGTCAAGTCTACAACAACACAAACGTGTACTCTCAGTCTCCCCACTCCACCACACAGTGTACAACAACACAAACGTGTACTCTCAGTCTCCCCACTCCACCACAGTCTACAACACCACAAACGTGTATCCTCAGTCACCCCACTCCACCACACAGTCTACAACACCACAAACGTGTATCCTCAGTCTCCCCACTCCACCACACAGTCTACAACAACACAAACGTGTATCCTCAGTCTTCCCACTCCACCACACAGTCTACAACAACACAAACGTGTATCCTCAGTCTTCCCACTCCACCACACAGTGAACAACAACACAAACGTGTACTCTCAGTCTCCCCACTCCACCACAGTCTACAACAACACAAACGTGTATCCTCAGTCTCCCCACTCCACCACACAGTGTACAACAACACAAACGTGTACTCTCAGTCTCCCCACTCCACCACACAGTCTACAACACCACAAACGTGTATTCTCAGTCTCCCCACTCCACCACACAGTCTACAACAACACAAACGTGTATTCTCTGTCTCCCCACTCCACCACACAGTCTACGACACCACAAACGTGTATTCTCAGTCTCCCCACTCCACCACACAGTCTACAACAACACAAACGTGTATTCTCTGTCTCCCCACTCCACCACACAGTGTACAACAACACAAACGTGTACTGTCAGTCTCCCCACTCCACCACACAGTGTACAACAACACAAACGTGTATTCTCAGTCTCCCCACTCCACCACACAGTCTACAACAACACAAACGTGTATTCTCAGTCTCCCCACTCCACCACACAGTCTACAACAACACAAACGTGTATTCTCTGTCTCCCCACTCCACCACACAGTCTACAACAACACAAACATGTATTCTCAGTCTCCCCACTCCACCACACAGTCTACAACAACACAAACGTGTATTCTCAGTCTCCCCACTCCACCACACAGTCTACAACAACACAAACGTGTATCCTCAGTCTTCCCACTCCACCACACAGTCTACAACAACACAAACGTGTATCCTCAGTCTTCCCACTCCACCACACAGTCTACAACAACACAAACGTGTATCCTCAGTCTTCCCACTCCACCACACAGTCTACAACAACACAAACGTGTACTCTCAGTCTCCCCACTCCACCACAGTCTACAACAACACAAACGTGTATCCTCAGTCTCCCCACTCCACCACACAGTGTACAACAACACAAACGTGTACTCTCAGTCTTCCCACTCCACCACACAGTCTACAACAACACAAACGTGTACTCTCAGTCTCCCCACTCCACCACACAGTGTACAACAACACAAACGTGTACTCTCAGTCTCCCCACTCCACCACACAGTGTACAACAACACAAACGTGTACTCTCAGTCTTCCCACTCCACCACACAGTCTACAACAACACAAACGTGTACTCTCAGTCTCCCCACTCCACCACAGTCTACAACAACACAAACGTGTATCCTCAGTCTCCCCACTCCACCACACAGTCTACAACAACACAAACGTGTACTCTCAGTCTCCCCACTCCACCACACAGTCTACAACACCACAAACGTGTATTCTCTGTCTCCCCTCTCCACCACACAGTCTACAACACCACAAACGTGTATCCTCAGTCTTCCCACTCCACCACACAGTGTACAACAACACAAACGTGTATCCTCAATCTTCCCACTCCACCACACAGTCTACAACAACACAAACGTGTATCCTCAGTCTCCCCACTCCACCACACAGTGTACAACAACACAAACGTGTACTCTCAGTCTCCCCGCTCCACCACACAGTCTACAACACCACAAACGTGTATTCTCAGTCTCCCCACTCCACCACACAGTGTACAACAACACAAACGTGTATTCTCAGTCTCCCCACTCCACCACACAGTCTACAACAACACAAACATGTATTCTCAGTCTCCCCACTCCACCACAGTCTACAACAACACAAACGTGTATTCTCTGTCTCCCCACTCCACCACACAGTGTACAACAACACAAACGTGTACTCTCAGTCTCCCCATTCCACCACACAGTCTACAACACCACAAACGTGTATTCTCTGTCTCCCCACTCCACGTCAAGTCTACAACAACACAAACGTGTACTCTCAGTCTCCCCACTCCACCACACAGTGTACAACAACACAAACGGGTACTCTCAGTCTCCCCACTCCACCACAGTCTACAACACCACAAACGTGTATCCTCAGTCTCCCCACTCCACCACACAGTCTACAACAACACAAACGTGTATCCTCAGTCTCCCCACTCCACCACACAGTCTACAACAACACAAACGTGTACTCTTAGTCTCCCCACTCCACCACACAGTGTACAACAACACAAACGGGTACTCTCAGTCTCCCCACTCCACCACACAGTGTACAACAACACAAACGTGTATCCTCAGTCTTCCCACTCCACCACACAGTCTACAACAACACAAACGTGTATTCTCTGTCTCCCCACTCCACCACACAGTGTACAACACCACAAACGTGTATCCTCAGTCTCCCCACTCCACCACACAGTGTACAACAACACAAACGTGTACTCTCAGTCTCCCCACTCCACCACAGTCTACAACACCACAAACGTGTATCCTCAGTCACCCCACTCCACCACACAGTCTACAACACCACAAACGTGTATCCTCAGTCTTCCCACTCCACCACACAGTGTACAACACCACAAACGTGTATTCTCTGTCTTCCCACTCCACCACACAGTCTACAACACCACAAACGTGTATCCTCTGTCTTCCCACTCCACCACACAGTGTACAACACCACAAACGTGTATTCTCAGTCTCCCCACTCCACCACACAGTGTACAACACCACAAACGTGTATTCTCTGTCTTCCCACTCCACCACACAGTGTACAACACCACAAACGTGTATTCTCTGTCTTCCCACTCCACCACACAGTCTACAACACCACAAACGTGTATCCTCAGTCTTCCCACTCCACCACACAGTGTACAACACCACAAACGTGTATTCTCAGTCTCCCCACTCCACCACACAGTGTACAACACCACAAACGTGTATTCTCTGTCTCCCCACTCCACTACACAGTCTACAACAACACAAACGTGTACTCTCAGTCTCCCCACTCCACCACACAGTCTACAACACCACAAACGTGTATTCTCTGTCTCCCCACTCCACCACACAGTGTACAACAACACAAACGTGTATTCTCAGTCTCCCCACTCCACCACACAGTCTACAACAACACAAACGTGTATTCTCAGTCTTCCCACTCCATCACACAGTCTACAACAACACAAACGTGTATTCTCAGTCTTCCCACTCCATCACACAGTCTACAACAACACAAACGTGTATCCTCAGTCTTCCCACTCCATCACACAGTCTACAACAACACAAACATGTATTCTCAGTCTTCCCACTCCATCACACAGTCTACAACAACACAAACGTGTATCCTCAGTCTTCCCACTCCACCACACAGTCTACAACAACACAAACGCGTATTCTCAGTCTCCCCACTCCACCACACAGTCTACAACAACACAAACGTGTATCCTCAGTCTTCCCACTCCACCACACAGTCTACAACACCACAAACGTGTATTCTCTGTCTCCCCACTCCACCACACAGTGTACAACAACACAAACGTGTACTCTCAGTCTCCCCACTCCACCACACAGTGTACAACAACACAAACGTGTATTCTCTGTCTCCCCACTCCACGTCAAGTCTACAACAACACAAACGCGTACTCTCAATAGCCCACTCATCTGTTTGTAACACAAACGCCCATTTTCTTACTTTACATTAAAATACGAGCTTCTCATTGGTTAGGAGCGGGCAATTATTTTCCACGTAGTCCGCTCCTCCTGTACCCCGCTCAGAAATCAGTCGTAACACGCCTTAGGTAACTTGCTTATCTCGCATAAGTTTTGTTGAGCTGATATGAACCGAAGTTTATTCGAATGCATGGGTTAAAGGGAAATAACTCAGTTCGTTTGCGTCATCTGCTCTTTGAAATGGCTGAATCAAAGCGTCTTACTCAATGAAAAAGTTAGATAAATTCGTTGTCAGCATATCCCTCGGGGCATATGGTGTGATGTACCCATCGTGTTAGCCCACAGGGTACATCCTACCGTATGCCCCTCCAGATAGGTTGACAACTTATGTTTTCTGTGATGGTCAGTAGAAAGCACAGTCTGAACAACTCACCTTCGTGTTCTTCACCCAAGGCATCCCCTGGTACTTCCCCTGGTACGTCCCCAACGGCTTGAGCCACTGGAGCCACTGTACCTGCACCTACACCTACAACATATACACAGAGACCTGTAAGCCATTTGGAGAAGAACTCTAATAACCCATGTATTCCGCACGATCATAATGTGTTGTTTTGTAGTGCATCTACGGACAGGTTCATTACATATATGTCATTGCATACGAACAACTAGTGTAACCGTGCAAAGTAGTACATCAAGCGAATTCATACATTGAATACTTGAATAAATAAGTTCACCAATGCCGTTACTCCTGGGTGATGACGGCAGCATAATACTAGTAATCATCAACAAACTGGATTTGGTCCAAATCCACGACATTGTTATGGATGTGGCTCTGAAACCAAATCCATTTAGGTCTATTGTATCTGGCGATGTGTACCTAGCTGTTTCTGGGGGGCGGCTGCGGGACGCGTGTCTCGGAGAATGTCCTGCACTTGGCTATATTCCACCTGCAAGATAGCCAAGAGTGATGAGCAACACATTATCTATTATCTATCACATAAACCATGCCATACAATCTTCTATTTGTAACACATGCTTCCATGTGATACAATATGCTATTTCTCACATTACACGTTATCCCAGCTATCTGGTTGCCGCCGGACGTCAGACTCTGCACCTCTTCACATAAACCATGCCATTCAATCTTCTATTTGTAACACATGCTTCCATGTGATACAATATGCTATCTCATATTAAAGGTTATCCCCGTTACCTGGTTGCCGCCGGACGTCAGACTCTGCACAAGGTCCACGAAGTCCCTGCCCTGGTGCTGCACGAGGTACACACACTGGGGCGACCAGCGGGCATGCTCCACCCACGGGTTGTCACCGCTGTCCCAATTGCGAAGACCAGTTCCACAGAAAAAACACCGAACGCTGTCTCCTTGTCCTGTAATGATCACCGAAGAATGGTGCACAATGTATCTTGGTTATTCTAAGATTATTGTATTGTTATATGACGGCGGTCTGTAAACAATCGAGTCTGGACCAGACAATCCAGTGACTGACATCATGAGCATCGACCCACGCAATTGGGATACGCTGACATGCATCAACCAAGTCAGCGAGTCTGACCACCCGATCCCGTTAGTCGCCTCTTACGACAAGCATAGTCGCATCTTACGGCAAGCATGTGATTTTGAAGACCTATTCCATCCTGGCTCTTCGCGGATCGGTAACCCTAAGAACGGAATGCATAGCTGTTAGTGGAAGCAGTTTTAGTTTGAGAGTATACTTACCAGTGTGAAAGAAGCCTGCTTCTGCAAGCTGGACAGGTGTGTGACTTGTGTGGGGCCAAGACGTGAAGGACTTGACCCTGGTGGAGGTGACGGCATACGTAGGATGCTGGGGTCGGTCAGTGTTTATACCCAGGGTGCTGCCATCACGTTTTACTGTTTGGCGAGTAGGCTGTGGCGGTGATGAGTGTGTCTTGACATGGGATGGTGGCACCGCAACCGCTGGTGTAGTTGGCGTTGCTATTTGGGCTGGTGACAACGACAGTGGAACAGACGTCGCCTCCCCCGGATGTCTAGACGGTGGGGGCAAAGAAAGGAAGCCCGCGGTATTTGCAACTGTAGTTGTTTGTGGGTGCCGTGGCTGCGACTGCTGTGTCATGGGGGTGGTGTGTACAATAGCTGGAGGAATTTGTGTAGGGCGACATCCGCTGACCTGGATCAAGTAATTCTTAGCTTCTTGACTTTCTATGACTGGGATATTTTCAGCATGGCCATTGACGAACCTGCATGACGGGGCCAGTCTCCTGTGAACAACCATAGGTTCCACCCCTTGCTGCCAATCACTACACGTGCAACCGCAACTGAAGCAGACGACTTCGTCTCCCTGGTTACGGTAGTAGAATCCGGCCGCTGCTAACCTGTTGGGCCACGCGGCCGGGTTGGACCATGAGTGGAATGTCCCATACCTGACGAGTTCACTGACCATGTCTATGTTATCTACCCTAGGGGGAGCAGACACCACGGGTTTGTGTGGACCTGGCTGGATGTGATGTGTTGACGAGTGCAGCATATTGACTGTAAACCTAGGAGGTTGCACGAACCTATCAGTATGGTATTCTAACCAAAAGGGTCGTGTTTTCTTCAAAATACCTATTGCTGATTTGTAGAGACCATCGAAAAACGATTTAACTAAATCTAAAAGCATTTCTTTTCGTTTGCTTGTGCAGGATCCCGCCTCTTCTGGTGTACACCAAGTGTCATTTATCACCTGTCGAACTTCCATATATCTTACCAAGTGATCCTCATGGACATTTGGGGGAACAATTGGATGCGTTTTCGATTTAGATTTATAGCCACGACGTTCAGTCCGAGAAAAAACTACCTTGTCTGATTCACTGCCAGACAAATGAGTCCGATTCGTGCTAGGCCTTCTCCAGGTTGATGTCCTACTCACAGAGATCTTTGTCCTTGAGAGGAAGTTCGGTCTACCTACACCAAGGTCGTATTCAACTTTTTCGGATGTTTCCTCAGTTTGAAGATGGTCCTTGTCACGGACAATTACAACAATTACGCACAGGCTACCGGGCGAGCAGGTATGGAGAAGAAATAACATGATGTGATTTCAAGAATCGTTGTGTGTGATCATATCTGCTTCGTCTGTGTGGAATATCGAAGGCCTGTTGTGTGTTATCACGCTCTGCAGGATAAATAGTAGTCTGTCATACAGACCCTGAAACAAATATATCCAATACAGCCCATGCAAGTCTATAATTTTTGGCAAGTCTAGATTACTGCAGTATCAGGAATGAAGAAAATCTCTGGGCTCCTTTTTGTTATATTTTATAACTATAATTTAACAACTGATTTTTTCTGTAAATTAGGTTCTATTCAGAGACTAGATGTTAGTCTAGATAAACAGATAAACATCAGAATAAGCATACTGTACTACGGTACTTGCACTATAATATGCTACGATAAATCACTGAATAAGTCACTTGCCAGTAGTGACCTATCTCCCTTATGATTTGTTTGTTTGTTGTTTAACGCCGCACTCAAAACTATTCCAGCTATATGGCAGCGGTCTGTAAATAATCCAGTCTGGACCTAACAATCCAGTGGTTGACATCATGAGCATCGATCTACGCAATGGAGATACGATGACCTGCATCAACCAAGTCAGCGAGTCTGACCACCCGGTCCCTTCAGTCGCCTCTTACGACAAGCATGGGTTGCTAAAAACCTACCCCGAATCTTCACGGGTCCTCCCAAATGAAGGACATACGACATACTCTATACCATACGTAGGCGGGCTGCAAGATATCTCCCACTTTACCCATCATACTCACGCCTTCAGATCTAACACAACACAATGTAAGCCCTTCAAATGAGTGAGTGAATAACCGAGTTTTGCGTTTTGAACCGTATTTAAGTTATATCACGGTGTGTCAACTTGATATGGGAGGAAAGACCGAAGTGATGCAGGTTTAGATATTTTTAACTTTAGTTAAACCCAATTACACTTTACTACTTTAGCCCCCAGTGGAAACGATAGGACACAGTGAAATGTCTGATGTCACAATACACGAAATCTCCATGGTTATGAAATTTACCATTGGAAATATTTAAGGAAATATTACCAGTGGGTGTATTCCTTAAAAACACATATATTCAGTTCATAAATGATTTTTCTGTCGCTCCAAATAGATCAGAGGGCTTCCCGTTGGGCATTCTGAACAAACTGGAAAGCATCATATTTTGTAGGATATACATCGCTCAAAATAGACTGACGCGGATCTTTAAATAAACATCTTCCCGAGGCAAGGAAGTTAAAAATTAACTGACTTTAAGAGTTGAGTTTTAAGTTAACTCCCTTGCCTCGGGAAGATGATAACCAACAACAATAACAATACGATCGGAATAAAATTCTGCAAGTTTAAAAGAAATTAACAGTGGCAACTGAAAATGCAAGGGTTAATGTATGCTCTACATAAATGCCCTGATAAATAAAAATATATCTTATACTTATATTTGCCACAAAAATACCTTGTTGCGATACTTTCATTAAAGAAATATATGATTTTGTAGGTGTGACTGAAAACGATATCTAATCTCCAGATTAGCAATGGGGCGCTGGGTAGATATTCTACCCCGGGTCCACACGGGGTGTAACCGAGAGCCGCGATGGGGTCGGGAAGTCAAGCCATGACCCTACATGACGGCTCTCGGTGGTGGTACAAACAGTTTACAACATTTGTGAAGTATTGACGGTATTTCTAACCTGACCACATAACATCAGGGTAGTACTTGCAGAGTAAGTATGCAAAGATTTAACGTACATCGGCAATACTAAAGCCATATCCTAACAATGTACTTATGGACATAACACACCCCTGTTGTACAATAATAAAAGGTAAAAGTGAGGTTAGTTTTGATACTCTTACTCGGCATGGATGTTACAGTGAGATGTCACTTACTGAACAGGCGGGTGAGATGTCCTTTTCCTGCTGCAATCAATGTCTACACCACGTCAGGACTCGAATAACGCTATCATTGTTATAAATAGCAGGGGATTTCCAAGTGTTATATATAGCTCCTAATAGACTGATACCATGTCCTAGTTGCGCTGCGCAAGTTATGCTGCACAAAGTGTAGAGCTACTAGGACATGACACCAGTTATCAAGAATACACCTATAAACACTTTGCTAAATTTAGAATAGACACGCGGGGCGTCACGTGACCTCTTCCGTTATTTCTGCTTAACATCTGTCTGTCATTTCCTCCCGTAAATGTTATTTCACAATATTATTTAGCACTCTTTTCAATGGGTTGGGGTGGAGTGGGGTGTTTATTTTTTTCACCGCTGCTAACAAACTATTAATTTGGGGCATATTTATGAACAAACTATTCATTTAGAAAATTCGCTCTCTTAAGTAAATGTGAATGTATGTCTGTTTGATAGGAGTGATTGATGCCTAGTGTATCTCCCATGTTTATACATTGTTTTACCACTTGTATAAACTTGTATAAACTTGTATAAACATCGAGACTTCAAAGGCGGTCAGGTAGCCTAGTGGTTAAAGCGTTCGCTCGTCACGCAGAAGACCCGGGTTCGATTCCCGACATGGGTAGAATGTGTGAAGCCCAATTTATGGTGTCCCCCGCCGTGATATTGCTGGAGTATTGCTAAAAGCGGCGTAAAACCATACTCACTCTCTCACTCACTCACTTGACTTCGTCTCTTGAAACAGAATCAAGGCATGATTTATAAACGAAGGTAGCTGCATGTGTTCTGATACTTATAAAGTGACAGGGTATCCCGCTCATAAAGAATATTACTCGCAGTAATGACGAAAATTAAAAGTGCGTTTTTCAAGAAATATCCATTTTTGCCAGCCATAAAAATCATCATTGGTGACTGCGAACGGCGACATTTAGTAGAATGCGCAGTGTACGTACATTGCCAGCACGAACTGAAAGCAAAGCACGTGCAGATGTAGTCTTTAAATCGCTATTGACCAATGTCTCACCTCAACATCATTCGTCACCACTCGCCCCTTTCCGTAACCTGCAGCTTGTCCCGGAATAACACGAGTTGGTCACGAATGACCTCAACATAACCGCTCGCAGTCACCTGACTTTCGATTGTTATCCGGATTATAACCTCGCGATCAAAACTCAATGATGATGTGTATCGCTAAGAGAAGGGATATTTTTTTTAAAAGCGCACTTTGAATTATTGTCATTACTGTAAGTCATATTACTTTACAGTCATCTCTTTATTTGTATAAGCACATGCACGTGCAGCTGTCTTCATTTATTAAGCGTTTAGTGATTCTATTTCAAGTGGCGAGGACTAGAGATTTCTGCATACACATTGTGTATTATGAAGATATGTCACTGACAATCCTTACAGCAGTATATCATGCGGTCATCGGTGTTCCATATCCCAGGCAATATATAACTGTAGTAGGTATTCATGTATTCCTAAAGTTACAGTCTTGCTTTATGAATAGGATAAAACACGCCTTATGTTCTTATGAGATTTAAAACCCGAATCGGACGAATAAAACAGAGGGGCGTCGTCAGTCCGAGGATGAGGGTTTTCAGTCTCATGCAAACCTGAGGGGAAGTGTTTTTTCCAAAAAACAACATTCATCAACAATAATTTTTTTCAAACATAGTTTCCATGAACCTTCGGAAACGGGCGTAAAATGTCTCTAACTGACGTTCATGTGGTTGAGACAGGTTCTAACTGGCGTACATGTGGTTGAGACAGGTTCTAACTGGCGTACATGTGGTTGAGACAGGTTCTAACTGGCGTAACTGTGGTTGAGACAGGTTCTAACTGGCGTACCTGTGGTTGAGACAGGCTCTAAAACGCATGTTGGTGTAGCGCTTGAGTGAAGCACTGGGCTACAGATACGAAAGTTTCAAGTTGTATCCACTGACATAGGAAGACAGCATTTGTCATTTTATTTGACATCATTCCGCCCATTTCCTTATGTAGATGGTGTTTAAAGGCAAAATAAATCTCTAGCGAGGGACAATACAGTTACACCGGAACTGGTATATATATAAAATCACAGGGATATTATAACATCCCCGTTAATGAAATTCAACCCATTGGAGAAGAAAAGTACGACGTTATTGGAGGTTTATAAAGTTCTGTTATTGTATAAGATGTTTGGTAATTTACATATAGATACACGCGAGGGGGTAGATGTGTACTTTGAAGTATTGTTGAGATACCTTGTTCAGATGTATGTAAATGTAAGTGTTATTTATTAATGTAAGAAATGTCTTTATTTAGAAAAATTAAAGTGTAATTGTTACAGGTTGTACTTACTTATTAGATTCTGTTGTTTTTTTGCATGTTGTTATTGACATTGTTCCAGTTTGACATGGCTACACAGAATACCAATATTCTGAAAATCTGAGAACCATTTTGATATATGTCTACATATTTTACATCTATGCATGAATATTATGTACACACTTATAACGTCCATATGTACCTCTTATACCGCTGACTGTTTCAACCCTTAACCTTCATACCACTGTCAACCCACACATTCATACCACTGTCAACCCACACATTCATACCACTGTCAACCAACATCCATACCACTGTCAACCAACATCCATACCACTGTCAACCCACACATTCATACCACTGTCAACCCACACATTCATACCACTGTCAACCCACACATTCATACCACTGTCAACCCACACATTCATACCACTGTCAACCAACATCCATACCACTGTCAACCAACATCCATACCACTGTCAACCCACACATTCATACCACTGTCAACCCACACATTCATACCACTGTCAACCCTTAACCTTCATACCACTGTCAACCAACATCCATACCACTGTAAACCCACATCCATACCACTGTCAACCCACACATTCATACCACTGTCAACCCACACATTCATACCACTGTCAACCAACATCCATACCACTGTCAACCCACACATTCATACCACTGTCAACCCACACATTCATACCACTGTCAACCCACACATTCATACCACTGTCAACCGACACATTCATACCACTGTCAACCAACATCCATACCACTGTCAACCAACATCCATACCACTGTCAACCCACACATTCATACCACTGTCAACCCACACATTCATACAACTGTCAACCCTTAACCTTCATACCACTGTCAACCCACACATTCATACCACTGTCAACCCACACATTCATACCACTGTCAACCTGGTGTGTGAATAAATCCATGTGTGCTGAGATTCCTCTTGTGTATTTTATTAAGTAATTTATTATTGGAATTTTAAGGTGGGTTTGAAACTGATTACTGCCACGCAATTGCCTTGTCACAATACTTAGGCTCTAGTATCTTCCAGTGATAGTACACTGTTAGGCCCACACAACACAATAGTTACTCCTAACGTTATAATCCACGTAACTTAGACAATACACCCACAAGCAGTTAGATCCAAGGTCCATACACGATACTTGCAGTAAGTTGTTAACTCAACATCAACTTAATTTGAATTGTGTATTTTCTCGTCTGTTTTACACAATCAACTAAATGTCCTCACAGCTAAGGCAACGTTCTTTAATGTCCTCACAGCTGAGGCAACGTTCTTTAATGTCTTCACAGCTGAGGCAACGTTCTTTAATGTCCTCACAGCTGAGGCAACGTTCCTTAATGTCCTCACAGCGTGGACAACGTTCTTTAATGTCCTCACAGCATGGACAACGTTCTTTAGTGTCCTCACATCGTGGACAACGTTCTTTAATGTCCTCACAGCTGAGGCAACGTTCTTTAATGTCGTCACAGGTAAGGCAACGTTCTTTAATGTCCTCACAGCTGAGGCAACGTTCTTTAATGTCTTCACAGCGTGGACAACGTTCTTTAATGTCCTCACAGCGTGGACAACGTTCTTAAATGTCCTCACAGCTAAGGGAACGTTCTTTAGTGTCCTCACAGCGTGGACAACGTTCTTAAATGTCCTCACAGCTAAGGGAACGTTCTTTAGTGTCCTCACAGCGTGGACAACGTTCTTTAATGTCCTCACAGCTAAGGCAACGTTCTTTAATGTCCTCACAGCTAAGGCAATGTTCTTTCATGTCCTCACAGCTAAGGGAACGTTCTTAAGTGTTCTCACAGCGTGGACAACGTTCTTTAATGTCCTCACAGCTAAGGCAATGTTCTTTAATGTCCTCACAGCGTGGACAACGTTCTTTAATGTCCTCACAGCTAAGGGAACGTTCTTAAGTGTTCTCACAGCGTGGAAAACGTTCTTTAATGTCCTCACAGCTAAGGCAATGTTCTTTAATGTCCTCACAGCTAAGGGAACGTTCTTAAGTGTTCTCACAGCGTGGACAACGTTCTTTAATGTCCTCACAGCTAAGGCAACGTTCTTTAGTGTCCTCACAGCGTGGACAACGTTCTTAAATGTCCTCACAGCTAAGGGAACGTTCTTTAGTGTCCTCACAGCGTGGACAACGTTCTTTAATGTCCTCACAGCTAAGGCAACGTTCTTTAATGTCCTCACAGCTAAGGCAATGTTCTTTAATGTCCTCACAGCTAAGGGAACGTTCTTAAGTGTTCTCACAGCGTGGACAACGTTCTTTAATGTCCTCACAGCTAAGGCAATGTTCTTTAATGTCCTCACAGCGTGGACAACGTTCTTTAATGTCCTCACAGCTAAGGGAACGTTCTTAAGTGTTCTCACAGCGTGGAAAACGTTCTTTAATGTCCTCACAGCTAAGGCAATGTTCTTTAATGTCCTCACAGCTAAGGGAACGTTCTTAAGTGTTCTCACAGCGTGGACAACGTTCTTTAATGTCCTCACAGCGTGGACAACGTTCTTTAGTGTCCTCACAGCGTGGACAACGATCTTTAATGTCCTCACAGCGTGGACAACGTTCTTTAGTGTCATCACAGCGTGGACAACGTTCTTTAATGTCCTCACAGGTAAGGCAACGTTCTTTAGTGCCCTCACATCATGGACAATGTTCTTTAATGTCCTCACAGCTAAGGCAATGTTCTTTAATGTCCTCACAGCTAAGGGAACGTTCTTAAGTGTTCTCACAGCGTGGACAACGTTTTTTAATGTCCTCACAGCGTGGACAACGTTCTTTAGTGTCCTCACAGCGTGGACAACGTTCTTTAATGTCCTCGCAGCTAAGGCAACGTTCTTTAATGTCCTCACAGCGTGGACAACGTTCTTTAGTGTCCTCACAGCGTGGACAACGTTCTTTAATGTCCTCACAGGTAAGGCAACGTTCTTTAGTGTCCTCACAGCATGGACAACGTTCTTTAATGTCCTCACAGCGTGGACAACGTTCTTTAATGTCCGCACAGCTAAGGCAACGTTCTTTAGTGTCCTCACAGTGAGAGCAAAGTTCTTTAATGTCCTCACAGCTAATGCAACGTTCTTTACCCCCCCCCCCCCCAAGAATTACACGAAGTATTAAGAAGTTTTAGAAATGTCTCTCGAGGTGCAAAAACGAAATTGCGAACCATAAATGTATCTTATGAAATTTTAAAAGTTTAAGAAAATATATTTGTATATTTAAACTGTCTAGCGAAATTAAAAACGATATTGTGAATTTAAAAGAAGGTTTTGACCTGTATTGCGTGCCATAAATAAGGGAACAGTCTTAATACTGAAAAATGCCAAAGCCCTTTGGGAATAACGACCTCGTTCACTGTCTGTCAAGGGACCAGATTCGAAAAAAGCCGAAAACAGATACTTCAGTTCGACTTAAGTTTCGGAACACACTTAGGCGCTAGTGTGTAAGTCGGTACAATTAAGGGATGGTGTGTACATCGGAACACACGTAGATAACTTTGAATGAAACAAACAACTGATTCAAATTGAAAAGGAGTCCTCGTGAGATGGGAGATCCAGAACCTGTGGAAAATCTAGACTTGCTTCATTTAGGGCTTTTGCACCACAGAGCGGGCTGGGCAGAAGGTACATTATGGTTCAGAACTGACTAGTGTGTGAATCGGAAAGAATAATCCTGTCGTTTCACGGGGACAACCATTTCCTTATGACATATTGAAACGTCATGCACAATCAGTCACATATACTCAGCATGTATCATCGTCTTCGAATTGCACAGGTCGATGCTCATGTAAATCACTGGATTGACTGGTCCAGAGTCGATTATTTACAGACCGGCGTCATATAGCTGGAATATTGCTGAGTGTAGCGTTAAACGACAAACAAACAATATATTAAACAAAAACAGCACTTCTTCGAAGCGACAGTCTTGACGCTTATGCATGGGCGTGGATTTCACTGGCGCAACACTGGAGGCTGACTGGATATTACTTTATTAGTAGGGTATATTTACTTCCCCGATAGGCAGTTTGCATTGTCATCTCACGCACATCAATCGATTAAAATCAGATCTTAGTTCTCGCTACGGCTGAACAAAGATCTGAGGGAATCTCATGACAGGTCACGTCAGAACGACCTTTCGCGAACTTTGACCAACCAATGAAAGGACTAACAAGACGCTGACATTAGCACGAGTTTCAAACTGGCGACCATTCCAGACTACGCTTCAAAATATAGTTCTCAATTCCAAAACTGAAAATGTAACTAATAGATGGCCGAGATTGTATGTCTGTACTTTCCACGGCATATGGAAAGTCTCTTTCGTTTGAAATGTTTATCCTACTGAAACGAGAGATAGATGATGATTTCGACGGTATCAGTCGTTCATTCCGTAAGTGTCGTTCAGAATACCCCGTGTTAACCTTTTCGAGATTGCATGATTAGAAAACACATTCCAACTGTCACGTACCCGATCTGTTAAACGACTCTCTGATTGGTCGAATGAAAGGTCGTTCTGACGTGACCTGTAATGGGATGTCCTCAGATCTATGTGTAGCGGTAGCGGTAGATCTGATTTTAATGAGACTGACTCCCATCAAGAGACGACCATGGTGTATGTACCCGCGCTGCTGGGACTGCTGTTGACGGCCGCATCATGTAAGTTTTGTCGGCTATTCTCCAATTGGATGAGTGTGTTGATTGCAACAGTTACTGTTTTCCATTATAATAACACGGCGCAACTAATCAGGGATAGATCGCAGATTTTCTACTTTAGTGAGACGCCTGATGCTAGGGTTTTGCCATTCTCGGTGCAACGCTTGTGCCAGTTCCAGTAGATTGTCTACTGGTGGGTCCCGCTTCCGCCCTATGATCTCCGAAATGTTTCAGGCCTGACTTTTGACGGGCCAAAGGATTGTCGTGAAGGCTTTCTACCATATTCCCGAGGCAAGAGAGTTAACTGACTTTAAAAGTCCAGTTTCCACCCTTGCCGAACTGGGCTGGAATTACTGGGCTCGATCGTTGCGCCACCAGTGGCTATTACCAGTTATGTCCCTACTAAGCCTCTCCTATGGACCAATCAGATGCCACCTCTCGTATCACTTGCGTTTGCTTCACACAAAATGGTGGCGCCCGGTCAGGACGATCTGATCGATAATCAAAATCTATATTGTGATAAAACGGGTCTTACATCGCGAAATGCATCAAATCACGTTAGCACCTTGATTAAAAACATGAAAAGATTTGGAAAATATCTGCCGACAACGAGTTGCGGTGCAATGATTAGCAAATCCTGCAATCGACCGCGAAATCTGCACGACAGTTCATGAACCGGATTTCGATTTCGGTGCGCGATTTTGATTCGACTATGCAAAGAGTCGTTAGTCCAGCCAAAATGTAACTCCATAATACCAGCCTAGTTCGGCAAGGGTGGAAACTGGACATTTATAGTCAGTTAACTCTCTTGCCACGGGAAGATGGCTTTCTACTGGATTAACTCTGTTAACTGTCGAGAACTGTGTGGTCTTGCGTTGTCATCCATGTAGACGGGTCTGGTAGCCAGAGGGTGGTTACATGGGTTTGGATCCAGGATTTGACGGCGGTACCTATCACCCATGTCCAGCATGCAGTCATAGGAGAGGCAACACGCCGAACCCCATATCCTCCAAAGGGGATTATGGGACGAATGTCCATGGGTGTAGGCTGTGTTTCTTTGCACCCAGACCCGACTACACCGTCTGAGACACCGAAGAACCTGCTCTCATCCAACCAGTGCATGTTCCTCCATGTCCTCAGGTTCCAACCACGTCAAACACCATGCCAAACAATACGTCAAACACCATGCCGAACAACACACCAAACAACAGGTCAAACAACACGTCAAACACCATGCCGAACAACAAGTCAAACAACATGCCAAACAACACGTCAAACACCATGCCAAATAACACGTCAAACACCATGCCAAACATAACGTCAAACACCATGCCGAACAACACACCAAACAACACGTCAAACAACACGTCAAACACCATGCCAAAGACCACACCAAACACCATGCCGAACAACAAGTCAAACACCATGCCAAACAACACGTCAAACACCATGCCAAATAACACGTCAAACACCATGCCAAAGATAACGTCAAACACCATGCCAAACAACAAGTCAAACACCATGCCAAACAACAAGTCAAACACCATGCCGAACAACAAGTCAAACACCATGCCAAACAACACGTCAAACACCATGCCAAACAACACGTCAAACAAAAAACCGAATAAGTCAAACACCATGACAAACAACGCGTCAAACACCATGCCAAACGGACCTTGACGACCTTTTCCTCACCACTTTGCCGATGTTTATGTGTCAATCGCGAAAAGCCGTCCAATCAAATTATTGATAGAGATATCTTGTGAAAGATATATGGTGACGTCACAGATAGGTCCAGGGTCTTTGGTAATCGAGAATGGGATTTTGGGGTTTCGTTTACATGGATCAACACATGCATTATAATTTGCTGTGTATGTGGTGAGGATTGGAGTCGAGTGCGTTAATGGTTGAGTGAGTGAGTGAGTGAGTGAGTGAGTGAGTGAGTGCACGGATGAGTTGGTTCGGTTTGACAATCGTAAGACAAGCATAGTCTCCTCTTCTGCCAAGCATGGGTTGCTGGAGACTAATTCTAACCCGGATCTTCACGGGTCCAGTGATCACTCATAACGTAGTTCATAGTAACACAACTCATGCATGCGGGGAATCGAACCTTATACCTGGATCTGGAGAAAATCAGTTAGCCTAGAGGAAGTGAGTGTGGTTTAACGCATAAATCAGTCATATCACAGCGTTTCATCTTGAGGTGGGAGGACAGTTCGAAGTGATGCGGGTCTTAGACATCTAGCACTTGAATGAAACACTGTGAAAATATAATCTTCTTCATGCATATGTTGTTGAAATGCCATGTGAATCTGATCTCTTGAAGTGTCGCTGTCGTATGTATTAAAACGTAAATACACATCGGGATTGGAACGATAGGTTTTATTCGTTTTCTTATAGACAGAATCTAGTCTTTATCGACGTTCCCTTTGCGCGTGCGCTACACAGTTACGTTCGTTGAAAGGTATGTGTTAGGGCCTTTAAGCACACATGTGACTGAGTTTAAAGAAACCTAATTACTGAGGAATATGTTCTTATATAACAACTGAAGTTCAACAAACTTTGCGAAACACCTGCGCATGAGTCATTCAGCGTGACTCGGACGTTTTAAGTTTGTTCTTCAAGGAGCTCGGCTAAGTCTGACATATTTGAGAGACCGTGCACCAAGATTATACTGTACATAAAAGCCGTACATCGGGTGAGTCTACATGTCTTTTCAGTTTAACCATTAACAAACAAATTGAAAAAATTCCGAAAAAAGTAACACGTTCATTCGTTCGAGCAACACCACTTTAAGCATTTGAATAGCTGATCATCCTTATACGTGCATGTATTAGTAATTAAGGCAGGCGTTTTAATGTCAATTTACAAAAATGTAAATGTTTTATTTCGGAAATACCTTCGTATAGTTGATACCGCAAGACAGTTGTTTTGAGTTGTTGTTGCTGTTATTTCTTTCGTGTGCATGAATAAAACTCAATCTTTTCAGGGTGATTGGTAAAGAGAGACCCACCATAAGAATGTGGACAAATGATATTTGCTCATTCGATCCGATCATGGTGCACTGTTATATTCCGCAACTTTCTTCGTATTGTCATCTTCCCGAAGCAAGGGAGTTAACTGACTCTAAAAGCCCAGTTTCTACCCTTACCGAAGTCGACGGGAATTTCTGGGCTCAATCGTTGCGCAACCAGTGGCTATAACGAACTATGTCCCTCCTACTGACCAATCAGATTTTACCTCTGATATCAATTTTATTTGCTTCAAACAAAATTGCGGCGCCGAGTGAAAACGATCTGATTGATAATCAAGATCTATATTCTAATGAAACGAAGTGCATCAAATCACATGAGCACCTTCATTAAATATATGTTTTAGGCTAAGTTGCTTGTACACATACATTGCAAATCCTGCAATCGATCGAAATCTGCACGGTAGTTTACGAACCGGATGTTGATTTCGTTACGCGATTTTGATTGGACTATGCATAGACGAATTAGTCCAGCCAAAATATAACTCATAATTCCAGTCTATAGTTCGGCAAGGGTGGAAACTGGACTTTTATAATTAGTTAACTCCGTTGCCTCGGGGAGATGTCATATTGTTAGTGTGAAGTTATTCAGTCTTTGAACGGGTTTATCGCATGAATAACTGTAAAACTAAATGATAAAAGTAGTTGTGATGTCATCTCTAATATTCTTCTTTTTAACCAAACGCCCTGCAGATGTTACCGCCCAGACGGCGTGTGTGGCGGGCATGAGGTCCCTCCTCACCAACACCTCGGCCTACTGGTTTGGGACGCGGTACGAGACGGACTGCCCACCTGGCAACGTTGGCCTTTGGTGTAGAAGTAATCGTGAACCATCCAGAACCTCCCTCCTCACTCGACTGATGGGAGATGGCGCCACCGACCCCAGCGGTCTAGCCTTCGTCATCAACGTCAGGTACCCTAATACACTTCCAGGTAAGCGAGAGGCGGTGGGGTAGCCTTGTGTTTAATGCGTTCGCTCGTCAACCGGGTTCGATTCCCCACATGTGTACAATGTGTGAAGCCCATTTATGGTGTCCCCCGCCGTGATATTGCTGGAATATTACTAAAAGAACCGTAAAACCTCACTCACTCACTCCAGGTAAACGACCCTTAAACTATGATGGCGTTTTTCCTTTCATTTTACTAAGTCATGAAGATAGAAACACAATTTTGTAATTTGAATAACATATCTTGAGAAAATGATTTGTTTAAACATTTCGTCTCTACGTTATTGAATACGCCCAGCGGTGTTACGAGTTTTGAATATTTGTTGACTAAATAGAGCCTGCGGCGGCGCATTTTATAGCAAGCGCTAGTTAACAAAAGCACTTTTATTTTTTATTTATTTTTTATTTCGTGCTCCCATAGTGTTAGATCACACTACCCTTTACACATATTTGTATGTGATTTATTTTATTTTTAGTGGATGGATCTGACCGTGAGTACATCCCTCCTTCCCTACTCCTATACTCATTCATTCACATATGAGACGCCGTTTTCCTAATGTTTAGCTATTTTATTATATCATTAATTCATCAATAAATGAATTTATATCTTAACAATGTTTTAGTATCTTAAAATGTATTTTATTATATTACAAAATCAGAAGTTATTTTAAAAATAATAAAATCGATGTAGTGATGTCAATAATTCATTTTATGTTGTCTTATAGTTCACCTTCTGATAAATATGTAATATGAAATATGCAAATCATTGTGAGAGCTGACTCTCGTTACGTAATGGCTCTTTCACATTCTTTCATATGACGTTTCATATTTCATCTTTCATCATAAGAACACGCGTTTCTTTGTTGAACGCCAGGTACATACCCTGGCTGTGGGAGGATAGTGGAAGCACCTTTGAAAAGACCAGAACATTTCTGCATCAACCCCCTCTGCAACTCCGTGTATTCCCCTTTCGACCTGCGCGAGGAACCGGGAGTGACGTGGCCAGCGGAGCAGAACGCCCTCTACACTGTTATGATGTATGACCCCGGTCCGTTCTTCATGCATGCGCTCTACGTCAACGTCACCGGCGGCAGACTACAGAATGGAGACGTGGGTGACGTTTCCTCAATACCAGATCGGGGCCATGGGTGGCCCAGTCGTCTAAGGCGCTGTTCAGAGTGGCGTCCCTTTGATACGACAGAAACCTATGGTTGTGGGATCTAATCCCGGTTCGCCCCGATCATGTTTCTAGGTTTGCACCATACCCGTGCTCGTGGGTTTCACCGAAGTGGTAAACGTATGAAAGCTGCATCACTTCGGGTTTTCCTCCCACATTAAGCTGACACGCCGTGATTTAAATGGAATACTGTTAAAAGCTGCGTTAAACACAACTCAATCACTCTATACAAGATAAACTGTCAGGAAAAGAAAGTACATGTACATACACCTGAAAAATGGATTTCACCTTAAAATTCCAAACGTTATCAAAACGATACTTGGCTGACAAAAAGTTGCCGAAACACTGCAAACTAAAGGTCCATTTCTCCATTGAATAACCATTTCTTGTTTGTTTCATATCTAGTCACCATCAAACATGGGGTATACTTTCTGTGCCCGGCAGTGTATATACTTCACTAAAAAGCCAAGAATCCATCATATGGTTTCGCCCAAATATAACATGTGGTTTGATTTTAACACGTTGAACTTATTTCTTTTTTAAATAAAATAATGAAAAAGCTCCAGTTTAAGCGATGAGGGGATATAGATGGCCCATTCAGCAGATTCTTCTGATGGATGGGCCATCTATATCCCCTAATATCCCCACAGACAAATCAGTGGTTGACACAAGGTCACATGATGTGCCACGTCCCACGACATGCAACCAACCAATCGGAGTCGAACCACCTGATCCTATTTAAAGCACCTTTTCAAGCTTAGGTAACTGGGGACCTATTCTAACCTGCACGTGGTACATCCCATCTTCCCGAGGCAAGAGAGTTAACTGACTTTAAAAGTCCGGTTTCCACCCTTGCCGAACTAGGCTGGAATTACTGGGCTCGATCGTGGCGGCACCAGTGGCTATTACCAGTTATGTCCCTACTAAGCTTCTCCTATAGACCAACCAGATGCCACCTCTCGTATCACTTGCGTTTGCTTCACACAAAATGGTGGCGCCCGGTCAGGACGATCTGATCGATAATCAAGATCTATATCGTGATAAAACACGTCTTACATCGCGAAATGCATCAAATCATGTGAGCACCTTGATTACAAACATGAAAAGATTTGGAAATATAAATGCTGACGAGTTGGCGGTGCACATGCTTTGTAAATCCTGCAACCGACCGAATTCTGCACGACAGTTTACGAACCGGATTTCTATTTCGGTGCGCGATTTCGATTGGACTATGCATAGACTCATTAGTCCAGCCCCCCCCCCCCCCCGTAAAAAAAAAGAAAAAAGAAAAAGTAAAAATAAATCAATTGAACTAACTATTGCAAAAGTAATCGCTATTCACCCCAGCCATACTGTGATAAATACACCCTAGACACATACACTGCATAGCTTCGTGTCGGAAGTGACGTCACCAGCTCAATCCCCCTTATTATTAACTTAGCACAGAATTTCATTAGCTCATTAACTTCGATATAAACAGGGAGACTAGCCTATGTTGTCAATCACTGGATTGTCTGGTCCAGACTCGATTAATTACAGATCGCCGTCATATAGCTGGAATATTGCTGAGTGCGGCGTTAAACAACAAACAAACAAAAACTAGCGTATACGAAGCTAATATAGACTCCCTGATATAAACAACCAGTCAGATAACCTCTTTTGAACGCAAATTCGGCACAGTTCTACATCGTCCTGTTGTATTTGAAACGACACGCAAACGTCGAGCCTAGCAGTTTGAAACATGATTTCAAGAACGTCAACAGTATGCAAATAATTGCTTGGACCTGATGTGGTCTGACCTGACCGAGGCCTAAACTGGCCTCTGTTCATTACTGAAACGTGCGAAACGTTAAATATTACTATTACCAAACGCCATCTTGTTTTCTAGCAGATGAGAGTCATTATTCATCCCGTGACAGGTTTATACAGATCATGTGACGAATCAGTATTCAAGGTCAGTGTCAGTCACGTGACGTAGGGGTAGACAAGATTGACTTTAACACCTTTCAACATAATTAGGTCGAATCTAGGATCCGAACCATGGGTCAACGGATTCTATCCCGACTGAGGAATACGGAAACACATGAGGAATTTATGATATCTTTGTTCGCCTGCAAGCGTCCTCGGTCCGGCTAGGGGGTGGGGGTGGTGGTGGTGGTGGTGGTGGTGGTGGTGCAGATTAACCAATGGAATTGCAAAATTCTCAATATAGATATAACAATTTCATTCTAACCGGATTGAAAACAAAGGTGTTTGGCAAATGGGCTCTAGATAATCGAGGATGGATGCTTTCGTACTTCGGTGTATCTTTCACCCCAGGTCAGTTCGCACCCTGGCCGATTCCAAACAGGGTTCAGTTCTTGAGGCCAGTTTGAAAAATGAAATCAAAATGGCTGTATTTCTTAACACACCGTTACATGTAGTACTACTGTTACACATTACTTGCGAAAATACAGTGTAATTAGTATAGAGCGGTTATAGTCTGATGCTGTCTTTCGTCCGTATTACATATAACATAGTTAATCAGGAAAATTCCATCTTCCCGAGGCAAGAGAGTTAACTGACTATAAAAGTCCAGTTTCAATCCTTGCCGAAATAGGCTTGTATTATGGAGTTACATTTTGGCTGGACTAACGACTCTATGCATAGTCCAATCAAAATCGCGCACCGAAATCGAAATCCGGTTCATGTACTGTCGTGCAGTCGATTGCAGGATTTGCTGAGCATGTGCACCGCCAACTCGTTGTCAGCATATATTTTCCAAACCTTTTCATGTTTTTAATCAAGGTACTCACGTGATTTGATGCATTTCGCTATGTAAGACCCGTATAGATCTTGATTATCAATCAGATCGTCCTGACCGGGCGCCACCATTGTTTGTGAAGCAAACGCAAGTGATACGAGAGGTGGCATCTGATTGGTCCATAGGAGAGGCTTAGAAGGGACATAACTGGTAATAGCCACTGGTGGCGCTACGATCGAGCCCAGTAATTCCAGCCTAGTTCGGCAAGGGTGGAAACTGGACTTATAAAGTCAGTTAACTCTCTTGCCTCGGTAAGATGGAAAATTCACAAACTGAACAAAGTAAAGGGAAAGTACTACTCTTTTTCAGACATCCAATGGCAGAATGAGCCGTCCATCGCTTGTATTTAGAGCCTACAAATGAAAGTACAGGGTCCTGTTCCACTAAACGATCGTATCCTTGAGGCAGTCGTCACTACCATACCATACACCCTTAACAGTGGCTTACAACAGTCGTTGCCCTAAGATTGCTTCGTGAAGCGGGGCTCAGATGGGGTGACCTAGAAGAAATGTCTCTTCCTGCCCCATAGCGTTGACCCTTGTTGATGTCATCAACCACTGGGTACAGCTGACAGCGTGCGGCACCTTACAGTACTCACTCGCTCTCACAACTCCAAACATTGAATTTTCTGAAGGCGTTTTCGCTTTGACCAGGTCATTAAAACACACATAACTAGCATTAAAGGTATCCATTAAGTGTTCCAATAATTAGAACGTGTGCGTAGAAAAACCTAAATACGTCACAGTGGAATTCCCTTGTTGTCGTATTAAGGTCACATGTTACTTTAGGTCTTCAGCCTTTGTCATCGCACGATGACCTTCTTTATTAATAACGTAGATATCTCCTTCCTTCCAGACTATATTTCCCTACATTGGGCCTGGAAACCCCTTTGACCGGGTCAACCCTTACTTGTGGCTCGTGTTCAAACAACAGAGGCCACTGGACGTCTCACTGATCCCCAGCGTCCGGAACGAGATCTACTTGGAGGAGCTTATATCGCAACTTGGGCTCTCGAGTAAGAACTACACTTTATTTACTAAGATTATTTACTCTTTATTCTTCATTTGTATCATTTGAAACATCACGACCTAAGCTGAATCTTTCAGCATATGCCACTGTCCCGTGTCTTCAGTTGATACACAAAGATGGGTGATTTTACAGTAAACTTCGTATGAATCGAATTTTGCGAAACATTTGTGGTAGCGAAACTCTTCCCAAGCTGTTATTTACTGAATTCGTTTGGATACAGTGACAATTAACTTTTATTCTCCAAAATCAGATGCTTATTTTCAAAGGAGGAGTGGAAAAAATGTATTTTGCACACGTAACTTAATGATTTTCGCCTCATATGTAAAGGTTGTATTAATATTTTCTCGGGATAAAACGTAAGTATTTATTTGAAGCAGCAATAAATATGATTACTCACTCCCCCGCCGATATCGCTTGGTGGTTCAAGATTTCGCTCATCGCATCGTAATCCCGGGTTCGATGCCCCACAGAGCTACAATGTTTGAACCCGTTTCTGAAGATCTTCTCCGTGACATGGCTGTAATGTTGCTAAAAGCGTCGTAAAACTATACTCACTTCAGATAAACTGTATTAAGCAACCTAATTTTGAGTTGTTTGCGTACAAATAGGAATGACAATAAACCCCGACAAATATGACAACGCTGTACGAGATTTACCCCATGTAGCCTTTTCAGCTTGCGTGCCTGCATGTCTTCACAGATCGGGGCATACTGATCGGATGCAGGCATCGCGATCACGTGTGAAAGAGTGCTAGGTCTCGCTTTATTTAACTTAAACATGTATCAGTGCATATATGACATGCGGCACACCTTGTCATCACATGGACAGGTGCAAATTAGAAGTCACCCGAAACAGATTTGTAAGCACTGGTTACAAAGGGTCACTCATTGGTTTAATAAATAACCCAATACCCAGACGTCCATGCTTAAAAGAAAACTGTCAATACCCAAAGTGAATGACAAAATGTGAGTACAACTCATTAGTTCAAATCTTTACCTGCCCAGGACACATGGATTCTCTGTTGTGCACCAATCCCGACTTCGTAAAGGCTAGTGAAGTACTTAGTATATACTCTTTATCCTTGGTTTCAGCGCAGTCGTATGGCATCAACGTGGCCATGACTAAAACGGATGAGTACGCCGCTGTCTTCCTCCGCTCAGTTGGTTTTCTGAACAGATGTCCAGCGTATTATGGACAGTGTAAGTTGTCCAAACATCTACCGTTAAATAGGTTAAATTATGGTCATAATTACTCCAAATTGTAAAAGGTAAATATTCTATTGTGTTTAATTGTATCGTTGCATTATGGAATGATACCCGCAGTGTGGGAAGTTATCTGAAATCTGCAGCCCACCATGACGGGCCAGTAGCTCTTCAGCAGTCGTACCCCCAGGCGTCAGACAACAGTAGTATGAGTTGCATTGGTCTGTACTTAAAGATTATGCTTTAATGCTTTTAATTAGCAAGCAACGTTGTCAGCTGGGAAATGCCAACATTTCAAAGACGAAGAACTAATGGGACAGAATTAATGGATATCAACTTCTTTATCATGAGGAACATAACGTATATGCTTACTCCTCCATCAGGTGAATACATGCTATGAGGCAGAGAACATATATCTGTACCTGTATGAACGACAAAATGAGTAATATAACAAAGCCAACGGTTAACTAGAGGTGATAGGTGATTAGCAATGGTTGTGTTTCTCATTATAAAGATGTTGACATCCATAAATACTCCACCTTATGTGTTTCACTTCTAAAGGCCATTAAAAAAGCTTGAGGAAGAGCTTATTTTTCCAAAACGACATTCGCCTTTCAGACAATCTCTGTAAACATATGTTGCTGAAGGTTGTTCCCAATTTTAAGCCTATGTCTTTTTTACTAAGTTATTTTAACAAGATTCCACATATTTAGCAATATTAAAGTATTAAAACAAATTCAAAATTGATTGAAAACTGCTCGGTTGAGCTGATGTTAACTTGGGCTGTGCCATGTGACTTTCATCGACTCGGAAAAAGTGTGCGGCTCTGTTAGGGCGCAAGTTATAAGGGACTTATTCTTCCTCTCAGAAATCCAAGTGCAGCCTGTCTTCTCCGTGGCAGGGTATAAGGGATGTATTTTCCCGAGGGATGTATTTATTTTCCTCCCAGGCTGTATACATAGTATTTTATCAAGATCATGTGAACCAATCAGATCTCATCATTTTGACATGGAGGTATGACAAATTGATTTGTTAACTTCACACACAAGGCACTAATAACACTGTCGAGATATATGGTGAGGTGAGGTGAAATTGGGTTTAACGTCGCGTCCAAGATTATTGCACTTATATAGTGACGTGCATGTACGTGTGTGTTTGTGTGGACTGATGCCGATTTATAGTGCTAGCACACTGAGATACCATGCCGCAGTTTAACATGAATACCCCACTCAGACACAGTATACTGACTCCGAGCCGACCAGTCCTTGTTTTAGCCCCTTAATGCCGAGCGCCAGACAGGGTAACAACAAGTACCATCTTTTAACGTCTTTTGGTATGACGCGGCCGGGGATAGAACCCCGGACCTTCCGCTCTCCGGGCGGACGCTCTACCACTAGACCACGGAGGCGGTCCGATATATATGGACTGGGAATAGGCAAAACCCCTCTTTGTAAGTTTAGTAACGCAGATGAAATATTACCGATATTAGATGATACGAGCGTTTTATCACTTGCGGTATACATTCGTGTTATCATATCAAAGATGGGTTCACATTTCTTAACAAATTCACTGAAAAATAAAATGATCAAATGTTAACAACATGTTTATCATCTAGGGTTGAGCAACTACATTCAGGAAAGAGGTGGACTCCCATCCCTTCCCGCGTGTCTTGATCTTAGTGTATCCATTGACGTCGGCTTCACGGCCCCCGCTATAACGTACACATCGTGCGGAACAGTGTATCAGAAAAGGTGGGTGCTCATATGACCCCGCTATAACGTCCATATCGTCAGGAATAATATATTGTAGAAGGTGGGTACGCTCACAATCAAATGAACACAATCAAATGAAATTAGACACAGTGATCGACAAAAGCATTGTCGTCATTGTCAGCATTAATTCAGTTCAGTCACTGCACTTGTGTAGCCACAAGGGGGCGTCATGGTCAGTACCTGGTCACACCACCTCTTGCAGCCGTCACTGCTCGACACCTCCTTGGCACAGATTGCACAAGTCGTCGGATTTTTTCGTGGGGAATTCTTCGCCATTCCTCCTGTGAGGCGGTGGCGAGTTGTGTCAGTGTGTGGGGACGCTGGTGACGGACGCGTCGATCAAGTTCGTCCCACAAATGTTCAATCGGGTTGTGATCAGGTGATTTGGACGGCCATGGAAGGACATTGATGTTCTCATTAACAAGGAAATTAACTGTTGCACGTGCTGTGTGGGGCCGAGCGTTGTCATGTTGGAACAGCTCCCTCTGGCGGTCCAAAGTTGGGAGGAGGTGAGGACGCAGAATTTGGTCTATGTATCGGTTTGCTGTAAGAATAGATTGCCCTGGACAACCACTAACTATGATCTACCCGTGTAGGATATGGCTACCCACACCATGACACTCCCTCCACCAAATCGGTTCATCTGTCGAACGCAGTTCGGCGCAAAACGTTCATGTCGACATCGGTATACACGTTGTCTTCCATCCCGGAGTTGAAGAAGAAAACGTGACTCATCGCTGGACCAAACGCGTCGCCAGTTCCTGAAATTCCATGCCTGTACTCTGTTGCACCACCGGACACGTCGTTGACGGTGTAGACGTCTCAAGACAGGTCCAACTTTTGGTCGTCTCGCTCGAATTCCCACTTCCCTCAGACGATTTCTGATGGTTTGGTCGGAAATTCTTCGCATACCAGGCACTTGTCCTGCAGTGTCCGTTGCTGTAGCAAATCGATTCCGAAGGTGATACAACCGGATGTACCGATCCTGAGCAGGGGTGGTCACTCTTGGTCTTCCACTTCTGGGATGATCTTGAGTCGAATCAGTGCGGGTAAATCGATCCCATAGTCGAGATATGGTGCTTTGGTGAACGTTGAAGTGTCTTGCAACGGCAGACTGGGACTCTCCTGCTTCCAAACGGCCAATGGCGATATTTCGGTCAGCTGCAGTTAATCTAGGCATTTTTCGATCTCCGTTCACGCAAGAAAATTCGTAACGAACTGATAAATTTTGTACGGTCTTTAATAGTCAGTGTCTCTACTCTTGTTTCCAACATTTTGCACGTGCATTGTGCTGAAAACTTTTTCTGACAGCAATTTCCTGCATCCTTTGCATTTTTGCTGATAAACGTTTACAAAAAAAACATTTTGAGATGTGTTTGCGCGCAATGCACAACAAACATGGCATAATTAACGGGAATCAAACATAAGAATTGTCTTGATGACGATTGCTGGGGAAAAAAAATCTAATTGGAATTCTCAAAACACCCATGCGTTTCTTTTTTCTTCTTTCATGTCCTCTCTATAACGTCCACGTCGTGCGTAACAGTGTTTTACAGACGATGATACTCTCATGTCCCCTCGCCGCCTCCGTGGTCTTGTGGTAGAGCGTCCGCCCGGAGAGCGGAAGGTCCGGGGTTCGATCCCCGGCCGCGTCATACCAAAAGACGTTAAAAGATGGTACTTGTTGTTACCCTGTCTGGCGCTCGACATTAAGGGGCTAAAACAAGGACTGGTCGGCTCGGAGTCAGTATACTGTGTCTGAGTGGGGTATTCATGTTAAACTGCGGCATGGTATCTCAGTGAGCTAGCACTATAAATCGGCATCAGTCCGGACTAGTACAAGCAGCCACAGACACACACGTGCATGCACGTCGCTATATAAGTGCAATAATCTTGGACGCGACGTTAAACCCAATTTCACCTCACCTCACCTCATGTCCCCTCTATAACGTACGCACCGTGAGTTACAGTGTATCACAAATGATAATACTGTCATGTCCCCACTATAACGTCCACGTCGTGCGATACAGTGTTTTACAGACGATGATACTGTCATGTCTCCTCTATAACGTCCTCGTCGTGCGATAGTGTTTTACAGACGATGATACTCTCATGTCCCCTCTATAACGTCCACGTCGTGCGTTACAGTGTTTTACAGACGATGATACTGTCATGTCCCTTCTATACCGTCCACGTCGTGCGTAACAGTATATTACAGACGATGATACTGTCATGTCCCCTCTATAACGTCCACGTCGTGCGATACAGTGTATTACAGACGATGATACTGTCATGTCCCTTCTATACCGTCCACGTCGTGCGTAACAGTATATTACAGACGATGATACTGTCATGTCCCCTCTATAACGTCCACGTCGTGCGTAACATTATATTACAGACGATGATACCCTCATGTCTCCGCTATAACGTACACATCGTACGTAACATTATATTAAAGACGATGATACTGTCATGTCCCCTCTATAACGTCCACGTCGTGCGTAACAGTGTATAACAGACGTTGATACCGTCATGTCCCTCCATAACGTCCACGTCGTGCGTAACATTATATTACAGACGATGATACCCTCACATCTCCGCTATAACGTCCACGTCGTGCGTAACATTATATTACAGACGATGATACTCTCATGGCTCCGCTATAACGTCCACGTCGTGCGTAACATTATATTACAGACGATGATACTCTCATGTCTCCGCTATAACGTCCACGTCGTGCGTAACAGTGTTTTACAGACGATGATACTGTCGTGTCCCCTCTATAACGTACACGTCGTGCGTAACATTATATTACAGACGATGATACTCTGTCTCCGCTATAACGTCCACGTCGTACGTTACAGTGTTTTACAGACGATGATACTGTCATGTCCCCTCTATAACGTACACGTCGTGCGTAACATTATATTACAGACGATGATACTCTGTCTCCGCTATAACGTCCACGTCGTACGTTACAGTGTTTTACAGACGATGATACCCTCATGTCCCCTGTATAACGTACACGTCGTACGTTACAGTGTTTTACAGACGATGATACTCTCATGTCCCCTGTATAACGTACACGTCGTACGTTACAGTGTTTTACAGACGATGATACTCTCATGTCTCCGCTTTCACGTACACATCGTGCTTAACAGTATATTACAGAGAAATATCCTTTCCTACCTTTTGCAATGTTAGTCTTAATATCATGTAGGTTTTCGGCCTTGGGTTGCAGATAACGAATTTCTCTGTTCCAGCCCAGTAAACGTCACTGTAGATTATCGGAACATGGACCTATTAGGCGCCGTGGAGACTCGGAACTCCCCCCAGGTCAGTCTGGTTCCCCTGGCGATCAGAGGTCAACCCCCCTCGGTCACACTGAGAGGTAAGTGAACTCACACCACCTCCCATTCGGTGGTGGCGGGGATGCTGTCTGGAATATTATGATAGGTTTTGCACACACAAAAATGTGACCAAAGAAATCTAACAAAAAAATCAGTGTATATAATAAGCTGCCGGACAAAACAAATTGGATGTGACCAAACACAGAACAAACGTTATAAAAACATTACTAGGCTGAAAACAGTCGCTGAAGCACTGCAAACTTAAGGTCCAAAACACTACTATGATACCTGTATCATATACGTCGCCATCGAATAACCATTTTTTGTTTATTTCATTATTAGCACCATGAAACATGGGTGTATAACTTCCTTTTGCCCGATGTTTTATATGTGCTTGCTTTCTTATCAAACTGATCAAGGCATTTGTTGCCTTGTAATATCGACGGATTGTATTCACAGGAAGCATGGATGTTCAGTTTGTCTAGGATTTTATTTTATACCTCAGTATATTCACATCTCGAGATATGCTTCTGTCTTCAGACAAGCTGTACACCCTGTTGATGTACGACCCCACCGAGGAGCTGGGACAAACTGACCAGAACGCCTACGTCCATTGGATGGTGGTCAACATCCGGGGTACTGACATCACTTCCGGTGACGAGGTGTATGACTGGCTACTGCCAATGACGTCAACGTTGAATCAGCTCTACCTGTTTGCCTTGTTCGAGCAGAGGGCGTCTATCAGAACCAGAAGAGCTGGATCCTTCGGAGGAACAGACTGCCATCCATATATACCCAGGAGGTACAAAACATCCCAGTTCACTACATGTTCTTGTTGATCGTCTCCGTGGTCTAGTGGATAGAGCGTTTGCCCGGAGGGCGGAAGGTCGGTTGTTCGATCACTAGCCGCGTCTTACTAAAAGAAGCGAAAAGATGGTTGCCCTGTCTGGCGCCTAGCATAAAGGGGATACAACAGGACTGGCTCGGAGTCAGTATACTTTGTTTTGGTGGTACAGAAACTCCTATGGTCATTGTTTGTTGTTTAACGCCGTACTCAGCAATAGTACAACTATATGACGGCGGTCTGTTAATAATCGAGTCTGGGCCAGACAATCTAGTGTTTGACATCATGAGTATCGATCCAGGCAATTGGGCTACGATGACATGCATCAACCAAGTCAGCGAGCCTGACTACCCGATCCCGTTAGTCGCCTGTTACGACAAACATAGTCACCTCGTACGGCGCACGTGGGTTGCTTAAGACCTATCCTTCCCTGGATCTTCACGGGTCTATCTGCCATAGTAAATATATTATATATATTGCGTTCCCTCGCTGTTATCGGGTTCCTTCGCTATAGTACCGCGTATCCTGGCCAAAATGTCATAATGGCACAGCATGTGGATCAGACACAAGCGCTCCTTCAAGTTTGAGAGTGTTACTTGCAAGGACACGACGCTATGGCGAGTGTTATCTTTGTAGTAGTGTTATATTTCATAAATATTCCTAAATTCAACACAGATACATAACGTCCTAGCAATTTGAAAAAAAAATGAATTTCTCCAATCGTCGTCACCAGAAGAAGGACATGGTTCCCAACACCTTGTGTCCTTGTGTAGGTTTACAATGATTCATCGCTTCAATATAGTTTTGGGCAAACGTGCGAGTGTGAACAGGTCTGTATAATAAATTCAGCATTATTCAAAAGAAGATGTCAAACATTATATCTTCTAGATGAAATCCTACATGTGGCAGTAATGTTCAATCAAAGCTTCACCGCACAGACTCATATGGTATTATATACGTTTCCATATAAAGTGTCGATTTTCTGAATCGTGTAACTCCAGTTAACAATGTACAAATAGGAATGACCCACGAAACTAGGGCAACCTAAATGTCTCAAACTTTAATCATAAGTAACTCGATCACGTCTATAGATACAAAAAATGTTGTAGTCAATATGGTATCAACAATATAACACTGATTGTCCGTCTTGTTCTTGTGCAGCGCCCTTGCTTGATCCACACGAGAAACTATATAGTACCAGGGAGACTATACACAAAGAGCCCAATATAGACGCCCAGAAAGTACAGCGAAGGGACGCTGTATAGCTGTACCTATTACGATAATGTAACGACTTATATATGCTGCAGATGCAAGTTCAGGGCTGGAGATTTCATCCGCAAGAACAATCTCTCCCTGGTCGGCCTGAGACACCTGAGAGTTGTCCCCGACACCTACCGTCAGTACATGGCGTACGCCGTGACCAAGCTCCAAACCCGGGACCAGGCCTGTTGGGGACAGGTCGGCGAACGTCCGCAGTGTCCAATTGGCTAGTGAATTTGGCGAATATGTAACCAACCCTGTTTCTTAATAAAGGTGTATATGGTACTGAATACTTGAACACACTTAATCATGTGGTGGTGAAATCCTGTGTCAACTATGTAATGGCTTTTGATAGTGTAACATACCGTGAAAACCTATGAAACAGTATTTCATGGAATAGAAACCGATTCTATTTCTCATCACACTTTAATGGACTTTGATGTAATTTAGCCAATCAGAATGCAAGAAACATTCACCCCTTATCAACCGGAAGCGCATAGAAACAATAATATACCCTCAATACATAACATTGCACGACCCAAATGACGGGTGTTTTTGAACATTAAAGTTTATGCTCCTTCCAAACAGACAAAATACGATATTCCTTGTCCATCAAACGTGACTTGTGCAAGCAATAAACATCATTTGGCCAATACGAAAGCGCTGAATTGATGCCATTTATATTCAGGAATTTTAGACATTTTTATTTTTGTCATTCACTGGCTGTAAGTTCACTGGCAGAATGCACAACACCGTATCGTCAGCCCCTGCCAGATGTCCCTATGATAGAATGTAATGACTGCACTGTTGTAAATCGGGACGACGTTGCAAATGGTTGGATGAGAGTTTGTTTCTTCAACACCGCAATGATCAATAGTCCAACGACATGACGCCGGTCTGCACATAATCAGATCTGGATGAGACAATCCAGGGGTTGACATCATGAGCATCGATCAAGTCGCTTGGGTGCTGGTGGCCGATATTCCCTACGTGTTCGATGAGTGAGTTGGGCTAAACGCCGCTTTGAACGGAAAATTAGTTCCATCACGATGCACAAGATTTTTTTCAGGGAGGAAGGCGATTATGGCGCAGCTAGGTCGCATATACACTTAACAGTTAACACTGTACTGTTGAAACTCGTGAACACAGGAGCTATGTATGATATGTGAGTGGGTGAGTTGGTTTTAACACCGCTTTGAACAGTATTCCAGTTATATCTCGCGTGTCAGCTGAAGATGCAGGTCTCTTTGATGAAACCCACGAGCACGGGTATGGTGCTGACGAACTTAGAAATATAATCGGGTCGAACCCGGATTCGAACCCATAATGATAGGTTTCTTGCGTGTCCAAGGGAGGCAACTCTGCACAGAGAATTGTGGCACCTTAGAGGACTGGGCCATCCTCATTTTGGGGACGAGCTAACAATGGCCAAGGGTAATCATCTAGGTAAAAATGAGATTCGAACCCACGGCAAGTGAATCGCGACACCTTTGAAGATTACTGAACCAAACGTTAGTTACTAACTTACTATGATTATGAACAAAATTATTATTGTAACTCGTACGCTGGTGTGCACATATGTGAGTGCAGCCGGGGTGGTGTATTTTATCCGGCTCAGGCCGCTGGAGAACACAGACATAGGCAGATGATGATTATGCTTTATAAGAATGGATGTGACTGCTGTTGAAGAAATAACCTGAAGAAAAGAACACATCCTTCCTCCTCAACAGCAGCACATGAAGTCAAGTATTTGCAGAATAATTTGCAGGTATTTATAAGTACAAAGCCATTTTGTAAGCATAATAAAACTAGTAGTAATTTAACATTAAAGTTACATAATACTTGAAAAAGCACATGGGCCAAAATGGACCATGTGGTTAATTATTTTACAAATTAGTTTTATAATATAAATTTTTCATTTATTAATTAAATATTAATTTAAATGATATTATATATGTTAATCAATTTAATTCAGAGCCCTAATATATTTATTAATTTCTGACAGAGGCAGATGAAAACAGATTGAAAAGTGGCCATTCCATACCTGAAGAAAAGAACACATCCTCCCTCCTCAACAGCAGCACATGAAGTGAGGAGGAAGTCAGGTATGGAAGGAAGCTACCTGTAGAGGACCAGGGTGGCCAATTAGAAGACAGATTGCATTAAGCATCAAAGGAAGTACTTAATGCAAGATATAAATAGACTGAGGGAAACCCTACAGGTGTGAACAAATGTCTAAATATAGACACAAGGTTGAAGGGGAAGATCTGGTGAGTGATTCCCAGAGACTGAAAATAAGGGCGTTAAGTACTTTAAAGAGTTAGTTACTGACATGCAACTGTAGACAAGACACAATGAACATTTAGATGATGATGATGATGATGATGATGATGTATGATGATGTATGAATAATGGTGTAAATAGCTATAATAAAGGAACAAACTACCCTCTACATGAGGTATACGAGTGTGGCCTGTGTCGCTTGTACAGACATATAGTGATATCAGTATATACTTATCGATTGATGTCCACTTGACAATATGTGTCAGTGTCAAGTATTTATTAATATGTACATGTATATATCCTTTAATTAAGGTTAGTTCTTTAGTTGGTAAGGTTAGTAAACAAAAATCATTATATACTTGTGAAAAGTTAAGAAGCACAGAATATATTGCCGAGTTCTTTTGCCGTTGTTTCTAATATGAGGATTTGAAGGAACTTGTGAGATATTAATGACTACTTTTAGTTGATCACGTATTGTATGTGGAATGGATGATTTCTAGTTTATTATGATTAAATTAGGTTGTACTGTGTTGTTTATTTCTAATTTATTCGAAATATAATGAGTAAGAGTTTCTTTTGCCCCCCCCCCCCCCCCCCCCCCCACCTGTTTTCCCCATTATGCATTCAACAGGTTTATAATGAAAAAATCAAAACATGAGGGGGAACAAAAGAAATTTTTTCCAACTTATGTTTTAAACTCTAAACTAAGTGTTATCCACTAGTTGTCTTTTGTTAGAACCTATCTGTACAGTGATGGCAGGTGAATGTGAATGTCTGTTTGATATGAAGGAGTGGTGAAGCGGGGTAAGTGCAGGTGTCTGGACGTTTTGTGTTTGATAATGGCTATCGTAGCTTTATGTTATACTTTGTTTTACCATATTATACAGTTTTCTGCATTCATATTTATTTTTGTGGATGTGTCACTGGCAATGCTTACCGTAGTATATCAGATGTATTTGTATCCTATGTACCATGTAATTTTAGTAATTATTCACGTATTCCTAACGCTGCATAGTTTTGCTTCACGTGAAGATCAACACGTCCGAGGGTTTTTATGAGATTTAAAACCCGAATCCGACGGTCTTAAATATCATACAATCCCGCGGGGAAGTGTATTTTCTAACTTATAACCCGAAAAGAACAACCCGAAACAACATGTATCATCAAGTCTATGTTTCAACCATTCTTTCCGTGAACCTTTAGAAACGGGCGTAAAAAACCTCTTGCAGGAGGTACACGTACTTGAAAAAGAGATTCTTAAGCAGCGAGATACGAAGGTTGCAACGTCGTTCCACTGAAATATGAAGAATTCATTTGTCACTCGATTTTACATGATTCCGCACATATTTCCTTGTGTTTAAATGCAACATAAATCTATAGCGAGGGACATTCACATGTTGCACTGTCACTGGAACGTGCGTATATCATCTTCCCGCGACAAAGTCTACTGGACTTTTTTTTTATTATAAAGGCTGTTAACACCTTTGCCAGTTTACTGGACTTATTTATTTATATAAAAAGGCAGTTAACACCTTTGACGCGTGAAGCTTGTATATATATAATCCGATCATATTGATAAAATATATTAATATATTAGATGTTATATTATGTCTGTCTATCTATCTATACCAGGGATATTATAACATCCCCGTATATGAGATGTAACCCCATTGGAGAAGAAAAGTATCATATGACGTCGTTGGAGGTTTATAAAGCTATATTATTGGATTTGTTTGTTTGTTGTTTAACGCCACACTCAGCAATATTACAGCTATATGACGGCGGTCTGTAAATAATCAAATCTGGACCAGACAATCAAGTTATTGACATCATGAGCATCGATGTATGCAAATGTTGACATGAACAAAGTCAGCGGGCCTGACCATCCGATCCTGTCAGTCGCCTCTTACGGCAAGCGTGGGTTGCGGAAGACCAGCTCTCTACCCGGATCTATTGTATTGGATGTTTAAAATATTTACCAAAACATGCGATAGAATATGTGTGCATTTTCATCTGTTGTTCAGATTTATTTCTGGATTGATGTAATATATGTTTTTTTGTTTTTTATTATTATTAATGTAAGTGATAAATTTATTTCAACAAATGCAGAGTGATTGTGTAGTTTGTACTTACTGGTTAGATTCTGTTTTATATTTACTTATGTTGTTATTGACATTGTTTCAGGCTGACATACACTGAATATTAATATTCTGAATGAACGTTCATCAGCCGTTTGTGATTTTTGGAGCAAACCCCAAAGCTCAAAGATACCGCAAACTTAGCGCTGCTTATCACAGAGTCATATAATCTTGAACACCGTCTGGACTGATAGTCACATGATCAACCACATGACCTAAACATGGCGGGGAGTTTGGTCAGACAGGGTACAATAATGTGGTGCGATTTAGTGACCCGCCGAGTTTCTGTGATTGTTCTGTTGATGACAGTCGTCGGTTGTCGTGTGTTTGGCTATGATTACCCGTTCCAGGACCCGAGTCTGTCCTGGGAGGTCCGTGTTGATGATTTAGTGGGTCGTCTGACTATCGAGGAGATCCAGGAACAAATGGCTAGAGGAGGGGCAGGTAGGTAAAGACTAAAAGTTCTATAACTTTCTCGTCATTCCACCAATTCAACTCTTGTTTTGTCTCATTTAAATCAATCAGTGCAATATTTCCACCGAATGTGATTCATACCACTGTTAACCAACACCCTGACTCCGTTGTCAACCCTGGCCGAGAGCCGCGATGTGGTCCTCCATCGTCGCTCTGGGCTGTCAACCCAGATCCCACATAAATGGTGTCTCGTGTTCAGATTCCGTGTAAGAATTGGTTAATCCTTTGATGGATATTTTTTTGCAACTCAACTGATCATTCGTCTCTTGCTGCGCTGTCATTTGCATATTACATAACATGTAAACATTCACCACTTCAAGCCAGGATATATGAGCCAATCTGGGATTGAATAATTAGCCCAGACACAAGAAATGCCAAATGGGAACCTTTATCAGGTAATCCACTTATTATACCTGTACTAAATTAATTCAACTGAGCGTCAAGTGAATGACGAAAAGTACACCAGTGTAAGGTTGGAAACAAGAGGAGTAATTGTTGTGTTATATGCAATTTAATTGCTTGAAAAATAAGGGTCATTGCTGTTTTGAGTAAATGCACTGAACTTCATTGTTGCAAAACATTTGGGTCACTTATTTCCATTATACTAAAGTAAATAATTGTACATACTCATTTACTTCAATGGTTTGTTTTATTATGCCCCGCTCAAATTAAGTTACACACGGGATGTAGAAATGTGTAGTCTGTCCGCCATGTTTCATTTCTGGAGTATAAGTCATTAAACATTTTATATTAATCACACCACTTTGTATGCAGGTCATGCATTTACACTGAACTGGGGCCTTGTGCTATTCAGGATTTTTGTTTTGTGTTTCTATGGCAACAAGTTGGACTTCAAACTAGGATAGGGTCGTTTCAAGAGAATAACTCAAACAATATTTCTCATTTCTTTGTTTATAAGCTGATGGGTTTTGCTATTGATGTGCTTCATTAGATTTTGGGTTACAAAGTTGAACTAAAGTTCAAATAAGAGTTTCAGTCTGCGGTTTAATCATCTGTAATGATGTCAGTTGTATTCACAAACCAGTTTTTGGTATAATGAGTTAGATGAAATACATTGTTTGATGTATGCACATATTTAGAAGGGTGGGGGATATTGATGAATATATCTCCTTGTTCAGTTTACAGCCGATATGTTGATAGTGTAAAATAACCATATGCAAGGCAAATTGGGTTTTTTTCATTTACGACCTCAAATAAATCAAATGCTTAATTTAAATATTATAGGTCTCTTAACATGACATGATGAAATATCAAGCTATGAAACACAGAAATGGGATCCAAGTCAAACTCAGTCATTGTAATATCCATGCAATCTGGAATCTGAAGATGCTTTCACTGCAGGGATACTTTTTTATTTTATTAAACTATAGCCATCAGGAGTATTTCATATAATCAACATCTGATGAGCTTCCACCGTTTTTTTTGTCTGTTTGTTAATGTTGAAGAAATAAATTAACATGTGCCCTTTGTAATATTGAAATCTTCATAGACCACATGTGTTAAACAAATCAGTGTTGATAAATGCATATAGATAACTCAAAGTTTGTTTACGCTGTCCTAACAGACGGTAGCCCAGTCTCTTGTCACTCTCAGTTGCATTAGCCAGCAAATCGACTCACAGCAGCCCGTGAGGCCTAGTGGCCAGTGTTAGACAGCCGGGAAGAAGCCAGAAATTAGTGCTCTTTTAAAATGTATAACTTATTCAGCACAAACAGTTAATTCAGCAATGAACAGTTAAGACAGAATTTTAAGAAATTTTAAATCCTGCCAAACCCATTCATACCCAATGTGTTCTATTTATATACTGGTATGCATCCTTCTGAAAATATTTTATATATATGTGTACAGTCTGTACATACACATCTATGCATGAATGAATAATGTGTACATACTTATGACATCCATCTGCTGACTGTGGTCTAAGTGTCAAAATGTTCAGTTCTGTTGACAACTCCCAATACAATTGTCAAACACACTACTATCCACTATCAACCCACACCCCTTCACTCAATACCACTGTCAACCAACACATCTATACCATTGTCAACCCACAACCTCCATACCATTGTCAACACACATTTATACCATTGTCAACCAACAACCTCCATACCATTGTCAACACACATTTATACCATTACCAACCCACAACCTCCATACCATTGTCAACACACATTTATACCATTGTCAACCCACAACCTCCATTCCATTGTCAACCCACAACCTCCATTCCATTGTCAACCCACACCTCCATACCATTATAAACCCACACCTCCATACCATTGTCAACACACATTTATACCATTATAAACCCACAACCTCCATTCCATTGTCAACCCACAACCTCCATACCATTATAAACCCACAACCTCCATACCATTATAAACCCACACCTCCATACCATTATAAACCCACACCTCCATACCATTATAAACCCACACCTCCATACCATTATAAACCCACACCTCCATACCATTATAAACCCACACCTCCATACCATTATAAACCCACACCTCCATACCATTATAAACCCACACCTCCATACCATTGTCAATCAACATCCATACCACTGTCAACCCACAACCTCCATACCATTATAAACCCACACCTCCATACCATTGTCAATCAACATCCATACCACTGTCAACCAACATCCATACCATTATAAACCCACACCTCCATACCATTGTCAATCAACATCCATACCACTGTCAACCAACATCCATACCATTATAAACCCACACCTCCATACCATTGTCAATCCACACATACATGCTATTGTCAACCCACACCTCCATACCATTGTCAACCCACACATACATACTACTGTCAACATGACCCTGGTAACATTATCTACACCCAATACCTTTCTTAACACTCATCCCCATACCCTAAGTTAATACAAGCTATATATCATACTGTTCCTGTCTTGAAAAGCAGCTGTCACATTGTTTCTACACTGCTATTTTGTTCAATCGAAACCTTCACATGTTGCACAAACGACTCTTGTCACTTGTAGAGCTTCAACATTTATACTGATCACTATCTAAACAAAACAAGTCATGTATGATATTCATACTTTCACAATTGGTTATAGAAGAAAATATTATTATGTTGATACACACTAACAACATCAACATATTAAATATATGGTCATCTGTGCAAGATATTGTTTGTGCCATCTGCTGTAACAACTGGTTCCTAAGATTGAAATTGCTACTGTGTATTCCTAACGTTATAAAAATGCCTTTATCTGTGAAGATCGGGGTTAGAATTGGTCTTCAGCAACCCATGCTTGTCGTTAGAGTCGGTTGTTCAGATTCACTGACTTGGTTGATGCATGTCATCTTATCCTATTTGCGTAGATTGATGCTCATGATGTCGATGACTGGAACAGTCTCTATCATTAACAGACTGATGTCATATAGTGGAGACATCACCTGGTTGATAATCAGAATAATATCCAATTAGGTACTTATCCCAAAGTGCTGCATGCAGACATTCGGCATTATCTGTGGTTTTGATCTATGACCTAGCATCAGAAACTTGTTGATTGCTTCAGACTTCAGTGTCGACAAGTTCCTGAAGATTTCCTAATGTAAGCAGGTCCCTCTGGAGGCCCCGCCCCTGCCATCCCCCGTCTTGGTATCGGCCCCTACTCCTGGAACACTGAGTGCCTGAGGGGCGACGTGGATGCAGGGAACGCCACCAGCTTCCCACAGGCCATTGGGCTGGCTGCCTCATTCAGGTGAGAGAGAGGGAGTGGGCTGGCTGCTTCATTCAGGTGAGAGAGGGGGAGTAGGCTGGCTGCCTCATTCAGGTGAGAGAGAGGGAGTGGGCTGGCTGCTTCATTCAGGTGAGAGAGGGGGAGTAGGCTGGCTGTCTCATTCAGGTGAGAGAGGGGGAGTAGGCTGGCTGCTTCATTCAGGTGAGAGAGGGAGAGTAGGCTGGCTGCTTCATCCAGGTGAGAGAGAGGGAGTGGGCTGGCTGCTTCATTCGGGTGAGAGAGGGGGAGTAGGCTGGCTGCTTCATTCGGGTGAAAGAGGGGGAGTAGGCTGGCTGCTTCATTCAGGTGAGAGAGAGGGAGTGGGCTGGCTGCTTCATTCGGGTGAAAGAGGGGGAGTAGGCTGGCTGCTTCATTCAGGTGAGAGAGAGGGAGTGGGCTGGCTTCTTCATTCAGGTGAGGGAGGGGGAGTAGGCTGGCTGCTTCATTCAGGTGAGAGAGGGAGAGTAGGCTGGCTGCTTCATTCAGGTGAGAGAGAGGGAGTGGGCTGGCTGCTTCATTCGGGTGAGAGAGGGGGAGTAGGCTGGCTGCTTCATTCGGGTGAAAGAGGGAGAGTAGGCTGGCTGCTTCATTCAGGTGAGAGAGAGGGAGTGGGCTGGCTGCTTCATTCGGGTGAAAGAGGGGGAGTAGGCTGGCTGCTTCATTCAGGTGAGAGAGAGGGAGTGGGCTGGCTTCTTCATTCAGGTGAGGGAGGGGGAGTAGGCTGGCTGCTTCATTCAGGTGAGAGAGGGAGAGTAGGCTGGCTGCTTCATTCAGGTGAGAGAGAGGGAGTAGGCTGGCTGCTTCATTCGGGTGAGAGAGGGAGAGTAGGCTGGCTGCTTCATCCAGGTGAGGGAGGGGGAGTAGGCTGGCTGCTTCATCCAGGTGAGGGAGGGGGAGTAGGCTGGCTGTCTCATTCAGATGAGAGAGGGGGAGTAGGTTGGCTGCTTCATCCAGGTGAGGGAGAGGGAGTAGGTTGGCTGCTTCATTCAGGTGAGAGAGGGGGAGTAGGTTGGCTGCTTCATCCAGGTGAGAGAGGGGGAGTAGGCTGGCTGCCTCATCCAGGTGAGAGAGGGGGAGTAGGCTGGCTGCTTCATCCAGGTGAGAGAGGGGGAGTAGGTTGGCTGCTTCATTCAGGTGAGAGAGGGGGAGTAGGTTGGCTGCTTCATTCAGGTGAGAGAGGGGGAGTAGGCTGGCTGCTTCATTCAGGTGAGAGAGAATGGGAGTAGGCTGGCTGTCTCATTCAGGTGAGAGAGAGGGAGTGGGCTGGCTGTCTCATTCAGGTGAGGGAGAGGGAGTAGGTTGGCTGCCTCATTCAGATGAGAGAGGGGGAGTAGGTTGGCTGCTTCATTCAGGTGAGAGAGAGGGAGTAGGCTGGCTGCTTCATTCAGGTGAGAGAGAGGGAGTAGGTTGGCTGCTTCATTCAGGGAGAGAAGGAGGTTATTAAAGTGTTTACTAATGCCAAGCCATTATTAGAGGTGACCTGAATTTCACTGATAAAGAGCAAGAGGCTTTAATGTTTTACGCTATCACATTGAATACAATGTTAAAATACTTCGGAAATGAGGATTATATGAACTTAAAATATTGAACAATTTGCCTTGCAAGGGCATTTAGTTCGGAGTTTTAATATGTTAAATGTACTGGTATATTTGATCAAGTCGTCAACTGGTGTATGACATCGCTGAGGCAACAAGCGTGGAGGTGCGAGGGAAGTTCCGTTACTACACGGTCAACAAGCAGTACGGGGATCACAGAGGTCTCAGCTGCTTCAGCCCCGTCATCAACATCGTCCGCGATCCAAGATGGGGAAGAAACCAGGTATACAACACAGATCACAGCCAGATGTTGAGCTGAACTCTCAGTGCAAGATCCCTCTGCTAACTGATAAATTACAGTATATTTGATGATTTTCATGAACTAGGAAAATGTTCAATTCTGGTTGGTCAGTAAGAGGTGACAGTGACCACTTCGGATTGAATCAGCCAATTTAACAGACACATCACATCATTTTGTTAACAGAAAATTGTTTAAAGCTATTTTGTAGGTAGGCATTTTGAAATAATGACACATACTGTTAAATATTACAAAATGCATATTTGAGTTACTTGAGTATTCAAAATACTGAAAAAATACTGGCGATTCTAAAACTTAAGAGAAATAGTTTAAGAAAGCACATTTCTAAAATTTAGGGACTTTATATAGTGAGCTTGAATTTTGTCACTTTTCTATATCTGACTGAGTCATATCGTTTATGTCATAACAGTGATGTACGGTATAGAACTGTTCCTTGCAAGGCTTGTGTATTTACTTTAGGGGTGCCCACTTCATGTTGGCTTGTGCTACCCACCTTCATTGGCTGTCAGGTATAAAGTATTGTGACCAGTGTTCCAATACAGCTCCAGTTTATCCAGACCGCATCCATAGTCTAGTGGTAGAGCGTCTGCCCGGAGAACGGAAGGTCGGGGTTTGATCCCTGGCCATGTCATACTCAAAGACGTTAAGAGGTGGTGCTTGTTGTTACCCTTGGTGCTCGGCATTAAAAAGTGTAAAACAAGGACTGGTGGGCACGGAGTCTGTGTACTGTGTCTGAGTGGGGTATTCATGTTAAACTGTGGCATGGTATATCAATGGGCTAGCACTATAAAATTGGCGTTCGTCTGGACTAGTTAAAAAACAACATGCACACAGACACACAGACACACAGACACACACACTGCTATGTAAGTGCAATAATCTTTAACATAAAGTCAAACCACCATATCACCTCACCACTTTTTCTTAGTGCAGATCCACATTCCTCTCAAACCACTGGACAATGCTACTTGACTCAATATCTACACTAACATAAAAAAGTTCACAATCAATTTTGTCAGTGTATAACACTACACAGATACACAAACTGTTTTCAATGTAGAGCAAGGTTACCTGTCAATTTAGCAGAGCTTATTGAATTTGGAACCATATGCTCTGAGTCAGGTTTCAAATGATATATTTAGCTTGGATAACTTGGACGTCATTCTGTAGAATATATGTTCTTATATCAGGGCTTGTTGAGTACAGTAACATTAAGCAGCTACTTCATCATTGGCCCTGGGATGTCATGCTATGCTGATGTGTTGATGTGTTACAAATTTAAACAATGATAGGATACACCATATGCCTACATATCAGTTCAACTTTTATTGAGCTATTGGATTAACTATGTAAACAGACACATTTTACCTTGGCAGCATTGTGATTAGTGCTAGTGATCGATGGTTTGATACTAGCTTCAGCAGACTTCAGCATCTTCATATACACCATCAATACTTCTGCCAAAACTTCAGCTGGTGTGTCAATTTTGTTTTATTACTGCTGACTCTATGGTAGTTCAAGGAGTCATCTGTTTGTAAACGGTTCTGGTTTTGTTCCTGGGACAACAGTTGTTTGTAAAATAAAACAAAAAACATGGCTTCCCCACAAAAGGTTTCATTTACATTGGTCAGGTTTCTTAACCCACTTACAAAGACCTGGTGGGATTGTGGAAACTGTTGTGTTTGGAAAGACCTGGTGGGATTGTGGAAACTGTCATGTTTGGAAAGGTCTGGTGGGATTGTGGAAGCTGTCATGTTTGGAAAGACCTGGTGGGATTGTGGAAACTGTCATGTTTGGAAAGTTCTGGTGGGATTGTGGAAGCTGTCATGTTTGGAAAGACCTGGTGGGATTTTGGAAACTGTTGTGTTTGGAAAGACCTGGTGGGATTGTGGAAGCTCTCATGTTTGGAAAGACCTGGTGGGATTGTGGAAACTGTCATGTTTGGGAAGACCTGGTGGGATTGTGGAAACTGTCATGTTTAGAAAGGCCTGGTTGGATTGTGGAAACTGTCATGTTTGGAAAGGTCAGGTGGGATTGTGGAAACTGTCATGTTTGGAGGTCTGGTGGGATTGTGGAAACTGTCATGTTTGGAAAGACCTGGTGGGATTGTGGAAACTGTCATGTTTGGAAAGACCTGGTGGGATTGTGGAAACTGTCGTGTTTGGAAAGACCTGGTGGGCTTGTGGAAACTGTCGTGTTTGGAAAGGTCTGGTGGGATTGTGGAAACAGTCATGTTTGGAAAGACCTGGTGGGATTGTGGAAACTGTCATGTTTGGAAAGGTCTGGTGTGACAAATGGAAATGGGTGATGAATTTAAGTCCTAGACACCTGATGCGTCATTTGAAACTGTCCAGTATGAGTTGTGGAATTTTGGAGAACTATCCTGATGAATCTGTAGATCTAGTGCTGCAAGTTCATGAGCGGGTACGTGCGTGTGAGTGTGAGTGTGAGTGAGTGTGAAACATGGAATTTGTAGTTTCATGTGACATATGATGTCTTATTGTGACAGGAGACATATGGTGAAGACCCGTATTTGTCAGGCGTCATGGCTGCGAGTTTCGTGACCGGCTTGCAGGGCCCCCACTACCGCTACATCCGAGCCAGTGCTGGATGTAAACACTTCGCCGCCTACGACGGTCCAGAGAACATCCCATCATCCAGACTGTCATTTGATGCAATTGTACGTAGACTCTGCCTGCAGGGCTAGAAATGTACGTGTTTCAAGTGTGACACTTGACACTCATATAGATGTAGAGGTGTGACAATGGAGAATGTAATTGTACCAACCAAATGACATGTTTCAAACAGAAAACATGGTATTGTGATACTCTTATGTTTTCCTAAGGATTAATATTCATGAAACTTATTGAGTAAGTGGTATAGTTTTTAAAAAAATCATTGTTTTGCATTGCATGAAACATATAGCAGAGTGCCCTTCATTTCCATTGCGCAGTTGAACACTCCGCTCCACTCCACTCCACTCCACTCCACTACCTGCCCGCGTTCCGAGCCTGTGTGTTCTGATGACTGTGGTTGTTTGTTTCTATGCAGGTGGCAGAGAGAGATCTGCGTACAACGTACCTGCCCGCGTTCCGAGCCTGTGTGTTCTGATGACTGTGGTTGTTTGTTTCTATGCAGGTGGCAGAGAGAGATCTGCGTACAACGTACCTGCCCGCGTTCCGAGCCTGTGTGTTCTGATGACTGTGGTTGTTTGTTTCTATGCAGGTGGCAGAGAGAGATCTGCGTACAACGAACCTGCCCGCGTTCCGAGCCTGTGTGTTCTGATGACTGTGGTTGTTTGTTTCTATGCAGGTGGCAAAGAGAGATCTGCGTACAACGTACCTGCCCGCGTTCCGAGCCTGTGTGTTCTGATGACTGTGGTTGTTTGTTTCTATGCAGGTGGCAGAGAGAGATCTGCGTACAACGTACCTGCCCGCGTTCCGAGCCTGTGTGTTCTGATGACTGTGGTTGTTTGTTTCTATGCAGGTGGCAGAGAGAGATCTGCGTACAACGTACCTGCCCGCGTTCCGAGCCTGTGTGTTCTGATGACTCTGGTTGTTTGTTTCTATGCAGGTGGCAGAGAGAGATCTGCGTACAACGTACCTGCCCGCGTTCCGAGCCTGTGTGTTCTGATGACTCTGGTTGTTTGTTTCTATGCAGGTGGCAGAGAGAGATCTGCGTACAACGTACCTGCCAGCGTTCCGAGCCTGTGTGAAGGCCGGCTCTCGTAGTATTATGTGCAGCTACAACAGGTATGTCCTGTCTTTAGTAATCATGACATAGGAATACATGTAAAGATACACCAATATATGACGTGTTTATCCTTGCAGTGTAAATGATGTGGTATGGAGAGTATATAGGAACACATGTAAAGATACACCAATATATGACGTGTTTATCCTTGCAGTGTAAATGATGTGGTATGGAGAGTATATAGGAACACATGTAAAGATACACCAATATATGACGTGTTTATCCTACCTTGCAGTGTAAATGATGTGGTATGGAGAGTATATAGGAACACATGTAAAGATACACCAATATATGACGTGTTTATCCTTGCAGTGTAAATGATGTGGTATGGAGAGTATATAGGAACACATGTAAAGATACACCAATATATGACGTGTTTATCCTCCCTTGCAGTGTAAATGATGTGGTATGGAGAGTATATAGGAACACATGTAAAGATACACCAATATATGACGTGTTTATCCTTGCAGTGTAAATGATGTGGTATGGAGAGTATATAGGAACACATGTAAAGATACACCAATATATGACGTGTTTATCCTTGCAGTGTAAATGATGTGGTATGGAGAGTATATAGGAACACATGTAAAGATACACCAATATATGACGTGTTTATCCTCCCTTGCAGTGTGAATGGTGTGCCTGCTTGTGCCAATGAATACATTCTGAATGAGGTACTTCGGAAACAGTGGAACTTCACTGGGTACGTGGTGAGTGACGAAGGTGCCATCGAAAATGTCATCTGGACACACTTCTACAAGCCTAACCATGTGGAAGCTGTCGCGGCCTGTGTCAAGGCCGGCTGTAACCTGGAGCTCTCCGGGAATGACAGGAACAGTGTCTACACTTCTATCGGTGAATAGTTGTCTGTTCAGTTCATTAATACTTGTCTTCTAAATCCAAAGGGTCTGCCTCCATTGTCTCGTGGTAGAGTCTCTGCCCAGAGGGTGGAAGGTCCAGGGTTTGATCCCCAGCTACATCATACCAATTGACGTTACAAGATGGTACTAGTTGTTACCCTGCCTGGCGCTTAGCATTAAGGGGCTAAAACAAGAACTGGTCGGCTCGGTGTCAGTATTCTGGTCCGAGTGGGGTATTCTTGTTAAACTGTGGCATAGTATCTCAGTGGGATAGCACTATAACATGACTAGCCCTGACTAGTACAAGCAGCAACACACACACACATATGTATGCACATCGCTTATCTACCTCTACCTCACACTGCTTGCCACTTGGCTACCTAAAAGTAAACATAACTAGTGACTATATCTGTTTAAGATATCTGTTGGCTCCTAAAATGTTAGGTTTGGCTCCCCCACTAAAAAAGGAACCTATGGGGCTGAAGTTTCAAATGTTTTCTTCAGTGACAGCAATAAAGGAACACAAATTGGATGAAAGCTTGGTCCGAGAACGGGCGAAGCCTCTGTTCTACACCAGAATGAGGCTAGGCGAGTTCGACCCTCTGACCATGAATCCGTATGCAAGTATCGACATGACGTCTATCCAAGGTGCAGCTCACAGACAGCTGTCTCTAGATGCTGCCATGAAGTCATTTGTCTTGCTGAAAAACACAGGGGGCTTCCTACCATTCAAGACCAGCGGATTCGACAACATTGCTGTGAGAAATCATATTGATATGCAAATTGGACTTCTCTGTTGTGTCAGTAGTTGTATGTACTTGTAGATGAGTAACAGATTCTGCCAAAACAATGATTACAGTGGATACTCCTAGTTCCTATGACCTTATGACCTTTGAGACTAAAGTCTGACAAATTGCTTACAAGTCACTTTTAAGAATCAAATGTGCCCTACTAAAGTATTTAAATCCTGAAATATGGCTTGTTAGCTACCAAGGTGAGCTTAAGGGATACTGTGGCATCTGGTGTCCATCCGTCGTCTATTCGTCAACAATTCATTTAAACGACTTCTTCTTTGGAACCACTGATAGGAAATTAATGAAATTTGACTGGAAGCATCCCTAGGTAATAGGGCCGGGGCCAAATAGGGGTAATTTGGCTATATTGCTTTAAACGACTTCTTCTCTGTAACTAAGAGATAGATATCAACCATATTTGGTTGGAAGCATCCCTAGGTGGTGGGTATTCAAAAATGTACAAATGGTGGGGCTGACCCCCCCAAGGGGCTGAGGGGCAGGGTCAAATAGGGGTAATTTGGCTATATTGCTTTAAACGACTTCTTCTCTGGAACTAAGAGATAGATATCAACCATATTTGGTTGGAACCATCCCTAGGTGGTGGGGATTCAAAATTGTACAAATGGTGGGTCTGACCCCCCAAGAGGCTGAGGGGCGTGGCCGGGGCCAAATAGGGATAATTTGGCTATATTGCTTTAAACGACTTCTTCTCTGGAACTAAGAGATAAATATCAACCATATTTGGTTGGAAGCATTCTCCGGTTTTGAGAATTCAATATTGTACAAATGGAAAGGCTGTTCAACCCCCAAGGGGCTGAGGGGCGGGACGAAATAGTGGTAATTTGGCGTTATTGCTTTTAACGACTTCCTCTCTGGAACTTAGAGATAGCTATCAAACTTATTTGGTTGGAAGCATTTTCAAATGGTGGGGATTCCAATTGGAGATATGGAGGGGCTGAACCCTTCCCCCACCCGCGGGGACTAAGGGACAGGGCTAAAAAGAGTTTATAACTTGGACAAAATTAAGATCCCCACCGTAGAACCATATGTTGATTGGTTGGTTTGTTGTTGAATGCCGCACTCAGCAATATTCTAGCTATATGACGGCGGTCTATAAATAATCAAGTCTGGACCAGACAATTCAGTGATTGATATCATGAGCATCGATCCACTCAATTGGGATCGATGACATGCAGCAACCAAGTCAGCGAGTCTGACCACCCGATCCTGTAGTCGCCTCTTATGACAAGCATAGTCGCCTTTTACGGCAAGCATGGGTTGCTGAAGACCTATTCTACCCCGGATCTTCACAGGTCTATAACCATATGTACAATTGAGAGTAAAATGGGAGGAAAGCACATTTGCTACCAGGACTGGCCCTTCTGTTCATCTGTCCGACACTCCCTAAGGAGTTAGAACCTTGACCATAACATGCAAACCGATATTATCCCCACCCTATAATAAACAGATATATTGTATACATTTGTTTGTTATGAAGAGAGTAATACATTTGATATGGTTTATCCTGGATCATAACATGGAAACGGTTCAGATCTTTATGCTACACTTGTATGTAGAGAAATACACGTTCATGCTGTCAGATTTGCCATCCACCCATTATAAATGGTGACAGAGTCAAAATAATGAAATATTTGCAGTATTATAAATGTGTACAATGCAAATGTATATTCTGTCATGATTGCGTAAATATCCAGGTGAGAGATACAGGCCCTATGGGCCTCTTGTTATTTGTATTACAACATAAATAGCATGTCTGTGAACAGTTACAGTTCTATTCCTTCTGCAGTGTACAAAAACAGTATTGGCCAGGTGAGCTACAAAGGCCTTGTTTTTATCTGAATCCATGTAACTAATACTGGCAATTAAAAAATGTCAGGATTTACAGTTAAAAATGTCGATTCAAAAATAATATTTAAACTGAATCTCATTTTTCTGTTTCTAATGATTGAAATTGAATGCTTAAAGGGTAAAAGGGTTATCAGTACCTGTAGGTGGCAAAATGCTACGTTGAATGTTGTATGGTACTCTGTTTCAGGTGTTAGGACCAATGGCTGACAACATCAAGCAGTTGTTTGGCGACTACTCTGCCACTGTGATGCCGCAGTATGTGACGTCCCCGCTGGCAGGCCTGCAGAAGTTGGCCACCAACATCGCCTACACTCCTGGGTGTAACGACAACAAGTGCTCCAAGTACTCGAGTGCGGAGGTCAGGCAGGCAGTCCGCAACAGCCAGGTGGTGTTTGTGTGTGTCGGGACAGGTGAGTTGAGGTGTCCAGTGACAGGTGACAATCACACTTTGTGTGTGTCGGGACAGGTGTGTTGTGACTTTGTGTTGGGACAGTTGTGTTGTGATGTCAGGGTGTGCATCTTCCAGTGACAGGTGACAATCACACTTTGTGTGTGTCGGGACAGGTGTGTTGTGATGTCAGGGCGTGCATCTTCCAGTGACAGGTGACAATCACACTTTGTGTGTGTCGGGACAGGTGTGTTGTGATGTCAGGGTGTGCATCTTCCAGTGACAGGTGACAATCACACTTTGTGTGTGTCGGGACAGGTGTGTTGTGATGTCAGGGTGTGCATCTTCCAATGACAGGTGACAATCACACTTTGTGTGTGTCGGGAGGGTTGTGTTGTGACGTCAAGGTGTGCATCTTCCAGTGACAGGTGACAATCACACTTTGTGTGTGTCGGGAGGGTTGTGTTGTGATGTCAAGGTGTGCATCTTCCAGTGACAGGTGACAATCACACTTTGTGTGTGTCGGGAGGGTTGTGTTGTGATGTCAAGGTGTGCATCTTCCAATATATAGTGGTCATGGCCTTGATAGATACACTGTGAAGTAAGTGTCTTGTTTCAGGTCAAGTTGTGGAGAGTGAAGGCAATGACCGACAAGACATTCAGCTTCCAGGACAACAGCAGAAATTGGTGCAGGATGCAGTCCAATACAGTGAGTAACTGTCTATATCACCCAATGCAGTCAAATAGAGTAACTGTCTATATCAGCTGATGTAGGATGCAGTCCAATACAGTGAGTAACTGTCTATATCAGCTGATGCAGGATGCAGTCCAATACAGTGAGTAACTGTCTATATCAGCTGATGCAGGATGCAGTCCAATACAGTGAGTAACTGTCTATATCACCCAATGCAGTCAAATAGAGTAACTGTCTATATCAGCTGATGTAGGATGCAGTCAAATACAGTGAGTAACTGTCTATATCACCCAATGCAGTCAAATAGAGTAACTATCTATATCAGCTGATGTAGGATGCAGTCAAATACAGTGAGTAACTGTCTATATCACCTGATGCAGTTAAATACAGTGAGCAACTGTTGAGTAACTGTCTATATCACCTGATGCAGTCAAATAAAGAAACTGTATATATCACCTGATGCAGTCAACTACAGTAACTGTGTATATCACCTGATGCAGTCAACTACAGTAACTGTCTATATCACCTGATGCAGTTAAATACAGTGAGCAACTGTTGAGTAACTGTCTATATCACCTGATGCAGTCAAATAAAGAAACTGTATATATCACCTGATGCAGTCAACTACAGTAACTGTGTATATCACCTGATGCAGTCAACTACAGTAACTGTGTATATCACCTGATGCAGTCAAATACAGTGAGTAACTGTCTATATCACCTGATGCGGTGAAATACAGTGTGTTACTGTCTATATCACCTGATGCAGTGAAATACAGTGTGTTACTGTCTATATCACCTGATGCAGTGAAATACATTGAGTAACTGTCTATATCACCTGATGCAGTCAAATACAGTAACTGTCTATATCACCTGATGCAGTGAAATACAGTGAGTAACTGTCTATATCACCTGATGCAGTGAAATACAGTGAGTAACTGTCTATATCACCTGATGCAGTCAAATACAGTGTGTAACTGTCTATATCACCTGATGCAGTCAAATACAGTGAGTAACTGTCTATATCACCTGATGCAGTCAAATACAGTGAGTAACTGTCTATATCACCTGATGCAGTCAAATACAGTGAGTAACTGTCTATATCACCTGATGCAGTCAATTACAGTGAGTAACAGTTTAAGTGTCTATATCACCTGATGCAGTCAAATACAGTGAGTAACTGTCTATATCACCTGATGCAGTCAATTACAGTGAGTAACAGTTTTACTGTCTATATCACCTGATGCAGTCAATTACAGTGAGTAACAGTTTTACTGTCTATATCACTGTTACAGTGAGTCTCTACCTATATCACTCAGATGTTAGGATACAGAATATCTTTAATGGTTGCAGGTGATGCACCGGTGGTTGTGCTGGTGTTCAGTGCTGGGCCGGTCAACATAACATGGGCCATGGAGTCCTCCAAGGTTCTGGCCATCCTGCAATGTTTCTTCCCTGCTCAGGAGACGGGTCAGGCACTGATCAGGGTGTTGACCGCAGACAGTGCCAACTCTGTCCCTGCTGCCAGACTGCCCTACACCTGGCCTAGGTACAGTACAGAGGTGAGTTACCATAGTTACAGACTGCCCTACACCTGGCCTAGGTACAGTACAGAGGTGAGAGTTACCATAGTTACAGACTGCTCTACACCTGGCCTAGGTACAGTACAGAGGTGAGTTACCATAGTTACAGACTGCCCTACATCTGGCCTAGGTACAGTACAGAGGTGAGAGTTACCATAGTTACAGACTGCTCTACACCTGGCCTAGGTACAGTACAGAGGTGAGAGTTACCATAGTTACAGACAGCCCTACACCTGGCCTAGGTACAGTACAGAGGTGAGAGTTACCATAGTGACAGACTGCCCTACACCTGGCCTAGGTACAGTACAGAGGTAAGAGTTACCATAGTGACAGACTGCCCTACACCTGGCCTAGGTACAGTACAGAGGTAAGAGTTACCATAGTGACAGACTGCCCTACACCTGGCCTAGGTACAGTACAGAGGTGAGTGTTACCATAGTTACACTGCCCTACACCTGGCCTAGGTACAGTACAGAGGTGAGAGTTACCATAGTGACAGACTGCCCTACACCTGGCCTAGGTACAGTACAGAGGTGAGAGTTACCATAGTGACAGACTGCCCTACACCTGGCCTAGGTACAGTATAGAGGTGAGAGTTACCATAGTTACAGACTTCCCTACACCTGGCCTAGGTACAGTACAGAGGTGAGAGTTACCATAGTTACACTGCCCTACACCTGGCCTAGGTACAGTACAGAGGTGAGAGTAACCATAGTTACACTGCCCTACACCTGGCCTAGGTACAGTACAGAGGTGAGAGTTACCATAGTGACAGACTGCCCTACACCTGGCCTAGGTACAGTACAGAGGTGAGAGTTACCATAGTTACACTGCCCTACACCTGGCCTAGGTACAGTACAGAGGTGAGAGTAACCATAGTTACACTGCCCTACACCTGGCCTAGGTACAGTACAGAGGTGAGAGTTACCATAGTTACACTGCCCTACACCTGGCCTAGGTACAGTACAGAGGTTAGAGTAACCATAGTTACACTGCCCTACACCTGGCCTAGGTACAGTACAGAGGTGAGAGTTACCATAGTTACACTGCCCTACACCTGGCCTAGGTACAGTACAGAGGTGAGAGTTACCATAGTTACAGACTGCTCTACACCTGGCCTAGGTAGAGTACAGAGGTGAGAGTTACCATAGTTACAGACAGCCCTACACCTGGCCTAGGTACAGTACAGAGGTGAGAGTTACCATAGTGACAGACTGCCCTACACCTGGCCTAGGTACAGTACAGAGGTGAGAGTTACCATAGTGACAGACTGCCCTACACCTGGCCTAGGTACAGTACAGAGGTAAGAGTTACCATTGTGACAGACTGCCCTACACCTGGCCTAGGTACAGTACAGAGGTGAGTGTTACCATAGTTACACTGCCCTACACCTGGCCTAGGTACAGTACAGAGGTGAGAGTTACCATAGTGACAGACTGCCCTACACCTGGCCTAGGTACAGTACAGAGGTGAGAGTTACCATAGTGACAGACTGCCCTACACCTGGCCTAGGTACAGTATAGAGGTGAGAGTTACCATAGTTACAGACTGCCCTACACCTGGCCTAGGTACAGTACAGAGGTGAGAGTTACCATAGTTACACTGCCCTACACCTGGCCTAGGTACAGTACAGAGGTGAGAGTAACCATAGTTACACTGCCCTACACCTGGCCTAGGTACAGTACAGAGGTGAGAGTTACCATAGTGACAGACTGCCCTACACCTGGCCTAGGTACAGTACAGAGGTGAGAGTTACCATAGTTACACTGCCCTACACCTGGCCTAGGTACAGTACAGAGGTGAGAGTAACCATAGTTACACTGCCCTACACCTGGCCTAGGTACAGTACAGAGGTGAGAGTTACCATAGTTACACTGCTCTACACCTGGCCTAGGTACAATACAGAGGTTAGAGTAACCATAGTTACACTGCCCTACACCTGGCCTAGGTACAGTACAGAGGTGAGAGTTACCATAGTTACACTGCCCTACACCTGGCCTAGGTACAGTACAGAGGTGAGAGTTACCATAGTGACAGACTGCCCTACACCTTGTCTAGGTACAGTACAGAGGTGAGAGTTACCATAGTTACACTGCCCTACACCTGGCCTAGGTACAGTACAGAGGTGAGAGTTACCATAGTTACAGACGGCCCTACACCTGGCCTAGGTACAGTACAGAGGTGAGAGTTACCATAGTTACACTGCCCTACACCTGGCCTAGGTACAGTACAGAGGTGAGAGTTACCATAGTTACACTGCCCTACACCTGGCCTGGGTACAGTACAGAGGTGAGTTACCATAGTTACACTGCCCTACACCTGGCCTAGGTACAGTACAGAGGTGAGAGTTACATACAGATTGACTGACAGTATTGGGGATTTTGCTATTCAAGAATATACTTCTTTTGTGCAGCAAACAACAACAGACAATGGAATATAATAACATAATGTATTTACATTGGAGAAAATGGGGGGCTACCTAGGTTGCTGGTGCTAGTGGGGCGTAAACCCGAGTCGTAGGATATAGAGAAAGAGTACCCCGAGGATCGTGGATCCTGGATTGATAGCTTGTTAGTGGGTCGTCAACCCGAGTATTGTTGTGGATTAATCTTGGGTCTAGGATCCCAGTATTAGTAAAGATGTACCCTTGGAGGTCGTAAAGCCCCGGGTGTTAGGTTAGGGAGAGGTATATGGTATGAGTAGGGGGCTACAGACACCCGCCTGATGGAGCAACCAAGGCAGCCTCACAAGGTGGTATGAAGGGGATGGATGGTGGGAGAAGCATAAACAAGATGGCTTTGAGAGAAACGAGAACAAGCGGATGCTGAGTGAAGGGTTAAATAGGCTTTAGTGTGTGACATCAGAAGAATAGGTTTGCGCATGCGTTGCAGACAAAGTATTGGATTGTGGGATAGGTAAGGTGTAACCTGATCCATAGCTGAAAAACGGAGTACGATGTACAAGTGATGACAGTTCATAATAAAATATACGACGTTGTAGGATACATGAAGCACAAGATGCTGCGGCTAAGGTAGTAGTTGTTTGTGCACAAACTAAAATAATAAATTTGACATTTTTTGTGAGTGTGTTTCAAGGAAACAATTCAAATGATTGTAGAGTTTGTTACTCAACTGTTCAATGTGTTTGCTTGAAGCTTTATATGCACATCAGAAACATGATACACCTTGATGGGGATCCTGAGCTAGAGCCTGTGCTTGTTGTATGAAGTGAGTCATGGATTGGTTGGTCAAAGCTTGATGACTTGGTTGATTGTGTGCCATCATACCCTACAGCTTGGGAGACTATCACATCAATCCCTGGTTACAGGCTGCCGTAGTGTAGGTGGAATATTACCTTTATTATTGAAATAAATCATTGACTACTAGATACTTGACAATATACCATGTAACATTAGTATAACAGTAGAGTGTTGAATTGAAGGAAGGTCCAGAAAGCATTTAAAGAATATAAGGAATCACTTTGTTTTGTTTTATGATGAACGTTTGATTCTGCCAGGGTTCATCTGCCATCAGTTGTGCTCCCAAGGTCTAGGTCACACCGCAGGCTTCAGTGTATATCATATTTTGATTTTATGAACATAGAAAGATGGGATATCGATGACTTTGGCTTTTTGTTTGAAGTATTGCTAAGAGTTCCTTTGGTTTTGGTCAGTAGAAAGAGGTTTACCCCCAAAATAGAGCTCGTTATTCTCAACATGAAAATACTTGTTCCCACAAATACCTCAATGTGGTGACAATGTGCCCTTGTACATCCTGCTCCTGTGGCTGTTTCTCAGTGTGGCTTTGGCTGCAGGTTGGCAAGATGACGGACTACACCATGCATGGCAGGACGTACCGCTACTCCCAGACTGATCCCCTGTTCCCCTTCGGCTACGGCCTGTCCTACACCACCTTCAACTACACCAGTCTCACCTACCCTGCAGTCATACAGGCCGGGCAGAACCTCACTGGCAGCATCGTCGTGCACAACACAGGACAGTATGATGCTGATGAGGTGAGATGCTGCCTCGTGACAGTGGTGCTGTCCCAGAAACCCTAATGATATCTGACAGCTCTAGTTTTGTGGACATGTACATAGCTTTTCTTTAGTTCCATGTTTAGTATATTGGAGTCCTGCAGTTCCAGTCGTCATTTGAAACAGAAGTCAAGGCAATGGGTTGAGTGGAGGAAGAAGCATTTGAAAACTAATGGTGGTTTAGGAATGTTTTTTTTTTCTTGCATTTTAAAAAAAAAAGTACCTGTTACATAGTCACACGATTACTCTAATAATACAAATATACTGCGTATATCATGTATGCAGAAACTATTAAAGCTTATATGTTATATTGCAGTGCAGGAAGGTACATGGTCTCAGACATTAAATTCTATAGTGTAAAACTAAATTAAAGTGAAAGCTGCTCCTATTTTTCGAAAAGTTAATGATACAGCATCGTGGCTCCATAGAATTTCGCCTTATTACAAGTCTTGAAAGAAATATCTTTTTCAATGTTGTTTTTTTCCTCCCGGTTTTAAAAAACAGTGATACAGCAATCACCATGTCCATCCATCAGCTGTCTGTTTTTCATTTCTGTAGCAGAACTCCAAAACTGTTAAATGTTTCTTATTGAAACAGTCTAGTGGGGAAATGGTGCCTTTTGATGATTTGGGATTTTTATTCTTTTTTTTTGTTTGTTTTGTTTTTATGATATTTCATGTTGAAAACAAGTTGTTTTCTGTTTCTGTAGCAGAACTTCAAAATGTTTTTTGTTGAAACTTGCTATACAGCTCAGTCTAGCAAAACTCTAAGGTTTGTTTGTGAAACCTCTAAGGGCCTGAGGACGAAAGTGTAAGCGTTTTGGCAGATAATCTTAAAAAAAGGGTTTGACCCTTAAATAGTCCTGCCCGAGATCTACTACTGACTGACTGGTGGGCCTCCTGACTTTCCTCTCCAGGTGGTGCAAGTCTACATCTCCTGGGAGAATGCCACGGTCGTCACTCCGAGGCTACAGCTGGTGGACTTCCACCGAGTCTTCATCCCCAGTGCCAAGATGGTGCAGGTGAACTTCACAGTGACAGCGGAGGCCATGGCAGTGTGGGTGGACAGCAGTCGGGGATGGGTGATCGAGCCTGGTGAGTTGTGTGGACAGCAGTCGGGGGTGGGTGATCGAGCCTGGTGAGTTGTGTGGACAGCAGTCGGGGGTGGGTGATCGAGCCTAGTGAGTTGTGTGGACAGCAGTCGGGGATGGGTGATCGAGCCTGGTGAGTTGTGTGGACAGCAGTCGGGAATGGGTGATCGAGCCGGGTGAGTTGTGTGGACAGCAGTCGGGGATGGGTGATCGAGCCTGGTGAGTTGTGTGGACAGCAGTCGGGGGTGGGTGATCGAGCCTGGTGAGTTGTGTGGACAGCAGTCGGGGATGGGTGATCGATCCCGGTGAGTTGTGTGGACAGCAGTCGGGGGTGGGTGATCAATCCAGGTGAGTTGTGTGGACAGCAGTCAGGGGTGGGTGATCGAGCCTGGTGAGTTGTGTGGACAGCAGTCAGGGATGGGTGATTGAGCCCGGTGAGTTGTGTGGACAGCAGTCGGGGATCGGTGATTGAGCCAGGTGAGTTGTGTGGACAGCAGTCGGGGATTGGTGATCGGATTGGGTGAGTTGGGTGGACAACAGGTAGAGGGTGGTGGTGGCCGGTGAGTCAGGTGGACAACAGGTGGAGGGTGGTGGAGGCCGGTGAGTTGGTTGGACAACAGGTAGAGGGTGGTGGTGGCTGGTGAGTCGGTTGGACATCAGGTTGAGCGTAGTGAAGGCTGGTGAGTTGGGTGGACAGCAGGTGGAGGCTGGTGAGTTGGTTGGACAACAGGTGGAGGGTGGTGAATTGGGTGAATTGGGTGGACTGCAGGTGGAGGGTGGTGGAGGCCGGTGAGTCGGGTGGACAACAGGTTGGGCGTGGTGGAGGGTGGTGAATTGGGTGGACAGCAGGTGGAGGGTGGTGAGTCGGGTGGACAATAGGTGGAGCGTGGTGGAGGCCAGTGAGTCGGGTGGACAACAGGTGGAGCGTGGTGGTGAATTGGGTGAATTGGGTGGACTGCAGGTGGAAGGTGGTGGAGGCCGGTGAGTCGGGTGGACAACAGGTTGGGCGTGGTGAAGGGTGGTGAATTGGGTGGACAACAGGTGGAGAGTGGTGAATTTGGTGGACAACATGTGGAGGTTGGTGAATTGGGTGGACAACAGGTGGAGGGTGGTGAATTTGGTGGACAACAGGTGGAGGGTGGTGAATTGGGTGGACAACAGGTGGAGGGTGGTGAATTGGGTGGACAACAGATGGAGGGTGGACAACAGGTGGAGGGTGGTGAAGGCTGGTGAGTCGGGTAGACAACAGGTTGGGCATGGTGGAGGGTGGTGAATTGGGTGGACAACAGATGGAGGTTGGTGAATTGGGTGGACAACAGGTGGAGGTTGGTGAATTGGGTGGACAACAGGTGGAGGGTGGTGAATTGGGTGGACAACAGGTGGAGGGTGGTGAATTGGGTGGACAACAGGTGGAGCGTGTTCGAGGGTGGTGAATTGGGTGGACAACAGGTGGAGGGTGGTGAATTGGGTGGACAACAGGTGGAGGGTGGTGGAGGTCGGTGAGTTGGGTAGACAACAGGTGGAGCGTGTTCGAGGGTGGTGAATTGGGTGGACAACAGGTGGAGGGTGGTGAATTGGGTGGACTGCAGGTGGAGGGTGGTGGAGGCTGCTGAGTTGTGTGGACAGCAGGTGGAGACTGGTGAGTTGGGTGGACTGCAGGTGGAGGGTGGTGAATTGGGTGGACTGCAGGTGGAGGGTGGTGGAGGCTGCTGAGTTGGGTGGACAGCAGGTGGAGACTGGTGAGTTGGGTAGACAGCAGGTGGAGACTGGTGAGTTGTGTGGACAGCAGGTGGAGACTGGTGAGTTGGGTGGACTGCAGGTGGAGGGTGGTGGAGGCTGCTGAGTTGTGTGGACAGCAGGTGGAGACTGGTGAGTTGGGTGGAAGTGGAGGCTTGTGGGTTCGGTGGACAGCAGTCAGGGATAGGTGATTGAGGCTTCAGTGAATATTACCAAAGTCAGCAATATTTCCACTTTATCACAGCGGCATGTAAGAAGTGAAGTTTAAGATAGATGTTCACTTGTGCTCAAACTGTCAACTCTTTTCTCTTGGGCTTCAGGCAAAATGGACCTCTATGTCGGTGGCCAACAACCCAACCAGACGACGTCTGCTGACTCCAATGTCCTCCATGGCACCTTCCAGATAAAGAGCTCTGTATCACTTGGTGTTTACTGAATATTGAAAAATAGGGACCAGTCATTTATAGGCGGGTGTTTGAGGGACCAGTAATTTATTGGAGGGTGGTTGAGGGACCATTTTTTATCATGTTTATAGGAGAGTGGTTGGGCAGAGAGAATCACTGAAACACATGCCACATTCCAGTGGAGGGTGATCAAAGAAAATGATCTACTTTTACAACGTTAACCGGTGATTTGCGTGATTTTCATGAGAGCGGACTGCTCTGGTGTTACTGTAAGGGTCTACAAACCAACAGACAAATATTTAAGGAGGATGACTATGGTAATAATGAAAAATCAATCATTGATCTCAATGATGAAAGACTTGTTGCACATGTTTAAGACATTCCATGTAAAACGCGAGTCCCTTGTGTTACACATTCTTCTTGGATGTAAGATTACATGTAGCCCGGATCTTTAGGTGAATGCCTTAATCAGGGAGTTAGTTGAACTGCATCCTTTGATAACACATCAGGAACACTGAACACAAGTTTAATGGCAGCTTTCAAGCTGCTTGATGGGACATCCTGGCTGTTCATTGCTAATTCATTTTGAAGCCTTATTGCAAATTGGGGTCTGGCTTTTAAACAGCAAGGAGTACAAAAGGAAAGCAACAAAAAGATTTCGGTAGCTTGTTACAGTGACGTTAGTCATACGTAAAGTCTGACCAGAAACATTGATGAGAACATTGTAATAGATTTATTAAGTCACAAAACAAGAGATACGTTGGTCCAACAAACAGTGCTTACCTACAGCTACAAAACAGCAGACGTCAATATTTCATCCTCTTTAGACCACCTCTTTCCTAATACCGGTACATGCTTCAATGCAGCGAGGCATACTGCCTTTCAAAGAAGTTAGAAAATCATGAGTTATACTGTCCCAGTATCTCACGAACTCTGCTATCACCTGTAGTTTTGATTAATATTGGGTTCAGGTCTAGACTGTTGCTGGGCCATTCCAGGAGTGTAACATTTTGCTCCTTAGAATACCCACCTGTCACCACACAAAACTTAGTATATCAGTGTATCAGTGTAAGCTAGTATGTAAGCAAATTCTGTTCACAATAATTTCGGAGACATTTTTTCTTTTCTTTTTTAACCAAGACTGTTATTTTATTTAGCCTTATGCATAAGGACATAACATTGTCCTAATTTACATGTGTATGCTCCAAACACCAGTTCAAACGTTCTTGCTGTTCAGGTTTTAGGAGTGGTGATCGAATTCCTCAGGATTTCTGCCAGTCTTTTTCAGGCAAATGCATTCTTTAGAAATATGACCTGTTCCTCTATTTCATGCCTAAAATATCTCATATTTATGCAAAGTCACCAACAGTTAATTTCTTTGGCCTAACTGCTCCTTTTTGTGCTTAATTCCATCTCCATTCTCAAAACAGTTTTGTCTGTTCCCTGTGTGTTGATTCAATTCAGAAATAACTGTTTAGTGGTCTGGTTTGCCATCTGCAACTTTACTAATACATGAATCAAAGTCAGAATAGGTTCCACATGATAAATTCTGGTCAAACTATATCCAAATTGCTGAAACTTTGCTGTTATTTTGTGGGCTGATATGTGAACATTTGTTATCTTGTCTTCAGGAATGAGAACATTTGACAATGCTGTGTGAAGAGAATGTTTTATTGTGTGTATTATACCATTTATACCCAGAAAATACATTATTGCATTTTGGCTTGTCTGTGTTTTCTTTACATACATGCTATTTCAGAGGGATGACAAATTAGTTTGACATGAAACATTCTTGAGATCTGTACAAATATCACACTTGCTCCCACACACAACATTTTTTGTAACATGTCAAATCCATATTTGGTCTGAGGAGGAGATTGTTGATCAGGTGGTCAATTTCAGTGTGTAAACAAATAACACAAGGCATTTTGTTTTATAAAATTTCATAAATTCTGAAAGAAGTTTGAGAATATCACATAGGAAATTAGTTTATGCAAAATATTCAACAATAATTTTGTATTAGGTAGCTAATGAGAATATATGAAAAATATTTAAGGTTATTTAAAGAAGGTAAGCTATAGCAATAAAATACATCTTCAGCAATTTTCACACAAAAACACAAAGAACTTTTTCACAAATACATGCAGAGTTAACATGATTTACATTATGACAAGGCAGACATTTGATCTGAGTTGAACATGCAACCTGTTCCACAAGGTGATCTACAACAATCGTAGTGCTAAGATCGCTTTGTGGAACAGGATCCATGTACAGTAAAACCTCATTAATCCAGACTCCCTGTGAATAAGAAGTAGTCATAATATCTTCTTCAAAAAGCTGGGTTACTCGGAACGAGGTTTTTGGTCTGTACTTGAGTGAAAGTTGTACAATAATACTGAGAAATTTGAGCAAATAAATATCACAAACACTTTTACATGTACAACTGGGGTTAATACTGACTTCATAACATAATATACAAAAAAAATCAAATATTTTATAAAAAATCAAATATTTTATATATTTATATATATATATATATATATATATATATATATATATATATAAGTGATGCAGAAATATAATACTTGGCTTATTGTGTTATGTATCAAAATCACGGTCAAATAGTCAGCGGCGGTTGGTTTAAGGCACAATGGTGCCTTGTACATTTTTCACAATTCATAAAATACATCTAAATAATCATACATTAATATTGAATAGTACAAACATATATAAAATATATACTGTACATCCTATGCAATGTGTAACAAGGCTGAGATCAGAATATATCTTTCCCAAAAATTATTCAATATATTTTTCTTAAAAGCGGTAAAATGTCATGGAAGAATAGTTATGAGCAATCAAGCATATATATTATTTATTATACTGGCAATCAAACCCAATACAGTGGAAGAATAAATATTGAAGTACCGGGTATATGAAATTTACATATAGTATGTGGTGACTTTGTGGTTTAGTATACAATCATTAAAACAAACAGTAAAAACAGTCATTACATATAAAAGTATGTAAATCAAGTCGGTAATTATGATATAATTGAAGAGCAATAAGAATATTTTCCCCAAAATCCAAGGAAAATATTTAAATGAGTCATTATTGGTGTAATTTGTCAACCAACTTTTTTCATTCAACATTTGCCTCTATACAGAGTACAATATTGCAAGGAGACATTGAGCTGATTTGAATCAATTGTATCCAAGTCAGATTTCTGAAGTTGGTATAAAGTGTGTTATAAATGTTGGAGGAGTTGCCTCCCTTACACGTGTGCAGGGGGAGCACACTGCATACAGCCAATATTTTGCAGCAGTACAAATTATGGCAGAGAATTTTAGGTCTGTTTTTTAAGTAGTCTGGGTATTACAAAGAAATGGGTCATAGACTTATTAAAACCATTTTCAAACGTCAAAAAACTGCACCCTGGCAATTTTAAGTAATGACTAAATAAAAGGCATTTAAATTTGAAAACTTAATATATGATAATTTTTCAAATGAAATAACATTTTGTAACCAATTAATTTGGGACTTTAAATGTATTGAATTGTTCAACAAATACAACAAACTAACAACAGTAACAATGTCTTCTAACAGATGAACAATAAAAAGGAAAACACAGATAAATATTTTGTAATCACACTGAAAGTGGCAGGGTGTTTGTGAGATAAGGTCTGTTCACTGGACAAGTTACTACAATACACACCACCGTTACATTAACACTTACACTGTGGCACTCAACAAACAGAAAGTGTGGTTGATGGAAATAATCACTGCAATGAAAGTGAACATTTTGATAAGGAATGACACCTTGTTTACTGACACTGTCTTGTGTTTTTGGTGCATAAACCTTAACAAACACTCGAAGTGTTGCCAGCTATACAACTGCTTGTTCTTACTTTATATTACCCAAACAAAGAATTAATGAAAACTGGACTTGAAGTCTACAACATAAGTACTGGCTTAGTGCCTGATGAGACATTGGCTTAAAGTATTCACACTTATTTCAGATAAACATGATCTATTGTAAAAATAAATGTTTATCAACATTAAATAATGAAACAACTGATAAATACCAAGTATATATCGAAACCTCTTAGTAAATAATTCATTGAAGATTCACAGAAAAAGGAATTGTTCGCTCATGGATACTGTGTTTAAGTAATGAGGATGAATAGCACAATGGGAATCCTCCTTTGTTCAGACGATGACAGCAATGACAGCAATCAAGGATGTGAGACCCTCACTGAAGTGGTTGTTTGTTGTTGTTTATCGCTCCTTCTTGTTGTCCTTCTCCTCCTGGGGGAGGGTGAGAGGGAGGGGCGTGGCAGGCTTCCAGTCGTCCAGCTTCCGCACCAGCATCACCTCCTCGTCCACCGACCGCTTCCGCTCCTTTTGCTTGTAAGTCTCCCTGAACATGGACCAACGTGTCTAGCCATTAGTTAGGAGTTGAACACTTTCGTAATATACACTGCTTAACATATGTTAAGATCATACCTTTCACTAAATATGACTATTTTGGTCCTGAGAAAATGTTGTAGAGTATATTTCAAAATCAAACTATTTTAAAGTGTTATTTTTGCAGTGCTAGGTTTCACTTAAAAAAAACAAGTTCTTCTCAGTGTTTTGTTATTCATTCAAATTTTCAGTTCAGTCTTTGAATTATATTAAACCATTCAAAATCAAGTATTTCACATTGTATAAGAAATAGTCTGCTGATATAATAGTCTGTATATAATTTGTCACATACACAGTAACACGATATCCTCCTGATATTTCTAGTCAATGAAAACAAACAACATGACCAGGTGCATGGTGCTGACTTGGGGCCGAGAGTGAGTGAGTGAATTGGGGTTAACTCTTCTATGAACAGTATTCCAGTTATATCACGGCGTGTCCGCTTGATGCGGGAGGAAATTGCACAGGGAATTGTAGCGCCTTAACAACTAGGCCACCTGTGCCGGGACATGGGGTGAAGAGTGCAGTGCATCTGGGGTACCATTGTTGTGCTAATCGATGCATGCTACTTGAAGATACTTGCTGTACTAGGATTTCAAAACTCATTTCATCCCTTCAGGGCTACATAGAATAGAAAACCCACAATTATGAAGAGGAAAGAGCAGAATGGGAGTGGTGGTGAGGTTGGCATGCGATAGGTGCACAGAATCTGGTGGGTCAGCAGTGCACATGCAGCTGATCAACCACTTCCGTGTCCACCGGTAGAGCCAGAGTTCCTGTCCCACACAGTGATATTACCTCTAAAAGAATCATGACTCCAATCTTACAACAGGCTTACTATAGTCATACCTCTAGGATAGCTTTGTGGAAAGGGGCCCTTGTGGTTCCAATATGTTAATCATTAGATTTTCATCCAAATTTTATTACCATAATAAAAACATGAGGCAGGAGGCATTTCATTTCTTGGCATCTGTGTTCATTATTTGTTTGTTTGTTGTTTAACGCCACACTTAGCAATATTCCAGCTATATGACGGCAGTCTGTAAATAATCGAGTCTGGACCAGACAATCAAGTGACTGACATCATGAGCATTGATCCACATAAGTCAGTGAGCCTGACCATCTGATCCTGTTAGTCGCCTCTTAAGACAAGCATAGTCGCCTGTTACAGCAAGCATGGTTTGCTGAAGACCTATTATACCCCGGATCTCCACAGGTCCTGTGTACATTAGCTGTTGGTGAATAATGTGGAGTGTGTATCTGTATCAGTAAAGAAAGAACACATTTTCAGAACAGAGTTTCCTTGTCTACACATGCTTTGGGAAACCAAATGATGTGACCCTTCAATAACCTTCTTGTCTGTACGAGAACACCTGACTTCTAATGACCTTCACCTACCTGGAGAATGCAGGCATTGTGTGCAGTGGAACAAATGTGTCGGGTTTACGACTCACAGACACAGGTGTACTGAAAAAAGACATGCGTGAGACACCAATAGTTAGTACACAACACAACACAACACAACACAACATATACATGGTGCATATCCCATTTGTTTGTTCACCGTTGTGCAGTGACAAATGTTAGCAACACGACCAAACAAAAATGAAATGTCAAGGTCATCCAACCAGCAGCCATTCATCTGCCTAAGTTAGGGAAACAGGGTCCTACTGGTAGTTACTGTCATCGTCAATACTTCTTGGGTATGTATATAATAACGCTGCTTTGCGGAGTGGTTGCCATTTTTAAACAATGGATCTAATGAGTACTCCGACCAATGAGCATTCGGTTAACATCTCACAAACACACTTTCTAGTTTGACATCTTGTGCACCATGTGGTGTAGCACTGTGGTACATTCATTACTGCTTCAGTTTCAGGCAACAGCAGGGTTTGCAGTAAATAATTGCATGAAGTAGCACTGATTAGACTTCTGTGAGCTACACACGGCATTATTTCACTGGCTGCCAAAATCAGATACAATTCATCACTACACCGCACATTGGCCCTGTGTATTCATAGGCGATGGAGGAACAATGTGTATTGACGATGTGGAATGCTAAACTTTATGTTACAATATACATTAATTATATTTGGCTTTTTTCATTACTATGCCCAGCTTTGAATGATATTTATCTGAATTATTTTTACAATTATCGAAAGATGTTCACCTGTGAATACTTCCAACAGGTACCTGACCATTCTACTAGCATTGCTCAACAGTGAATAATATTACCAGTGCAAGTGATATAACTTAAATTGCACCCCTTTTGCTTTTGAGATTTGTATAAATAATGAGCCTCATAAAAAAAAGATGGTATTCAGGAGTCAGGAGAGGTTGGGGCTGGCACTCTCAGGGAGGTAATGAAGCTCACCTGAAGCTGACGATGGGTCTGGTGGAGCCGAGTTTGTGGAAGGAGCTGGAGAACTCGGGTGCCTGGTAGGACTTGTCACCGGGCGATGCCTCCGGGATACAGTTACGCATTTGAATATCGTTCACTGGAATAACATGAAGAGGTGGTTCAATCAGCTTTGTCAAACACAACTAAATGCTTTGAATAGTATTTCAGGTAAACTGAGTTTGATGTGGAAGGAAAGGGCGGAGATGGTAGATGTGTACCACTGGGGTGTCTCTGATGAGTGGGGACATGGTGCTGACACACCAAGGATCGGGAGTTGGAACCAGGTGAAGCTTAGGAAGGCTGCTATGTGATGTCACGATAAAGCCACAATAAATTAATTATTCAATTCACATTCTTATAAATGGTAGGTTTTAATTTTGATGTATTTCTTTTACTGCATATTGTCAAAGTTAAGAAGGTGAGGTGAAATGGGATTTAATCTCGCATTCAAGATTGATGCATTTATATAGCGATGTGCATGCATGTGTGTGTGTCTGTCCCCTTATGCTAGTCCGGACTGATGCCGATTTATTGTGCTAGCCCACTGAGATACCATGCCGCAGTTTAATATGAATACCCCATTCAGACACAGTATACTGACACCGAGCTGACCAGTCCTTGTTTTAGCCCCTTAATGCCGAGTGCTGGGCAGGGAAACAACAACTCCCATCTTTTGACGAATTTTGTAAGACACAGCTGGGGATCAAACCCTGGACCTTCCCCTCTCCCAAAGTAGAGAAAGAAGGGAACTTATAGAAACATTCTTTGTCTGTAATTAGATGGGGACAGTAATGTGGTGTGAGGAGGGGTCTTTTGTAGTTTAGCAGGCAATAATCTAAAAATGTCATTATGGCCTTATGATCATGTACAGAGGGCACATGTTCAGGCACCTGGCATACTAAACCCATCTTCAGATATATCCAAATGTATAAAGTCATCAGTTGGAGATGCCTGCTTGAAAAGTTGCATTCAGTATCTTATCCTACCGGGTACCCATTTGCTGCTGCTGTGTCCCAGGACAATACATGTAGCAACTAGAGTTTCAATAGGGCCAGACCTGGCAGACCTGGCAGACCTGGCAGACCAGGAACTTGTCAACTTGATGTGTGTGTTAAATTGTGACCATTGTGCTTGCATGCACATGCCACCTCCTTGGGATAATTATTTCATTGGGGCATCTGGACACTGAGCGAGTTGGGTCTTTTGCCACTTTTAGTTATACCCCAGCAATATCACGGTGGGGGAGGCCAGCAATGGGCTTCATGCACTGTTGTAGGAAATTAAACCCAGGTGATTGGCATGATGACCCAACACTTTAACCATTGACCCACTGGTAGAAGAACTGAGAATTGGTTCAATTTTAAAGATTGATCATTGTTTGAAAACCAACTTCAGAACCATTCATTCACCAATCATGAATGAGAATACAAATATGACACATGGAGAACATTCAGACACTGAAACAAATCAATCCTGGAAGAAATTGATCAACAGGAGCAGCACTGATTGGTAATTATTGGGATTCTGGGTTAAGAACATAGGTCTTTAGCAAATTATCCTCGTCAAAAGAGGCGACCACTTGGATCAAGTATCGCAATTGTGAGACTGATGCTCACGATGTCTATCACTGGACTGTCTAGTCCAGACTTGATTATTTACGAATAGATGGAATGTTGCTGAGCATGGCATTTAAAATGAATTATACAAACAAAGTCCTACCATTCCTGCTTTTCCCAAACCTCATGTTATGGGTGATCTCATCATGGGAGGTCTTGGTGGCTGAATGCTGGCCGTTAAAGATACACCTCATTCCAATCTTTGTGTGGTCGGGGTCCAAAAGCCACTCAGTATTACTTCTCATATAAGTGTCTGAAAGGCAACAAATCATTACATTTCAGTAGGTTTTCCACGTAAACTGAAATCATTTAATCTGTATGTGTCTTCTTACAGTACAGATGAAACAGAATAAATTCATGTCAAACTGGGGCACTATCCTGGTGTACAGGTGATACATGATTTAAGTCAACAATGACTCTCATAGTTTATTCTTTTCAACTGCTACATATTTTGCAAGAAAATAAATGAACAGTCTGTTCATAAACGTTTTGAGTTTACAGCCCAAACTTATACTTAACATGGCCGGAACTTATCCTTGACATGACATTCAATAGACTTCAGCAGATGTGACTTCAGCCACTTGTCAGAAGCCTGGGTCAAGGAGTGTCCAAAATGTCAGCCTGTCTGTCAGCCCACCTGCCCGTGGCTGATATAATTTTTCTGTCGGGCTGCATGAAATTTTCCTCAACCTGGCTGACTGTCTGGCAGATAATTTGTAATTCAACTTACATATTCAGTTTTATTCCTCCTCGTAGATTCTCATGTAATTGTTAGTATTATTTCAACTGAATCATGATTGAATTTGTTTCTTAATTTTTTGCGATTTTCCAATATTAATAATGATTGAATGCGGGCAGGTAACTTTGAAGATGGGCAGGCAACATTTATGGGTCACCTGCCCGACTGTCTTGTTGGGTTTTAAAATTATTTCAAACACTAGGGTCAAATCAAATTTCTTTTGGTCTTGTAAACTTGTAATAATAGTGCATAAATTAACCCAAAAATCTACTGTAAAAGATTTAGAGTCAAATGTATCGACTGCTATAGAGGTAACATGTACTTATGACTGGATAAAGCCAAACATAAAATTGGTATAGCCTCATTTGTAATACAATAGTAACCATGGTAACCAATGTTTTGCTTACATGGGTATGGTCTCATAGACCACCAGTTATTGGGCCATATTTCAGCAGCAGGATAGTGTGGGTTCTTCGGGTGGGGCAGGTACCGTAACCTTGACTCCCAGTCTGGACCGGCGCTGAATTGAAGAAAAATACTTCATGGGTAATATAATATCTATTATCCATAATGCATTAATGATCAGATTTTCATCCCTACCGCTTGATTGCCAAACACCCTGCCTAAGGGCACATTTTATTGCCCCCAAGTACCCACAGATGAAGAAATAACTTCATCAAGTACACCATGTATGTTGTGGTACCAAGCATTCATGCCGCATCTCAACCACATATCGAGATAAGATATTTTTTCACCTACGGCTAAAAACACATGTTTTTGTATTTATAACAATAAGCCTTATTTTTTAAAAAGAATAACACCTTGCAATAATGTAATTTTAATGGCAGGCAATTTTTTTTTCAACAGTCTGAAGCATAATTATTTTTTTCAAGAATTTTCGGGGACAATTTACATTTTCCAATAAAATCCCAGCCATCCCCCAACCTCTGGCACTCTGTGTTCTCATGTTCAAACGTGACATATTGACTAGGCAATCCAGGCTACCACCCTCAGTATCTGCTATATCGGTAGTTAATTCACATTTACTGAACAATAAACACATCCAGAACTATTGCCCTTGCATTATAATCGGACAAACTTGGTGAAGTTCACTAAAATGCACTGCAGTGTCAGGCCACGGAATTATATCCTCATATCATTGTATTCACACCAGTAAGAAGTTTGGCAATTCCCTAGAGGTATATGAAATTTGTACCTTATCTGTCAGTGGGATACAGGGGGAAAAAAGTGCCCATTCTGTACCCAATCAGAAATGAGAATCATAACATGTTGTACTTACTTTGTGTACTCTACGTCAACAAAAGTTCCATGAGGCCGCCATTCTTCAAACCGGCCATAGTTGTGTGGGATGTATCTTCGGCCTCTTTCTGTGTACGCTGTGTGTCCAGGGCGATTGTGTATGTCTGGGAAGTGGCGTCTTTCACGCTCTGAAACATTCCGATATTAAACAGTCATAAGCACATCTTTGAGAACATGTATCACATGACACACTGGACAAGAGCATTCCATGTCATTGGCTCTTTCACTTTCATCCAAGTTTTCACTGATGAAAAGACGTTTTAGCAGATCCTTCAAACCATTCAGGAGTCTGCACAACAATGACACAGGGATCCACAGATCTGAATGAATGTTTCACATGTCAATGGAAATTTCAAAAGCAGGTGCAAGCTCCAAAACTGTATCCATATGGAAGAACCCTAGATATTTGCTTAACTTAAATTCTAAGACTTCCAACATTTCAAAACTGTCAATACTTCACGGGTTTGTATACACTACGTTTCTCCATCACCTGCTGTATAGTGTTAAGTGTATGTGTAGTCAAATACAAGGGGCAATGGGGTAGTCCATTGGTTATGCGTCCGCTCATCACGACAAAATTCCGGGTTCAATTCCCCACATGGGTACAATGACTGCCCCATGTCCACACTCTTAAACTTTGTAGAAATTTACCTATTCATGCCTAAGACATTACATAACTGAACAGAAAAGATCCAATAGGTTACAGACACTTATGAAAATTACAGGTAGGCAAGTGTCTCGTGACTTTAGTCTACAGACACTTATAAGTGATCCTAAATAACAGGGTTTTAATAATTCGTGTGGTGATTTTGTAACTGAAAAGTGCGAGAGGGAGCTCAGTAAGGATAACATTGGTCACAGTAAGGAATGAGGAAGGCATAGGCATGGCTACAGACGGCATGAAGGTCAAGTTGACTTTTGACAAAGTGTCTTTGTGACGTTTCTATGAGAAGAATAAATGCAATTGAAAATGTGAAAAATAAACTTAACAAGAATTCCCTGACAAGTACATTTATTTGCACGCTTCGTGTCTCAGGTCCAGTGCCTGAAAAGGCATTAGAGTGAGTGAGTACGGTTTTACGCCACTTTTAGCAATATTCCATCAATATCATGGCAGGGACACCAGAAATGGACTTCACACATTGTACCCCTGTTGGGAATCGAACCTGGGTCTTTGGTGTGACGAGTGAACGTTTTAACCACTAGGCTACCTGACCGCCCCCGAAAAGGCATTAGAAGGGGGTACGACAACCTTAGATCCACTTCGCAGCCTGTAAAGCCTTCAATTGTATCCATCCTTGTCAATACAAAACTGCAAAAGATTGTTTGTTTCTTTCTTTTTGTTTAACGCAGCAATATTCCAGCTATATGACGACAGTCTGTAAACTGAGTCTGACAATTTAGTGATTGACATCATGAGCATTGATCAACGCAGTTGGGATACGATGACATAGGTGCAGGCTAAAATGGCAACTCAGCAAAATGTCACCGATTTCTCTGGCGAAAATGGTGAAAACGGCTACTATGTGTTGGGCAAAACGGCACTTCTATTTCTAATAATGATATGAACGATTTATGTGGTATTATATCTTCATCACTTGTTAACAATATCAGCCCATGTACCACTGAACATTGTGATAGTAGCTGACTCCATAACGAGGCACAGAAAGTACCACATACACGATGGGTCTACTGGTCGCATGATACAGCACATCGAAAGGCCATTGTGAATAATTGTGGTCTGATATCACCATGTTAGGCCTCTTAAATACAGTTTCAGCTTGACATGAGTTAAATTGAGTAAAGGTACTTAGACTTCAAAGCGTATAGTGTTTTCACAATACGTCAGCTGCACCTCCCAATCAGAGTCGGCGAGTAAATTGGAGTAGGGGGCTAATTTCTGAGGTAAACTTGTTTAACATTTCACAATTATTTGTGTTTGTAGTGTTTGTAAGAGATGATGTGAGTTTAATGTCATTTATTTTACTTCAAATTATGATATGTTTTCACAATAGGTTGAGTTGCATATAGGCTAAGTTGGAATATAGTTGGAGTAGATGCTAATTTCTAATGTAAACTTGCTTTAACATTTCACAATTATTGGTGTTTGCAAGTTACCATGTAAGTTTAATTTCATTTATCTGACCAAGGTAAAAAAAAATAAGGGGCTGTTTTCGCCAGGCAATAGCAGCCATTTTCACCAGTCGGTGACATTTGCGCCTGGTGACGTTTTGCTGAGGTGCCGTTTTAGCTATAACCCAATGACATGCATCTACCAAGAGACCAAGTGTCCGTTTTGTGCACAGACGTTCTCTTTAGTACACATTGTTCTTTCTTTACATATCATGTCTTTTGTTTAATAGCTGTTCTTTGGTATTGTTTTGTATTTTGAATTCATAATTTGTATGTAAGTAATGACCTTTATTTGTAAAATTCATTCTTTATTCGTAACATTTGACTATTATTGTGTACTTTTGTCCTTTATTTTGACTTTGTATTTTTGACTGAATGGCCGCCCATAGTTAACATTATGAGTGGATAATAAGTGGAGAACAAACTCATTTTTTAAGAAACTCAAGTATTGGAAATTCTCATAACAAGCGATGTTTTTTTAAAAAAGGCAAAAAATTCAAGTAGAAAAAAACAAAACAATTGTAAATGGTTTCCTACAGCCTTCTCGAAAAAGCAAACCATGCCTTGTGTGAAATACTTTTCCAATCATCACTTTTGCAAAACAAAATACCTAGAAAAATAACACAAAATCTAGACAGTGATTCAGGGGCCTATAGATTTGTAGCAGGTGCCCGCTGTTGAGAAGTTGATATCGAGAGTTGAGGATTTAGAGAGGAATCAGGGTTTAACCAACCTTGTTTTCCTGGTATTCCAATTTCTGTTGTTACATGCAACATCGTGGCAGCTGTGTGACAATATCACAGTTACACTAAAAGTTTCAGCCCGGAAGCCGGTTTGTTTACATCAAGTCGTCAACTTGTCAGCTGGGAGCCGCCATAATGGTCACGTGATCACGCGGTTGCTCTGGCAATATGGCTTGGAGTATTTACATATATGACTGTAATATGCTGTTTGGGGTGCAGGTTATGACTTTTCTGATTTAAAATAAATAAAAATGAAATGCTAGTAGAAAAAGTATAGATCTATCTTGAATAATTTTGAACTGCCCGTAAAATAGAGTTACTCCCCTTAGCAAAGTTAGTGGCAGTGTCATGTGGTAGGGTGCCCGTTCGAAGAAAAACAACTTTCTTTGACCACGATTACTGTATGTACAGTGTCTGAATGTGAATTCCGGTATTACTTAATGTCCTTCAATAACTGCGAGTATCCAATGTTATCTTTAAAACCTAGCATAAAATGCCTAAAAAGTATAAAAAATAACTCTTTAAGAGTAACTTAATTGGGACACACACACACACACACACACTCGCAAACACAATCACGCACGCACGCATGCACGCAGTCTCACATAAGAACCTAGTATCATACAGACCCTGAAACGAATATATCCAATACAACCCATGCAAGTCTATAATGTTTGGCAAGTCAAGATAACTGCAGTATCTGAAAATGAAGAAAGTCTCTGGGCTCCTTTTTATTATAGTTTATAACTATAATTTAACAACTGTTTTTTTCTGTAAAATATATTCATTTCAGAGACTAGATGTTAGTCTAATGAGAACCACGTAAGTTCAAATCTATAAATAAATGTGAAGAAAAGCTACCGAAAACTATTTTTCCATCCCTGTGGAAATACAGTTGTATTGAAAACAAAATTTAAAACGTGGAAAGTAAAATAAAACAACTGAACATATTGTCCACGGTGGTACATGTAATCCAAGTGCCACCGCGGTTGAATTACCTTTAGATAGATTCATTCACCGATTCGCATTTAGTTGTTATTGAGGTTTTGTCTTTTATATTTATTGTTCACGTTTTTTTTATATTTTCGAGTTTCTTTCCATTTTTTTCTCTTGTTTTATTTTTACTTTCATTTCATGTAACAACAACAACCATCGACTATTCACCAGAAATTCCAGTGATTGATATTACGAGCACGTACGAGTACTTACGTTGACACGCTATCATCTAAATCACCGAGCCTGACGCCCGGTCGATCCGTGCTGACCGCCTCTTAGGTTGATGGGGACCATTTCTAACACGAAATCCCAACGCCCAAAGGGGGTAAATTTGAGATTAGGAAACAAGTTTTAAATGATTTATCTTTTTATTAGGAAATAAATCTCAAATGTTATCGAGTTTCTTTCGATTATTTCTTTTCTGTTACATTTACACTCATTTCATGCAGCAGCAACAACAACAACAACAACAACAACAACAACAACAACAACAATCATCACATTTCTTTCAACATTTAAGCCTTGTTTCCTCATCACCAATCATCAACTGGTGATATCAATCACAATACGAAATCATAAAAAGTGCAGGGCAAATAATACCGTCTAATATATTTGCCTACCACGATACAGTCGCCTGCCACAACCTTCCCGTCCACTGCAGTTTATTGTATCGTCTGTGAGCACGTTTATGATGTCATTATGTCACGTGGCGCATTGTTACTATTGTGACGTCATACATGGTAAGTGAGGGCAATAAGCTGGGCCCCGTCTCTTCACAACAACGCAAGTTGATGACGCGCATGCAGAGTCAGGAGTCACCTTAAAAAAGGTACACTTTTAATATCTGCTAAGATGAGACGCGTTTAACTCTGGACTTTCTGGATTTGCTAGGACTCTGGAGGCGTTCCAACGAACGCCATGCGGACGTCATCGTACGGCAACATGACAGATTTGGAAGTGGGTCTATAAAATGATGGGGCGGGATCACTATGGATGCGAGAACACAACTGCATATTGTCCATGGAAAGGTCACTGGACCGTGCTACCGAGACAACATACTGGCGCCGATAGTTTGTGCCGTTTGCGCGCCATGCTGGTCTATGTTTTGTCATTCAAGACGATAACGCTCGTGTCAAGCGTGCACATAGGCTATCGTAACTGACTTTCATCACCAGAATGCAATGGCTAGCAAGTCCGTGAAGATCCGCCGGAAGAGAATTGGTCTTCAGCAACCCATGTTTGTCGTAAGAGGCGACTAACGGGAAACGGTGGTTAGGCTCGCTGACTTGGTTGATGCATGTCATCGATCTCAATTGCGTAGATGGATGATCATGATGTCAATAACTGGATTTTCTGGTCCGACTCGATTATTTACAGACCGCCGCCATACATAGTCCTAGGCCAAAGGCAAGAAAAGTGATCTAACAGAAGCAGAAAAGTGTTATCCAGTAATTCGTATGACACCTCCCAGCCTCCAGACATTCCTGTCAGTATGGAACCAGCCACAGAATGTATCAGGTTACAGGAATAAACAAACAAGGTTTCCCCCATTGCTTGACCCAGACAGTCCGTTGGTAGAACATGTAGAGCACAGTCTCTGATGAAGTGGGGTGGGTGGTTTTGTTTGTCTTCCATGCGCTGTAGTTGATTTATGGTTACATAATCTTAGTTTAGAAAAGTGCGCTCGATATTTCTTATTTTACAGTGACTGAGATAAGGTTCTAATTTTATTTCATTTTGAACTACTCTGTATGCCCTAAGGTTGTTTCCTGTGCCTGTGTTGTATTAGCATCTGAAGAGTGTCCGTGAAGAGAGAGACTTTATTGTCTCTTTGAGTGTTGGTGGTAGGAAATCTGAATTACTGATAATATTGAGTTTTTCTAAGAATAGATTGAGTTGGTATACCCATCCCATTCGTTTATTCACCAAAGATGTAATTTCAGCAAAATCATTCTGAACTATTATTTTTTTGGACATTTTCCAGAGGCAAGGTGTGAGTGAGTGAGTATGGTTTTACGCCGCTTTTAGCAATATTCCAGCAATATCACGGCGGGGGACACCAGAAATGGGCTTCACACATTGCACCCATGTCGGGAATCGAACCCGGGTCTTCGGCGTGACGAGCGAATGCTTTAACCACTAGGCTACCCGACCGCCCCTCCAGAGGCAAGGGCGTTAACTGACTATAAAAGTCCAGTTTCCACCCTTGCCGAACAAGGCTGGAATTTCCAGACTCGATCGTAGCGCCACCAATGGCTATTACGAGTTATGTCTCTTCTATGTCCCTCCTATTGACCAATCAGGTTCCACCTCTCATATCACTTGCAATTGTTTAAAAAAAATGGCGGCGCCAAGTGAAGACGATCTGCACTCTCCTACCCAGAGTTCCATGCGACCAGCATAGTACCTCTGCCACTGGCCGGCGCCAGGTGACGATACACAGTCCATTCAAGATATTGCAGTGTCTGCATATCTAGATAAAAAATATGTCATAAAATGGTTGATAAAATATCCTAAATCGCGAAAAACTATTTGCGTAGTTATCCTGTTTACATTGGTTGTAGCAGTTGTAGTAGCGTATCTATATAATTATGCAAATCAATACGTAAAGCGCCCCCAAATACTTGCATTAGTCCGTTCTATTCTTATTTCTGAAAAAAAACGCGTTTGTATACAAACAAGATATGCAAATAAGCCTGTGGCATTTTGAAGTTTCCTGAATATGGACGAGGTCTCAAAGAAGGATGGCCCGGAACACGCCAATTTCATGGCGACGGCGTCGGTAAAAGCAAACCATTTGAGGATTCGATTATTGAAGTAGTGAGTAAGTTGGGTTTAGCGCCGCTTTTAACAGTATTCCAGTTATATCACGGCGTGTCAGCTTAATGTGGGAGGAAAGCCCGAAGTGATGCAGGTCTCTGACGTTTACCACTTCGGTGAAACCCACCAGCACGGGTATGGTGCTGACAAACCTAGAAACATTATCGGGGCGAACCGGGATTCGAACCCACAGCCATAGGTTTCTGGCGTGCCCAAGGGACGCAACTCTGCACAGCGAATCGCGGCGCCTTAGACGACTGGGCCATCCGTGCCCCCTCGATTATTGAAGAGGTCGGAAAGGGATATAGACACCCTGGGACACTCCGGCATACTCCAATTTCGTAGCAGTGCCTTACTTTTGACGGCGTAGGTACAAGCAAACCATTTGAGGATTTGAATATTTTTGCGTACGTTTGTACGCGCGTCACTTGGAACCCACCATTGCTGCTTACAGCTACATCTTAAGTTAGATATATGATTTGCTTACGTTATGTGCATCACATCTGAGACTTCTCCCCACACCCGGGTGGTGGTTTCATGTATGCAATCGGGAATCTAAAGGCAGGAGGTGTTTATTGTATTGGAGATGCGGGATGCACGACGAAACATTGAAAAAGAACCGTGAGAACTGTCAGCGACATACCGACGCAAGAGGGAGCAAGCCATGCATGTCAGTTTATGAGCAGTGTCAATTACTCACCACGTATGCTGTTATTTTACGTGTATGGGTATATGGGCCTTACTTCGCGAAGTGATTAAGAACATGAAAACATTTGCAAAATATCTGTCGACGCCCCGTTTGCTAATCCTTCAGTCATTGATTTAAAAAATCTGAGCTGCAGTTTCTCGAGGATGAATGAATCAGAGTTGTCCAGGAGGATTGATTCTATACCCCAGATTTCACTGTTATGTAGGATTACTGGCTCAATTATATCTTGGTTAAGAATGGAGACTGAAGCTTGTTGTAGGCCTTAGGGCCTTTTTCAGGAGAGGTTTAGAACTATTTTTAAGTTTAATATTTGCTTCAAATGTAAATACTAAGTAATTATATCTATCCGTAACTAGTATTTTTGTATCACACACAGCCCAGGTATACTTTTCTTCTATTTTACTTGATTTTCAAACTCTACAACATTTGTTTTGTCACCCTCAATATTTGGTTATTTGTTGCACAAAATACACTTAGACTATCAAGTAATACTAGTAGGATTTTGGGGAATCGGCAAATAGAAATAGGTCATCGGCAAACAATAAATGACAAATGTTTAAACTATTAACTGTTATATTATTACTATAAGATTTTTAATAATGTGGAAGATCATTTAGGAATATATATATTAAATAATGTTGGAGACAAAATGCACCCTTGTCTTACCCCGATGTTGAGTGAATGAGTGTGTGAGTGAGTGAGTATGGTTTTACGCCGCTTTTAGCAATATTCCAGCAATACCACGGCGGGGGACACCAGAAATGGGCTTCACACATTGTACCCATGTCGGAAATCGAACCCGGGTCTTTGGCGTGACGAGCGAACGCTTTAACCACTAGGCTACCCGACCCCCCCCCCCCCCCCCCCCCCCCCTTTGAATGAACATCATGAAGTATACGGTTTCCCCTATTGGTATACATTCTGTCAAATAGGACCTTTTAGTGTAAAACAAACAAATGATATAATAATATTATCAAAGGAAAACGTAAAAGTGTTTGTTTCAGTAAATATACCACTTGCAGTAAAACCCGACATTTAAATCTGCTAATACAAAGAAGTACATAAACAAATAACTCAACACCGGGTCTACCTCAGACTGTAACATTACTCAGAGATGTAAAATGTTAAACTGAAAAGTGGGGTCGTTTTATTTTAAATCCACAACATATATATTTTCGTAAACACATTTAATAATTAGAGGCTATTTGTATTTCCTTGTCAAATGACATTTTAATATCATCGAGTGACATGAACCGAGGCCAGATCAAAGTGATGTTTGATCAGAAAAACTAATAGTCTATCTATTATGTACTTTCTTACTGATCTTCGTGATCTTTCTCTGTAAACCATGGCGTCACTAAGTTATACTGAACGTTGAGTGTTGCTTCACTCAAGTGAGATATCGATTTTGATATTTTCAGACAAATACAGTCATTACTATGAAAACATTATAAATGGTGGTACATTAACTAATTCTTGATCACCGAATAAAGTATTATGAGCCAATTTAACACAAATATATATAATTTTAATTCATTTCTTACCTTCCTCCCCCTCCGTCCATGAAGGGTCTTGTGTGTTCTGATTCTGCATGTACAACCCGCTGTGTCGATCAGGGGGTAATTTTCGATAATCGATCACTGATAAATCATTTCACGAAGAACTCTGAATGGCAGCGTTTGAATGTTAACCGCATGATCAAAAGATACCGCGGCCCCGAAGGTCTATATGTGAGTGTCGCCGTGTCTCTAACATGGACTGGTCATGTTGCCTTTAATTGTGTCCATTCAGAAAACGTACAGAAATACTGACTAGACACTCTACCGTGAACCCATGCATTCACTGCGGCCCTATATTGGGTTAGTGAACAGTATGAGATTAATCGCGTTGTTCTAGGCTATATTAATGGTCGTCACACGTTAGTGGTGTTTGACCTTATCAGTGTGTGGTCTGTGGTGTATTAACCAAGTGGCTGAACAAAGTGTGTCTATTTGTAAGATGACACTAGAACTCCTTTGGAGACACATTCCTTGAAACAATGCGATATACAAATGACAGACTAATAGAAACACGCAACAACCAACATTCTAAGTGATAGTGAGTGAGTGAGTTGGGTTTAACGCCGCTTTTAACAGTATTCCAGTTATAACACGGCGTGTCAGCTTAATGTGGGAGGAAAGCCCGAAGTGATGCAGGTCTCAGACGTTTACCACTTCGGTGAAACCCACGAGCACGGGTATGGTGCTGACAAACCTAGAAACATAATCGGGTCGAACCGGTATTCGAACCCACAATCATAGGTTTCTGGCGTGCCCAGGGGACGCAGCTCTGCACATCGAAACACAGCGCCTGAGTCGACTAGGCCACCCGTGCCCCCTCTAAGTAACAGAAACCATTGACAGGCAATGCGTTTTATATGAGAACGCATATGTCCACCTGATCCATTTAAACCCAGGATTCTATATAAGCGTTTATATAGAGTGAGTTAGTGAGTTGGGTTTAACGCCGCTTTGAACATTATTTTAGTTCCATCTTTGCATGTCAGCCTCATGTGGGAGGAAAGCCCGAAGTGATGCAGGTCTCAGACGTTTACCACCTTGGTGAAACTACGAGCACGAAACTGGTGCAAACTAGGAAACATAATCAGGGGCTCGAACACACGGTCCTAGGTTTCTGGCACGCCCAAGGGACACCGAATTCTGCGCAGCGAATTCCGGCGCCTAAGATGATTGGGCCACCAGTGTCCTCATAAGCGAATACTAGTCAGTAGAGGAAAACTTAGTAGTTCATGACAACAATAGCATTTACCTCCCAATTTCAAAGGAAAGCCATGAAGCGCGAGCGAGTGGACAATGGAGGGGGGTACTTGAATGTGCGTTAGACCGTTGCAACCTCCCTAAAGATGTGGTAACAATGGGGGCAAAGGATGGTATTGATACAAGCGGAGTGAAGGTGTTGACACAGGTGCTCGTCGACTGCTAGCGGTTTCCCGTTCGTCGTCTGCTACTGGTTCCCCCGTCTTCAACGGGTTAGATGCGCATAAGAAAAAAGTTCGTCTGCTTTAGGATAGTCGTCTGTTGGTTTTTGCGACTAAGGATGGTTGTTGTAAGTGTCTTCCTGAGATTGAAGAAGTTAGACGATCGGGAACTAAGCGACCGACCGCCCATAACAATGTCAACATACCCCGGCCTTACAATTAATGTCAACATACCAGCCTCGCCTGAAGCTTCCCATTCATAAATTGTGTGACCAGTGTCCCGTATTTATGATATGTTAGGGAAGATGTGTTGTACATTTGTTATTTTAAAAGGGAGTTATTTCAGAGAGGATATATATGGGTATTCCCCTCATTAAACCTTTCTTTCGTTGGTGTCTATTAAACGTATCCGGTATTTAATACATTTGAATGATGTAGGAAAGTATGTGCGTGTAGATGTTGTACCTATATCCGAACACGAATGTATGACACCTTTCAATAGATCAATTACGGATCTAACCACGACACGCAACATGACTATGAGCGTGGTTAGCAGTTCATATTTATAAACACATCGTAAATGACAGATTTCTGATGAATGAACTCGCCCGCACACATGTCTATAGGGTTATGTTCGCCCGAACTGTAAACAGTGACACATTGGATAACAGGAAGGGTGTGTGGAATGCACTCGTCCTTGTAAGGGTAAAATACGCGTTTAAACTCACCATTTAAATGATGATGACATTACTTTTTAGATGTATTGGTATCAGTGAGTGAGTGAATTTAGTTTTACGCCACACTCGGCATTATTCCAGCTCTAGGACGGTGGTCTGTCAATAAACGAGCTTGGACCAGACAATCCAGTTGATCAACAGCATGAGCAGCGATCTGTGCAACTAGGAACCGATGGCACGTGTCATCCGAGTCGGCGAGACTGACCAACCGATCCCCGTCAGTCGCCGATAAGCATGGGTTACTGAAGGTCGATTCTATAACCCGGACCTTCACGGGTGTAGTATGACGAAGACTATATACTAATATGATCGCTTTTTTAACATACTCACAAGTGTGCTGTGAAGAAAAGAGTGTCCTCCAAGATTCCCTGCACGTGTAAGACAGTATAAACTCTACAGTAGTGTAGCCCGACAAACAGTTTTACTCTCGCAAGCAAACGGATTGGACGTGAACAACAAGAAGAAAGCATCAGAGATTAGACTTGACCCTAGAGATATATTTAGGAAGACTACGTTGAGAAAATCACAACAGAGAAAGACACCACAAGCAGCCAAGAAGTCGACGCTGAAGACAAAGAAGAGACAGGTAACACCTAAAATGAAAACTATGACAACCAAACAGGGATCGAAGACAACACCCCAACCCGTGAAAATACAACATGTGTCGGAGGTGAAGGCTGTGGTGGAACGGGCACTTGCTGCCTTGAAGCGTCAACAGAGTCAAGGGTATAAAAGAAAGCTTCATACCCTCTAATCGCACACCGTATTGGATCGCTGTCCGGACTGTGAAAAAATGTTTTCAAGGAGAGATGTCATGTTACGACACAGGAGAGAAATAAACATAGCATACCGACGCCGTTACAAGCCCACCCGCCGCCGCAAGTCCATTCGCCCCCCCACACACACACACAAACACAGAAAAAAAAGATACGCACAGGCGAAAATATTAACGTCGCGGCTATATTTCAAATGATATTTCTGAACCCAAAAAAATATGAATGTCAAACTTCACATGACTATAGTTATCGACAATATAAACGCTGTCCGAGCTAGTTGTTCATTGTCTCTAAAACCAACTGCGAAAAAATGCAGAATGAAATAAGCACTACCGTGCATTTTGATATACATGTGAACCCGACCTTCTCTTGGTGAACAAACACGTCGCTTTATACAATCTATTATAGGGTGTAGTTAACTTCTTGGTATAGCTCGAGTACAAAGCATAGCACAAAACGGGGTGAACTTGAGCCTCCCTTCAACACACGTATATGCAGCAGAATAGGCGACTCGGTGAAGCGAGAGAATTACTTCAACTCTCCAGGCGTGTCCAAAAGTCCAACTGAACGATCTACAATGTTCATTCACCACACACTGTGAGGCTTCGTCAGTAAGGTAAGTTACAATCTTAGGCTGGGGGTGGTAAGGCGGGAATGGAGAGAGGAGAGAGGAAGGAAAACGCGAGGGGGAGGCTCCCTCTCAAGGTTTTACAATCCAAAGTATTACCGAAAAGAGAGGCGACTAACGGGATCGGGTGGTCGGGGTCGCTGACTTGGTTGATGCATGCCTTCAAATCCCAATTACGTAGGTCGATCACTGGATTGTCTGGTCTATACTGGATTATTCACAGACGTCATTAGCTGGAATAGTGTGGCGTTATGATAGTCGGAATCTTACAAGATTTTGGCAGAGATGTCTTATGAATATGGAAAGGGTTTTGTCGCCTTTATTTATCAACATGTGTAAATTCTACACGTTTAAATGGTTTTTTAAAATTCTAAATGATTCTGTTTATGCTTTGAGGATTTAGCTAAACATGTCTTTATAAAAAATACCAAATGTGTCTTCAGTTGTGGATTTAAACACATTCCATCTAAACAAGTCTTGTATGTGTTTGCATTCTAAACACATTTTGCAGTGCGGATATCTTCGTAACTCTCCATTCCTTTAAAATAATGGGGCCTCTGCTCCATTATTTTTAAGGTGAGTGAGTGAGTTGGGTTTAACGCCGCTTTTAACAGTATTCCAGTTATATCACGGCGTGTCAGCTTAATGTGGGAGGAAAGCCCGACGTGATGCAGGTCTCAGACGTTAACCACTTTGGTGAAACCCAGGAGTACGAGTGTGGTGCTGACAAACCTAGAAACATAATCGGGGCGAACCGGCATTCGAGCATTCGAACCAAGCATAGGTTTCTGGCGTGCCCAAGGGACGTAACTCTCCACAGACTGGGTCACCCGTGCCCCCTTATTTGTAAGGAATGGAGAGCTACTCTGACGTTCCCCTCTAGACTATGTCTGGTCTTTTGGAATTTACGAAAGACAAATAAAAAACATGATATGATTTATGACCGCAATGTTCATACATGTCGCCTATTTCTTACTTCTTGTGTGTAGTACATCATTCCTGTGTGAACGACGAGAGGCGGATCATTGTTTCCCTGCATCGCACACAATATAGGTACACCACGTGTGCTCAGAGGACGATTGTCACGGTGGGTTAATGATCATTAGTCACTGCAGGTCTGAAATACGATGTAGCAGTTTCAGCGATCACATAACCTTGCTTTGCCATCCCGATATTCACGTTATGATTTCTGCCCATGGACGTTTTCACGATGTCTACTTTTGGAAGGTTGCACATAAAAGAGTCCACCATGAACGGTTTCACATAACGGGATCTTCCCTTGGAAGGTTTCCTTTTACATGGCCTACCGGTGTTAGGTTTCATAAAAGGGCGTCTACCAATGAAAGAGTTCGCATAACGAGATCTACCAGTGGAAAGCTTCACAAACGATGTCTACCAAATGAAAGGTTTTACAAAACGATGTTTACTAATGTAAAGTTTCACAAAACGATGTCTACCAATGGAAGGTTTCACAGCACGATGTCTACTAATGTAAAGTTTCACAAAACGATGTCTACCAATGGAAAGTTTCACAAAACGATGTCTACTAATGTAAAGTTTCACAAAACGATGTCTACCAATGGAAGGTTTCACAGCACGATGTCTACTAATGTAAAGTTTCACAAAACGATGTCTACTAATGGAAAGTTTCACAAAACGATGTCTTCCAATGGAAGGTTTCACAAAACGATGTTTACTAATGGAAAGTTTCACAAAACGATGTCTTCCAATGGAAGGTTTCACAGCACGATGTCTACCAATGGAAAGTTTCACAAAACGATGTCTACCAATGGAAGGTTTCACAAAACGATGTCAACCAATGGAAGGTTTCACAGCACGATGTCTACTAATGTAAAGTTTCACAAAACGATGTCTACTAATGTAAAGTTTCACAAATCGATGTCTACTAATGGAAAGTTTCACAAAACGATGTCTACTAATGGAAAGTTTCACAAAACGATGTCTACCAATGGAAGGTTTCACTAAACGATGTCTGCCAATGGAAGGTTTCACAAAACGATGTCTTCCAATGGAGAGTTTCACAAAACGATGTCTACCAATGAAAGGTTTCACAAAACGATGTCTACCAATGGAAGGTTTCACAAAACGATGTCTTCCAATGGAAAGTTTCACAAAACGATGTCTACCAATGAAAGGTTTCACAAAACGATGTATACCAAAGGAAACCTTCACAAAACGATGTTTACCAATGGAATGTTTCACAAAACGATGTCTACCAATGGAAGGTTTCACAAAACGATGTCTACCAGTGGAAGGTTTCACAAAACGATGTCTACCAATAAAAAGTTAATTAATTCTATCATGGAGGCTTTGAGGAAGTGTTTAAGAAATAGTTTGCTTGAAAGATTTATAAGCTAAATAACTAAAGATAAAGATCAGGTCTTTATATCAAAAGGCATATGGATATCAACCGGAATCAATGCATTTTGCAACAACTCCATGTATGGTGGCATTCTTTTCACTGAAATAAACTTTTACCTGAGATAAAACCTTGTCTCATCTTTACCTCATTATGGTACAGTATATACACTCACTCGCTCACTCATGCACATACATGTAGCTAAAAATAGCATTGTCTTCAAGCCTTACAACCCCCAGTGACCACTTCATAATAACAATGTGCACTTATAAGGCGCTAGCAGTGCATGCTCAAAGTGCTACACCATTAAAACCCCGGTCAATGGAACAGTGAGCATTCGACTTTTGCATTCACAGCTCACTTGGAGAGCACACATCCCAAAGCTGCCTGTAGAGATTGTTCTAGGAGACATGTTTTGACTTGAACAGCAAACAAAATTATTATCTCTATTGATTCGACGACCTTATTTAACGACCTTGAAATAATATTTCTCACATGGATCCTACAAGTGATGTAAATGGAGGAAGACAGGTTTTAGTCCTTATCTATGTTTCTTACCTCACATGTGTGTGGACTCAAGCCAATTAGAATTGGTTTAACTTACTTCTCTGGCAATAGAGGGTGGTAAATACTTACCAGGTCAGAACAGTTTCTTAATAAGTTTGAAAAGGCCTATTTCAATTTTAGGAAATATAGGGTGAGGTGTGTGTGTGGTTCTCCTAGATCGTCGCGACCTAATGTATTTGCTGTCAACATATACCTTTTTCCTTTCAGATATACCTTTCAGACATCGTGATGAAGATAATAGTCATCTTGGTGGTTGCGAGTTTTTGCCGAGGGAAGCAGCATGTTTGTAATGTGTATTTTGACAAACAACATGACGGCATGTTTGCCGATTGCAAAGGGAGACAACTCCGCCATTTTGCAAACGACCTCCCATATAACATAACTGCTCTTGACATTAGTGAAAATAAACTGGAGAGTCTGATTAATGGAACGTTTAACAATTTTCCAAATCTTACGTATGTGAATCTGAATGCAAACTTGCTAACAAACCTAGAATCTGGTGTGTTCAAGGGTTTGTATAATCTGACCACTCTGCTTCTTGCCAAGAACAAGCTGAAACATGCCTTCCCAAAAGGCATTTTCAGTGACCTCGGAAATTTGCAAACATTAAACCTTGAACAAAATGAAATGAGGTCCTATCCGGATTGGGCGTTTCCTCCTTTGACCAAGCTCCACAGCTTGTACATGGACTCAGTTCCGGTTCCTGTGTTTGGTCCTGGCTTCTCCTCACTAGCAAATCTGAGAGTACTGCAAATGGATTCAACTTTTCTTTATGGGGGTGATTGTTCCATAAATAAGCTTACAAATCAAACATTTCAAAGTTTAAAGGGGATCGAGCTGGAGGTTTTAATTTTGAATTATTGTTATGGTTTAAACGACTGTGAAAAGGGAGTACTCGAGCCTTTGATGTTCCTGAAACATTTGGAAATGTCAAGTAATAGGATAGGTCTTCAAAATAGTTTGCAACTTCTCCATCCCCTTGTCGGCAGAAACATGAGTCGAATTTGGTTCAATAGGACAGTTTCCCCCCACAGCCACTATAAGCAAGACATCGATGATCGTATACTTACTGCTAAAAGCACAGAATATTTGACTAAAATATGTGTAGAGGAGTTATCATTGAGGCACAATCAGATTATCTTGGTAGAGTCCGGTTCCATTAATAAACAACCTTTACGAGATTGTATTGAAGTTCTTGACATGTCCAAAAACAATATAGTTGGCGACGGTAGTATTTTTTTAATGTTTCCGATATTTCAAAGGCTCAGATATCTGGATATCAGCTACCAGCGCCAAGAATATGCCTTACCAGAATCTCAACTTTTAAGTCGACCAAATAATGTGACAATTAATTTTCCACATAATTTCACATATTTCGACGCAACATTGATAGCATATGCCCATTTTTCTTCCCCTGTTATCACTTTGTTAAATACAAACAATCTGGAGACCTTCCGAATAGGTTATAACAACTTAAACGGCTTGAACCATATTAGGGGGTTGGAAAATGTCAAAAATGTCTATCTGTCAGGAAGCGAATTTGGCACAGTCACTGACTCCTTTTTCTATTCCTTCTTAAACGCCCGGAAGCTATCATTAGGAAACTGCAACTTACAATTTGTTAAAAGATCTGGGAACAGTTCTTCTAACATACTGAATGGTCTACGGGCTGTGGAGTACTTGGACCTTTCTTCAAATAATCTCAGATATTTTCCGGTGTTGCCCAATGCTGGTAAAATTGTTCATGTAAACTTATCTCACAACTCAATTGACACTGTATCCATTGGAGAAAATACTTACAAAAGCCTTGCTCTTCTGGACATGTCGTTCAATTTAATAGGACAACTGAGTAAAGAAACTCGATCCCAACTGGACATTGCTTCTATAAGGACCAGCCTTAAACTTAAAGTTGAAGGAAATATCTTTTCGTGTGGATGTGAAAATCTGGACTTCATTCTGTGGTTGATGGATACGTCAGCTATTTACGAATCTGACAGAGACTTCCCTTGCATTCAGGACAATGGCACAATGACAGGAACAATTGAAGTGGCCAAGAATCAATTAAATATTCATCGCCACTGTACTGGCAAGTTACTCCTTAGCCTAACTGTCACATGTATGATTGTGGTGTTGACTTCTATCTTCATAGCCTATGTCATATCAAAGAATCCTACAAGGTATCGGAACATTGTCATCAGAATGTTTGGGTTTGGTGTAGAATATGTTACCCCCAAACAATTTGAATTCACCTTCTATGTTGGATACTGTGGTAATGATGTTCCTTTTGTATACCGGATACTGAGACCAGGACTGGAACTTTGTTTTCGACCTGTGCGCCTCTTTCTGAAAGACAGAGAAGTACTTCCGGGTAAAGACATTGCTGAAGGTATCATTGAAGGCGTGAACGGTAGCTGGAAGACAATCCTGGTCATATCACCTGACTTCCTGAAAGACTCTTGGACACACTTCACAATAACCTCAGCTGTGTATGCCATGTCGGATGTGATTCCTAAGCGCATAATTGTCCTCCTTGTGGGAGACGTCCTCGTAAAGGACCTACCGGATTGTCTCCTGAATATGGTAGAGGAGGACTGCATCCTTCGTGTGAAAGATTACATGGAGGAGGAGGGGGAGGAGGAGGGGACGTTGTGTGGACTTCTGAGAAATGTTGCTGGATTGTAAATGGCCATCAAATGTATAAAATATAGTCATTTGAGGTCATATCGGTGACAATAACTTGTCATCTTATACATGCTGGAGGTGGGTTATCAGATTTTGTGTATTTTATTGTTTATCAGTAATTTGGTGATTTGGTGGATGCTCATTGCATTATATTTGAACAGTGATCAGTCGTCAGTAAGTTACTCTAATTTGATGCTAGTATGGTGTGTAAACTTCCGGTTGGTTTACCACAGAAGATGATAGTATGTTATGGAAACTTCTTTAATGTTCTACTGCCGATTGACGAGTGAGGGCACTGTTTTGAACATCTACAGTGGCAGGGTAGGTTGTATATATAGGGACAAGAGCGTGTTCACATATCTCTCAAACATTTTCATCACGTCAAGACCAAATTTCATGCGAGGATCGCTCATCGTCCCTGATTCTCTGCCTAGCCCATCACTGAAGCTGAACCACTGTCGCCCCTGGGGGAATATAAATTATTATCACTGACTTTTGCTATCACCACTGTAATTTTGTACTGTGATACAGACCACTGCCATTATATTATATATTGCCATTGAATATTGTACTACCACTGTATTGTTTACTGCCACTGTAACTGCTGTGCAGTAATTTATATCAATTTGTAAACTTACTGAATTTTGTAATACATTTGTTGATTGCATACCCCTTGTTGGTTGTTTGATGGTTTCACACTAAGTTCTTTTACATACAGATTTCTGGGTTAACATATTGTTTCAATTTGGGAATCGACACGTAACAGTACAAAGTATATGTACTGTTCATACATAGATATTGGTATAAATTGTCAACTATTGCGTAGAGTCTTAATCAAAATCAAAGAAAAGGAATTTGATCATTAACAAATGATTGAGGTTGGACAGGACCCAAGAATTGATGTTATCCTGTTTATAATATAAGTTTAAATTATGTTTATTCCCAGTTGTATTCCGTCACTACAAAACTGCATTATTCAAGAGCATTTCCTGACAAGTCAGGAGATAGGTAGGTATAACTGACAGACAAATTCATCTTATCAGTTAGTGAGTTGAAGTTAACGCTGCTTTGAACAGTATTGCTTTATGGTAATTGTAAGTTTATAGATGCAGCTAAGCCAGGGAGTATATATAAATGGCACCACCACTAATCAAAGGTTGACTCAAATGTAGAATCAAATGTTGCATCAAAGGTTTGTGGTTACACAAGCCTCCAATGAGGACAAACAGTAAGCTAAATGTTTGTTTGTACAGCCACTGCTTGTGAGTGAGTGGTAAATAATTAACAATAGTATCATGGTGTTTGATTATAATCAATCCTTACCTCACTGTCCTCATAGCCTGATTCTCGTAATTTCCCTTAGATAAAGGGGAAAATATCATTTTTTAAAATTCCAAACAGTCCAGTCGAAATTATCTGCCATTCTTGCCACATTTCGCCACTACGTGTGGCGTCACTCTCTTCAAAATCGTAATTAAGAACTCGAACCCATACAGAACTGAGGTACTACGGTGAAGGAGGGGCGGGTACTTCCTGAGAATAAAGTGGGGTAAGTATTTGTAATGATCAAACATAGATTATAGCCTGAATAAAGACCCTCTCTGTCCTCATTTTGACACAATTCCATGGCAGGAGGGCAGGAGGGCTGTCAGTAAGTGCAGAGATTGAACAAAATGAGGACAGGAAAAGACTTTCAAGAAGTAATCCCGGACTTGAATGCTTTGTTTGTACAGCTAGTTGCAGTGAATGAGTTCTCAGCAGTCTGCTTGTAAATTCACTTGAAGTAAACATTGCTTCAACATTTGTTTTTTTTATGCTGTTTAATATATCATGGATTATCCAGGCGAATGTGTACTCTGTACCACATTTAGGAATGTAGAGCATTTGTCAACCTGAATGCGTGTGGAGATGCTGACATCTGTTGACATCTCACAGAATGAAGAGTTGGAGTGAGTGAGTGAGTGAGTTTGGTTTAACGCCGCTTTTAACAGTATTCCATTTATATCACGGCGTGTCAGCTTAATGTGGGAGGAAAGCCCGAAGTGATGCAGGTCTCAGACGTTTACCACTTCGGTGAAACCCACGGGCACGGGTATGGTGCTGACAAACCTAGAAACATAATTGGGGAGAACCGGGATTCGAACCCACAATCATAGGTTTCTGGCGTGCCCAAGGGACGCAACTCTGCACAGCGAATCGCGGCGCCTTTGAAGAGTTGGAATAAAGATGATATGCTCTGTCATTTGATTCGAGGAGCAGAGGGGAAACTTACTGACAAAGATAGCCAGACCCAAATGCAAGAGGTTTATGTAAGATTTTGAAACACTTGGTTAACAGATCTGCAGTCCATAATTTCACTAATATGGAATCAAACTTTAACCAAATGTAAAACCTAATTTAATTCACTAGAAAGGGTGAAATAACTTTTTGACTTGTCATTCCAAAAACATTATATATCTCCCTATTATATATTTCCTCTTACCGACAATACATAATCACTTGGCTATGGAACCGAACACAGCATTAAATGTTGCAGGTTTAAAGTAAGGGTAACCTTGATCTGCATTAAAAACACCATGAATTCTACAATGAGGAAACTAACGCATGATCTTAGACGGCTAGGCTACCCGTTATAGCCACCCATGTCCCAGAACATTCTAACAGAGGTATGATCACAACTTCAGACTTTGTCAACAGAGCTGAAGCATAATGAAAGGAGACAGACGTAGAGCTATCCAAAGTCACAGCAAGACACCAGCATGACATGGGTGAGGTGAGGTGGGTTTTAACGTCGCGTTCTAGATTAGTGCACTTATGTGTGTGTGTGTGTGTGTGTGTGTGTGTGTGTGTGTGTGTGTGTGTGTGTGTGTGTTCTACTAGTTCGGACTAATGCTGGTAACATGGTGCTAGCCCAGTTTAAAGTTTTGCTCCGCCTATGTTTGCATTGTCTGCGAAGCGGCCCACAGCCAACGTGTTGACTTGAGTATGGAGTAAGGGTAAAAATGTAGGAACGTCGGAGCTTGTTTCTTATAATTATAACATCGAAGAATGTAGACACCATTTCATTCGTGACGTGACGTCCTGCACTGACAGCGTAGTCCATTCGTGTTTACGTCATATCAAAATGCTTTTAGGCGCCACTTTCGTGGTAATGTGACTGGAAAAGTCGTATATGGTGTAAACTTCAAATTAAAATATTATATGAACGTGATTATATATTGTAACAAATAATTACAAATGACGCCATTGTTCGTGACGTCACAGTCGGTTTGTGTGATGTCGTTCCAATAATAGACTGAGTGAGTTGATGTTTCCACGTTGGATCGTGAAACCCATATATTTCTACAGTATCTCAGAAAAAAAGACTGGGTACTATGTAGAATAACTCCCACACAACATGGATTTACCGATTATCTGTCGCCCTGAAATAATGTTGAAAGTCGCTCGCCAAGGGTTTGGAAACTTACAAAATGTATCTACTCGGGAAAGGTGACCTGTAAATCCTCCACGCTCCTTGATTACTAGTATTCTCTAAATCTTTGTTTTGTTATATTTGGTTACTGGTCATTTCTTTCTTTTGAACTTTCATTTATTAAATTCATCAACTAACGCCTAGCTACATGTACGTCGTTTGGTATGGAGTAACTGTGCTATTCATTGACGCCTTCCATGGACGTTATTTTATCATCTGAGCTTTCAAAATTCACTACTTATAATTTAACATTACAGCATTCGATATTGGCATGACAGTTGCCCGAATTGCTTTCAACTAATGGACAAAGGGCACACAGGTCTAAAGTCGCCCAAGGTCAATGACATGGCACATTAGTAGCGTGTACAAGACACGAAAAAACTCTCCGGCGCACAGAAAAGTCAGCTGTCTGATGACGTCACTTTGGGTACGTCGACATTCTTCTTGGAGGGCCTGGATCAGTTCTAGTCAGCTGACTTGAGGATGTGGTTGTTGCCGAACACCACGATCCTTGACACACCAGAGGTGTTCTATGGGGGACATGTCTGGGGAGCGTGCATGCTATGGCAACATGTTGACGTTGTTGGCTTCACGGAAGTTCTGTACGACTCGGGCTGTATGGGTCTGGCGTTGTCGTGCACGACACCACGTGACAGCTGTTGTAGAAATGGTAGGTCAATCGGACGAAGAATGTCATTCATGTAACGCTGAGCTGTCGAATTACCGTTAACGAAAACCAGTGGTGTTCTCTCCTCCCCACACCACAACACCCCTTCCACCATACGGCCACCTCTGGAACGCAACAGGCCGTCGTTTGTTCTCCCAACGACGCACAGTCCGGTCCCATTTGAAACTCTTGACGACGAAAGTGCGATGTCAACAACTGTCCTCTGTAAAGTCTGTATGGCTTAATGTCCACTGTCTGTCGACTAACCACATGCATTCGTCGCTGTTAACGTCACTACCAGGAATAGATCCCGGAGATGCAAAGTACGCAAGTACCGATCTTCATTATCTTAGCGTCACTGGTCTCCCATGCAAGATACCTAAATCCTATGAAATATACAATTATCGATTACTTTGGATTGTTTTATTAAACAGTTTATTGTTAACAGTTTGCATGTTTGTGTTATATGTAAACTGAAGATCAAAAGAAAGTTGACATGGACAAAGACCCAAAAGATGTTGATGCAATTGATTCTGTGTATTCAATTCACTTGGTGTCAATCATGCAAACAATCAAACGGTGACCATTGGCGGTCAGTGTATATCACTGGGGGTACCAAAAAGTCAGTTCTCACAAAGTTCATGACAAAGGCTGTCGCCAATAAGTGGGTGGAAGCTTCAGCGGACACTAAGGTGGCAATGGGGCGACGTCATCAATGCCGCGTATGACCTCCCCTGGCAAGGGTGCACGCCTTAATGCGCCGTCTCATTGATGACGACAAACGCCTGATGACGATTGCCGGATTGTGTTGCCAAACATCCTGCCAGGCGTGTTCCAGATCCTGCAAGTTGTTTTGGTGGCTGGGTTATCTCCTCAGCTCTCTACCCATATGATTCAACAAGTGCTCAACGCTGCAGAAATGGCATCGCCATTCTTTCCCCCCTACGGCGATAAACACGGACACTCCTGTCTGCATGGAATAGGTTGAACCTGCTCTCATCGGTGAACAAGACACGTTGTCATTCGCGCCGCTGGCAACGTCGTACACCTCAAGCCCACCTTAGCCCGTCTTGGCGATGTCGTGAACCAAACACCATCCCACGGAGCGGTCTATATGCCCCAAAGGCAACAGCACGCAGTCGTCTTCTCACTGTGTAAAGGCTAACACGGTGACCCAACGCCGTTGCTGCCGATTCCGTGACTGTCAGGAACCGGTTGAGTAGATGCAAGATTCGCAGATATATATCTACTTAGGGGGTGGTTATACGTGATCTGCCACTCCGAGGTCTGCCAATGGTGTGGCCAGTCCTGTTGTGAGGTATGGTCAGTTTGCTGATGGTGTGACTTGAGCAACCGAGTGTTCTGGTAATCTGACCTTGTTGAGTCCCCATAGACTAACATCTAGTCTCTGAAATGAACATATCGTACATAAAAAAACCCAGTTGTTCAGTTATCTTAATAAAAATATAATAAAAAGGAGCCCAGTGACTCTCTTCATTTTCAGCCTGATACTGCAGTGATCTAGACTTGCCAAACATTATAGACTTGCATGGGCTGTATTTGATATATATTTGTATCAGGGTCTGTAAGAGAGACTAGAGTCCCCACCATGGCCATATCAATCAACTTGAGCAACCGAGTGTTCTAGTAATCTGACCTTGTTGAGTCCCCACCATGGCCATATCAATCAACTTGGGCAACCGAGTGTTCTGGTAATCTGACCTTGTTGAGTACCCACCATGGCCATATCAACCAACTTGAGCAACCGAGTGTTCTAGTAATCTGACCTTGTTGAGTACCCACCATGGCCATATCAATCAACTTGAGCAACCGAGTGTTCTAGTAATCTGACCTTGTTGAGTACCCACCATGGCCATATCAATCAACTTGGGCAACCGAGTGTTCTGGTAATCTGACCTTGTTGAGTACCCACCATGGCAATATCAATCAACTTGAGCAACCGAGTGTTCTGGTAATCTGACCTTGTTGAGTACCCACCATGGCCATATCAATCAACTTGGGCAACCGAGTGTTCTAGTAATCTGACCTTGTTGAGTACCCACCATGGCCATATCAATCAACTTGGGCAACCGAGTGTTCTAGTAATCTGACCTTGTTGAGTACCCACCATGGCCATATCAATCAACTTAGGCAACCGAGTGTTCTGGTAATCTGACCTTGTTGAGTACCCACCATGGCCATATCAATCAACTTGGGCAACCGAGTGTTCTAGTAATCTGACCTTGTTGAGTACCCACCATGGCCATATCAATCAACTTGGGCAACCGAGTGTTCTGGTAATCTGACCTTGTTGAGTACCCACCATGGCCATATCAATCAACTTGGGCAACCGAGTGTTCTGGTAATCTGACCTTGTTGAGTACCCACCATGGCCATATCAATCAACTTGAGCAACCGAGTGTTCTGGTAATCTGACCTTGTTGAGTACCCACCATGGCCATATCAATCAACTTGAGCAACCGAGTGTTCTGGTAATCTGACCTTGTTGAGTACCCACCATGGCCATATCAATCAACTTGGGCAACCGAGTGTTCTAGTAATCTGACCTTGTTGAGTACCCACCATGGCCATATCAATCAACTTGAGCAACCGAGTGTTCTAGTAATCTGACCTTGTTAAGTCCCCACCATGGCCATATCAATCAACTTGAGCAACCGAGTGTTCTAGTAATCTGACCTTGTTGAGTACCCACCATGGCCATATCAATCAACTTGAGCAACCGAGTGTTCTGGTAATCTGACCTTGTTGAGTCCCCACCATGGCCATATTAATCAACTTGAGCAACCGAGTGTTCTAGTAATCTGACCTTGTTGAGTCCCCACCATGGCCATATCAATCAACTTGAGCAACCGAGTGTTCTGGTAATCTGACCTTGTTGAGTCCCCACCATGGCCATATCAATCAACTTGGGCAACCGAGTGTTCTGGTAATCTGACCTTGTTGAGTACCCACCATGGCCATATCAATCAACTTGAGCAACCGAGTGTTCTAGTAATCTGACCTTGTTGAGTACCCACCATGGCAATATCAATCAACTTGAGCAACCGAGTGTTCTAGTAATCTGACCTTGTTGAGTACCCACCATGGCCATATCAATCAACTTGGGCAACCGAGTGTTCTAGTAATCTGACCTTGTTGAGTACCCACCATGGCCATATCAATCAACTTGGGCAACCGAGTGTTCTAGTAATCTGACCTTGTTGAGTACCCACCATGGCCATATCAATCAACTTGGGCAACCGAGTGTTCTAGTAATCTGACCTTGTTGAGTACCCACCATGGCCATATCAATCAACTTGAGCAACCGAGTGTTCTAGTAATCTGACCTTGTTAAGTCCCCACCATGGCCATATCAATCAACTTGAGCAACCGAGTGTTCTAGTAATCTGACCTTGTTGAGTACCCACCATGGCCATATCAATCAACTTGGGCAACCGAGTGTTCTAGTAATCTGACCTTGTTGAGTACCCACCATGGCCATATCAATCAACTTGGGCAACCGAGTGTTCTGGTAATCTGACCTTGTTGAGTACCCACCATGGCCATATCAATCAACTTGGGCAACCGAGTGTTCTGGTAATCTGACCTTGTTGAGTACCCACCATGGCCATATCAACCAACTTGAGCAACCGAGTGTTCTGGTAATCTGACCTTGTTGAGTACCCACCATGGCCATATCAATCAACTTGAGCAACCGAGTGTTCTGGTAATCTGACCTTGTTGAGTACCCACCATGGCCATATCAATCAACTTGGGCAACCGAGTGTTCTGGTAATCTGACCTTGTTGAGTACCCACCATGGCCATATCAATCAACTTGAGCAACCGAGTGTTCTAGTAATCTGACCTTGTTAAGTACCCACCATGGCCATATCAATCAACTTGAGCAACCGAGTGTTCTAGTAATCTGACCTTGTTGAGTACCCACCATGGCCATATCAATCAACTTGAGCAACCGAGTGTTCTGGTAATCTGACCTTGTTGAGTCCCCACCATGGCCATATCAATCAACTTGAGCAACCGAGTGTTCTAGTAATCTGACCTTGTTGAGTCCCCACCATGGCCATATCAATCAACTTGAGCAACCGAGTGTTCTGGTAATCTGACCTTGTTGAGTCCCCACCATGGCCATATCAATCAACTTGGGCAACCGAGTGTTCTGGTAATCTGACCTTGTTGAGTACCCACCATGGCCATATCAATCAACTTGAGCAACCGAGTGTTTTAGTAATCTGACCTTGTTGAGTACCCACCATGGCCATATCAATCAACTTGAGCAACCGAGTGTTCTAGTAATCTGACCTTGTTGAGTACCCACCATGGCCATATCAATCAACTTGGGCAACCGAGTGTTCTAGTAATCTGACCTTGTTGAGTACCCACCATGGCCATATCAATCAACTTGAGCAACCGAGTGTTCTGGTAATCTGACCTTGTTGAGTACCCACCATGGCCATATCAATCAACTTGAGCAACCGAGTGTTCTGGTAATCTGACCTTGTTGAGTCCCCACCATGGCCATATCAATCAACTTGAGCAACCGAGTGTTCTGGTAATCTGACCTTGTTGAGTACCCACCATGGCCATATCAATCAACTTGAGCAACCGAGTGTTCTGGTAATCTGACCTTGTTGAGTCCCCACCATGGCCATATCAATCAACTTGGGCAACCGAGTGTTCTGGTAATCTGACCTTGTTGAGTCCCCACCATGGCCATATCAATCAACTTGAGCAACCGAGTGTTCTGGTAATCTGACCTTGTTGAGTACCCACCATGGCCATATCAATCAACTTGAGCAACCGAGTGTTCTGGTAATCTGACCTTGTTGAGTCCCCACCATGGCCATATCAATCAACTTGGGCAACCGAGTGTTCTGGTAATCTGACCTTGTTGAGTCCCCACCATGGCCATATCAATCAACTTGGGCAACCGAGTGTTCTGGTAATCTGACCTTGTTGAGTCCCCACCATGGCCATATCAATGGCCCTCTCTCTGTTCTGTATTTAAATGAGGCATTTGTTCGGTGTGTTTTTGGTTTATGTGATTCTGTGTGACACTTTTGGTCAAAGTATGTACAGGTCCCTGCATGGATGCTCAATGCAGCACCGAAAAACCTGTTTACGGTATTTTCTCACGCAGCACGTGTACGGCGGCATGGTCTTGGTGTTTTGGAATTGAGTGTGCTGCGTTGGGACAATTGTATGCATCATGTTACAATCATTTGACCGCATGCGTTTTTTGGTTATTCAAAATGTAAACTTTCTTTTGATCTTTAGTTTAGTATATGGGGCAATGGGGTAGACCTGAGTTTAAAGTGTTCGTTCGTCACGGCGAAGACCCGGGTTCGATTCCCTCTATGGGTATAATGTGTGAAGCCCATTTCTGATGTCCTCCATCGTGATATTGCTAAAACACATTTACGATTTTGAGTGTTTCTGATTAGTTCGTTTGTTGTTTAACGCCAAACTCAGCAATATTCCAACAATATGACGTTGGTCTGTAACTAATCGAGTCTGGTCCAGACAATCCAGTGATTGACATCATGAGCATCAATCTACCTGATTGGGGGTACGATCATATGCATCAACCAAGTCAGTGAGACTGACCACCGGATTCCGTTAGTCGCCTCTTATGACAAGCATGAGTTGCTGAAGACCAGTTCTACCCCGGAATGCACGGGATGTCTCTTTCTCATAGACCAAGAATCACAACCGTAGGGAATCTGGGATTCAAATGAACCACCAGGCCTCACAAATTTAAACTTCCTCAAGTTTGATCATGATATGAATAATGCAACTCCGCACTCCTAGGCCCTGTAGTCATGTTACCACACCTTCGAAGGTTCAGTTTATTTTTGTTATGTCCTATGCACCCATTGCACGGTAAAATATACCGAGTCTAAAATGACAACAATGACAAGTGAACAGTTAATCTTTGTTTATATCTGAAAAAATATTCGCCCATAAATAATTCAACGTATGTATAAAGCTCTTTTTTTGGAATGCCATTATATGTATAAAAAAACAGACTTGTGTCCTCTAGGTCGCAGTTTGTCATTGTTAACCCGTCAGCGAATGGTATCCGTTTGGGATGGTATTGAGAATGCAAAGCATATCTAGCGCCTTACAATATCCTTGGGTTTTATACCCCCCAAGGGAACTGGGAATGCCATTGTGGAATGCACACTGATCCTTTGCCTGGGCTAATAATATCGTGCGCTTTGAGCTGTGGAATTTGATGCTGAATAGTCGCCTTCAGTTACAATGATTTCGATTATTATCTACCCGCGTCTGAAACGATAGACGGGACTGGGTTTGTATTGTATAAATCATATACATTTACAAACATAGAGAAACTTCACTAAGCATGTCATCCTCTCAACAATAACTTCTCTAAACGTGATGTCCTCTCGACAATGACTTCTCTAAACGTGATGTCCTCTCAACAATAACTTCTCTAAACGTGATGTCCTCTCAACAATGACTTATCTAAACGTGATTTCCTCTCAGCAATGACTTCACTAAACGAGGTATCCTCTCAACAATGACATCGCTAAACGGGCGACCTCTCATCAATGACGTAACTAAACCTGACATTCTGAACAATGACTTCACTAAACGTGATGTCCTCTCAACAATGACTTGTCGACCAGTCCTTGTTTTAGCCCCTTTATGCCGAGCGCCAGACAGGGTAACAACAAGTACAATCTTTTAACGTCTTTTCGTATGACGGCCGGGGATCGAACCCGGACCTTCCGCTCTCCGGGCGGACGCACTACCACTAGACCACGGAGGCGGTCTAGGAGGGTGGATGAGGTGGAGAGTGGATGTGATGGAGGGTGGGTGTGGTGGGTGGAAGTGATGGAGGGTGGATGTGGTGGGTGTTGGGTGTGGTGGAGGGAGGATGTAATGGAGGATGGATGTGGTTGAGAGTGTTATAATATAATCAAGACTAATCGTTACCTTTGACCGGTATGACACTTACATTTAATGTGGTCAGGTTTGTAAAGGTAAATGTCTTTGATTAAACGTTAAATGAAAAAACTGATCTCGCAAAACCTGCAAATGTACATGGGAAATCTTATAAACATATATACCATGTTGGATACTGCTATATAAGCTATAAAATCCTTATATTGACAGCGTCATTCAGAATTTAGAGATATCATTGCTTGGACCAGAGACACTTATCTGTTGCACATACCAGCAGTATTTTATTTTACACCCTTATTACATTTCGTAGCAGTATTTTATTTTACAGCAGCGTTATTACAAGTTGTCGCATTATTTCATTTTACTGCAGCTTTAATTCAATTCACCAGTTTATTACATTTTACCGTGTTATTGCAAATACATGGACAAACTATGCAACAAAGCACAAATGCTCTTTGGTAGTACAATAGTACATTTGATGCACAAGATCCCGAGAACAAAGGAGAAAACATTTGGCAACACCATCTAAGATTACTGAAGTTGAATGCTGAGGGCACTGCCTTGAAAAACGTGAATCTACGTATAGCCATTTTGAATCACACCAGTCTCTCGTGTTGTCCATGTTGAACATCGGATTGCATCCTCTTCAACGACTGGAGTGACATGATTGTAATAATATTATGGCAAGTGTCAACTTCTTTGGTCGAGTGGTAATTTGGTTTCTTAGGTGTTTGCAGACGCTGACGCCGCGACACCTAGGTCGATGCTGGAAGATTTGAGTGCAGGAACGTACTTTAAAAATGGTCAGTAGGAACCTCTGTCACTCTTCGTGTTGCCTTCTGTACCCGTTCAGGCTTTCTGTTTTCAGACTTAACGTCCCAGAACGAGATCCTTCCTGAGAGTGGTGTGGAAACATGGCATCTGAGTTATCCCCGACGGAGATTTTAGGTCAGCAACTCGTGCATTCAGCAAGGTGAGACACGTCACAAGACTGAGTTCAGGGTTGGCTCTCAGTATCTCCACGAGATTTGAAATGAAGTAAGATCCCTTGGTACTGTCACGATATGACACGTAGCCGTCAACGGTTGACCGGGCGATCAGGAAATCAGCCTCGTTTGGAACAAAGACCGTGGCATCGTCCTCCATGTCGCCACAACACGAGTCAGTCTCGTGAGGAAGAGATGCTTGTCCATGCTTACCCCGACAGGCCTGGAACAGAAACACCTTGGGCTTGCCCCGAAGTGAAGGACAATTCTCAGCTGTGAACTGTTTGGTAATCTGGTCAACGTTTACATCTAAACCATCTGATGCAGTAATGTTTTTTGACGACCCGTGAGACATTACAACACAGATAAAACAATTGTAGTTCGCATGGTCAAACTGGGACATTTGTTTCAAAGTTTGTAGTATTTCGGCTTGCTGCAAGTCTGTCTTTACCTCAATTATGAAATCAAATTGTTGAAGCACTTCCTTTAAGCCGCTTTCGTCAGTCTCAGTGCCATGTCGGTAGGAATTACCATTTTGGAAAGATCTGATGCTGATTATGAGGCAGACACCTTTGGGAGATTTGTTCATTGCGTAAGAAGACAAAGTCTGTGGCTGGTCAGATAATGAACATGCGGACATCCTCTGAGAAATGGTGTCTGTTTGGCTTTGAATTTTCAAACCTGTTACGACCTCAACTGTGATTTGTATCAAGCGATCAATGTTTTGACCAGTAATGGAAGAAATCTCCATATGTCCTGACAACCATCCTTTATTTGCGACGCCTGGTAGCTTTACATTGACAGTTTCTGAGGGCATATCTAGCTTGTTTCCAATGACGATGGTAGGGACATCTTTTGGATACAATTCGGGAAGCCACTTGTTTCTCATCTCCTTAAAACTTGGTGTGGCATTTACGTCATACAGCACAAAAAAGACGTCGGGTTTCAGTTTCGAGGCTTGCTGAAGTTGGGAGCTTCTGTCCCCTCGACATTCTACGACGTTGAGATAGACTGGAGTTGCGTCCTCAATGCGCAGTCCATACACAAAACATGCTCCCTTCACACCCATTTTCATGTGAGGGTTGCCTTTGATGAGATATTTCACTAATTCGGATTTGCCACTTTCACTTGGCCCGAGCATACATATCGTCACACAGTTAGTACTTTTCTTCTTAGGCATGAGCGCAGAATGGTCCAACTCGGGGCGAGACATGGCCATGGCTGTCTGAAATAAAATAAAATCTCTACTGCATATGCCCCATCTTACATTTTGTATACTATCTGAACAATATACCATTTTGATTAATGCTTGTGTACAGGTGATGACAATATACTGTCACTTTCATGATCTGGTAAGCGACTCTTTGATTGGTCGGATAAAAGGTCGTTCTGACATGACCCGCAATGGGATATCCTCAGATCTTTGTTTAGCGATAGCGTGAACTAAGATGTGATTTTAATGAGATTGAGAGAGAGAATGTGTGTGAGAGAGATAATGTGTATGCGAGTGTGCGTGTGTGTGTGTGTGTGTGTGTGTGAGAGAGATAATGTGTATGTGAGTGTGTGTGTGTGAGAGAGAGATAATGTGTAGGTGAGTGTGTGTGAGTGTGTGTGAGAGAGAGAGAATGTGTGTGAGAGAGATAATGTGTATGTGAGTGTGTGTGAGCGTGTGTGAGAGAGAGAGAATGTGTGTGAGAGAGATAATGTGTATGTGTGTGTGAGAGAGAGAATGTGTGAGAGAGATAATGTGTATGTGTGTGTGTGTGTGTGAGAGAGAATGTGTGTGAGAGAGATAATGTGTTTGTGAGTGAGAATGTGTGTGTGTGTGTGCGTGCGTGAGAGAGAATGTGCGTGAGAGATAATGTCTATGTGTGAGAGAGAGCGAGAGAATGTGTGTGAGAGAGATAATGGGCATGTGAGTGTGTGAGAGAATGTGTGTGAGAGAGATAATGTGTTTGTGAGTGTGTGTGTGTGTGAGAGAGAGAATGTGCGTGAGAGATAATATGTTTGTAAGTGTGTGTGTGTGTGTGTGAGAGATAATGTGTATGTGAGTGTGTGTGTGAGAGAGATAGAGTGTGTGTGAGAGAGATAATGTGTTTGTGAGTGTGTGTGTGAGATAGAGAAAGAGAGAGATTGTGTGTGTGAGAGAGATAATGTGTATGTGAGTGTGTGTGTGAGAGAGATAGAATGTGTGTGAGAGAGATAATGTGTATGTGAGTGTGTGTGTGTGAGAGAGAATGCGTGTGAGAGAGATAATGTGTTTGTGTGTGTAAGAGAGAGATAGAATGTTTTTGAGAGAGATAATGTGTTTGTGAGTGTGTGTGTGTGAGAGAGAGAAAGAGAGATAGATTGTGTGTGTGAGAGAGATAATGTGTTTGTGAGTGTGTGTGTGAGAGAGAGAATGTGTGTGAGAGAGATAATGTGTTTGTGTGTGTGTGTGTGTGTGAGAGAGAGAATGTGTGTGAGAGAGATAATGTGTTTGTGTGTGTGTTTGTGTGTGTGTGAGAGAGAGATAGAATGTGTGTGAGAGAGATAATGTGTATGTGAGTGTGTGTGTGTGTGAGAGAGAGAATGTGTGTGAGAGAGATAATGTGTTTGTGTGTGTGAGAGAGAGATAGAATGTGTGTGAGAGAGAAAATGTGTTTGTGAGTGTGTGTGTGTGAGAGAGAAAGAGAGAGAGAATGTGTGTTAGAGAGATAATGTGTATGTGAGTGTGTGTGCGTGAGAGAGAATGTGTGTGAGAGATAATGTGTTTGTGGGTGTGTGTGAGAGAAAGAATGTGTGAGAGAGAGATAATGTGTATGTGAGTGTGTGTGTGTGTGTGTGAGAGAGAGGAAGAGAAAGAGAGATTGTGTGTGTGAGAGAGATAATGTGTTTGTGAGTGTGTGTGTGAGAGAGATAGAAAGTGTGAGAGAGATAATGTGTTTGTGAGTGTGTGTGTGTGAGAGAGAAAGAAAGAGAGAGAGAGATTGTGTGTGTGAGAGAGATAATGTGTTTGTGAGTGTGTGTGTGAGAGAGAAAGAGATTGTGTGTGTGAGAGAGATAATGTGTTTGTGAGTGTGTGTGTGTGTGTGTGCGTGAGAGAGAATGTGTGTGTGAGATAATGTGTTTGTGGGTGTGTGTGTGAGAGAGAGAATGTGTGAGAGAGAGATAATGTGTATGTGAGTGTGTGTGTGTGAGAGAGAGAGAGAACGAGAGAGAGAGATTGTGTGTGTGAGAGATAATGTGTACGTGCGAATGTGTGTTTGTGTGTGTGAGAATGTATCTGTGAGAGAGATAATGTGTATGTGTGAGTGTGTGTGTGAGAGAGGGAATGTGTTTGTGTGAGTGAGAGAGAGAATGTGTATGTTAGAGTGAGTGTGTGTGAGAGTGAGAGAGAATGTGAATGTGTGAGTGAGTGTGTGAGAGTGAGAGAAAGAATGTGTATGTGTGAGTGTGTGTGTGTGTGTGTGTGAGAGAGAGAGAGAATATGTGTGTGTGTTCAGAGTTTAGAGACACTCTTTCGGTCTTATAGTTACAAAGTGCATGTAATTTTTATTCATTGGGATATCCTGAAACCCTTGGGTTGAGGACAAAATTAACCTAATAAAATAGTTATCTTCCATCTCAAAATATAGTAAACTAGGGTTATAACGAACTCAAGGGGACAACTAATTTTAGTTCGTTATAACCGTAGTTCGATATAAGCATTTCGACTGAATATCCTCTGTAGTCGCATTTAAACACATAATTGATCCACTTCAAAAGCTATAGCCTAATCACCGTTTTGCTGTTGTTAATTGAGGGTGTTAATAGGGGTCAAGGTGTAAGGTGGAGCCATAGTATGTCACGTGACACCAATCTGGCTAACACTGACAAAGGTCACAGGTAATCCTGGGAACCCCCATCTATTTATAACGCTTACAGCCGACAAACAGAAAACGTGCAATAAATAAATCGAACAGGCAACCATCAATATATTTTGTCTAAAAACAACGTCGATAAAGTGGTATTCAGACACACGTATACACACAATATATATGTACACAGATACACATACACATACACACATATACCACTACGCTCGAGTTTGTATGTTAACAATCAACAGAATGAATGACCTAGATTGATCAATCCTAACCTGACTGAGGCTGCATGAAGAATCACGTCAAATGAATTCTTGATTGGGTGTTTCAAAGCATGAGATGGAGACCAGATGTTCAAAAAAATATTTAAACTATGAACCTAAATATTTTTTGGGATAGCATCCTAGACCCATTATTATCGATCGGTCCTAGGGAAACAACTAGTCTCATTCACCACTGCATGATGGCCAGTGACATGGCCAACAACATACATATTATAGCAACTAATTACATGATAGGTGTTATCTAGAATGAACTGATCAGAGGCGATCTGTCTTACCAATCAAGGCACGGTTGTATTATCTAGTGAGGCTGAATATCTAAACAAACAATGTTGTGTGTTGTTAAATTCAGAGCCTACCTGGGTAACAAACGTTATCAAAAAGTATTCATCACGAACTAGTTGCCCGACTTCCTGTTTGACTTACTTTCGTTTTCTATGTCACCTGCGCGCGCCTGTCCTTTGTCACCCACCCCATTGCTCAATTTTAAATATTATCGTAAATGGCTGTGGTCTCAGTGGTCGTAGTGAATATTTTCAACTTTATCACCATTAAACCTGATGCAGTAAAAATCCTTGTTTAGCAGCTTTCTGAACTTAATTTTTCAATGAATCAAAATATATGTCATTTCGCAAATGGGGCTACGAGAAGGTAACTGGTGTCCTACAACCACGTGTGCATGCGACCAATAATCATAATCCACCCAGCAAGGATATATGCATACCTCGGCCCAGTGCAATATGTACGGTGTCACCTGGATTGTCGTAACCCTGTAAAATACTGTGATCGTTGATTTTCACATGCAAAGATTTTTAATTGGGAATTTTATGGTTTAAACATATTTTTATTTCTTAAATGAAATCTGGATTGATAAACAAGCAAAACATTACGTACATCACTTTATACAAACCTGTTCATGTTGACTATATATGTACAATACATAAAGCTAACCTGTAACCGTAAGCTGGAGCTAGTGGTGACCGAACTACACGAATGTAGTATCTTAATTTCAAATATTTTATCCAAAGTGTAGTTAGATTATTATCACTACTATTCGAATCTTTTACTTTTGACAATAAAATCGTGGACTGATTTAAAAATGCCCATGTTGATTGCGTCACTGGAGGAAGAGCTGCCGTTTAAAACTGTTTTCCATGGATTTAAAAATATAAATTATTTCTAACATTTGCGTAGTTTCAGCATGTAAATAGAAATTCCAACATGAATTTGGAATTTACTCGATTCTGATTTGTCAATCAGAGGCTTTTAAATCACATTATAGCTAAAATGGATAGAATTATCATAAACCGCCCGCATGTTATCAAAAATGAGCGGGCCACTGTAACTTGATAATGCCCTCATATTGCTTGACGACGGGCCATTATCACGCCTGTTGTTAGGTGACGTCATAGGATAGGGATAGGTGACGTCCCGTTCAATAGTGACGGCATCTGGTTTGTTCTATGACGTTTCCATATTTGTAAAAGTTCGTCAGTGACATTGGTGTCGATTGTAGTAAATGTTTCGAAACCGATATTGTTGTTTCTTTTTATTTTATAACAAATTCCAGCCATTTTAGCTATAATAACGGTAACGCTATATTTCAAGGCATTATCATTTGCAGAAGCCCTCGGTCTTTTCAACTGCCCTCCTTCGTCGGGCAGTTAATGGAAGACCTCGGGCTTCTGCAAATGACAATGCCCTGAAAAATAGCGTTACCCTTATAATAAACCCCCTCTGATTGAAACAGCTGGTTTGACGGCCGCATCGCCGCGGAAGCTAATATTCATAGAATAGTATTATTTTCAGTCAAGGTCGGTAGGCATATTTAAATAATTATATCTACAATTACAGGTTACAAAATGCACAGATTCGGTTACTACAATATTCAAAGGATGTGTGGCAATACATTTCGTGCAGAAAAACACGATAGAAATCTACAAAGGTAATGTATTTACGTTTTCGAGACAACAGAGAGCTTGGAATTTTGGCGCTTTTCTATATACGACTGTGACGGAGACATGATCACACCAATGTGTTCTATGACTGTGACATGCTCTCACCAATGTGTTCTGAGACTGTGACATGCTCTCACCAATGTGTTCTATGACTGTGACATGCTCTCACCAATGTGTTCTATGACTGTGACATGCTCTCACCAATGTGTTCTGAGACTGTGACATGCTCTCTGCAATGTGTTCTATGACTGTGACATGCTCTCACCAATGAGTTCTATGACTGTGACATGCTCTCACCAATGTGTACTATGACTGTGACATGCTCTCACCAATGTGTTCTATGACTGTGACATGCTATCACCAATGTGTTCTAAGACGGAGACATGCTCTCACCAATGTGTTCTGAGACTGTGACATGCTCTCACCAATGTGTTCTATGACTGTGACATGCTCTCACCAATGTGTTCTATGACTGTGACATGCTCTCACCAATGTGTTCTATGACTGTGACATGCTCTCACCAATGTGTTCTGAGACTGTGACATGCTCTCACCAATGTGCTCTATGACCGTGACATGCTCTCACCAATGTGTTCTATGACTGTGACATGCTCTCACCAATGTGTTCTATGACTGTGACTTGCTCTCACCAATGTGTTCTATGACTGTGACATGCTATCACCAGTGTGTTCTGAGACGGAGACTTGCTCTCACCAATGTGTTCTATGACTGTGACATGCTCTCACCAATGTGTTCTAAGACTGTGACATGCTCTCACCACTGTGTTCTATGACTGTGATATGCTCTCACCAATGTGTTCTATGACTGTGACATGCTCTCACCAATGTGTTCTGAGACTGTGACATGCTCTCACCAATGTGCTCTATGACCGTGACATGCTCTCACCAATGTGTTCTATGACTGTGACATGCTCTCACCAATGTGTTCTATGACTGTGACTTGCTCTCACCAATGTGTTCTATGACTGTGACATGCTATCACCAGTGTGTTCTGAGACGGAGACTTGCTCTCACCAATGTGTTCTATGACTGTGACATGCTCTCACCAATGTGTTCTAAGACTGTGACATGCTCTCACCACTGTGTTCTATGACTGTGATATGCTCTCACCAATGTGTTCTATGACTGTGGCGTGCTCTCACCAATGTGTTCTGTGACTGTGACATGCTCTCACCAATGTGTTCTATGACTGTGACATGCTCTCACTGTCTTCTGAGACTGTGACATGCTCTCACCAATGTGTTCTATGACTGTGACATGCTCTCACAATGTCTTCTGAGACTGTGACATACTCTCACCAATGTGTTCTGTGAGATGGTAATAGTGAAAACCATAATTTTCTGATGATTTTCAACACGTCCCCTTTGATGGCTGAAACTTTTTTTATATATGTATATAATAATGGCGTGGATCATTGCTCATGCCTGCGGTCTGGTATTCATGGTTTACTACATTATGTACATGCCATCATGATACTGTAACAACTTAATAATGCATACCGAGGGAATAGACAACATGTCCTCCTTCAAGAAGCCATAAGTACAATGATACATGAAGTTGTTACAAACAGAAACTGAACCTGTTACAATTCAGCAGCAGTTGTCCATAAAGTGCCCCCCACAATTCATACATAATATGCAGTAATAGTATCCATGAACCATAGAATAAAGTCCAGGATTTCGCATCCATATGTCAGGTTTTCCTTGAAACTTGAAAGTTTGAGACTGATTCTTTCAGAACCCATGTCGAGGATTGATGTGGCTCTTTACCCAATTGTACATTTCTCAAAATTATTTTCTCCTATGGATTCTATGTCAGTTGATTTATAAGATGAGGTGAGGTGAAATTGGGTTTAACGTCGCGTCCAAGATTATTGCACTTATATAGCGACGTGCATGCACGTGTGTGTGTGTGTGTGTGTGTGTGTGTGTGTGTGTGTGTGTGTGTGTGTGTGTGTGTGTGGCTGCTTGTACTAGTCCGGGCTGATGCCGATTTATAGTACTAGCTCACTTAGATACCATGCCGCAGTTTAACATGAATACCCCACTCAGACACAGTATACCGACTCCGAGCCGACCAGTCCTTGTTTTAGCCCCTTAACGCCGAGCGCCAGACAGGGTAACAACAAGTACCATCTTTTAACGTCTTTTGGTATGGCGCGGCCGGGGATCGAACCCCGATGATTTATAAGAAGGCTTACATGAACAATTATACCAGAATTAGGCAAAACCGGAAAATATATGAGATTATTGGATGAAAGGTCCAAATATTCCACAGCCGTAGTTTATTAATAATGTTAGAACTGTTCCTGACGTTTTTTTTAGCAAATTGGAAGTTTCAGTTTCTTATTGATAGTTTCCTGACGTTTGAACACGTATCTTCACGTATCTCAGTAACTTAAAGATGACGAAAATAATCATCATGTTTCAGATTGGTGAAAACAATATTAGTTAAGAAAGCAAAATTATAATCTTCTCTATGACCTCTATGATCTTGACCAGTGTCCTTCTCCTCAAGTGACATATAATCGTGTCAAATATCCAAGTTATAGCATATTTAATACAACATATTCTGAGGAAAAATAAGAAATATATATATATTTGCATTGTCTAGAACCTCCAAAGCCAAATGCCGATCATTGTGCCGTGAAGAAATTTGAATCTGTTATAGCCATTACGGGGGCGTAGGGGTGGTCGAGTGGTTAAAGTGTTCGCTCGTCACGCCTAAGACCCGGTTCGATCCCTACATGGGGACAATGTGTGAAGCCCATTTCTGCTGTCCCCCGCCGTGATATTTCTGGAATATTCCTAAAAGCGGAATGAAACAATACTCACTCACTATAGCAATTATGATTTATACAAAATGTTTCTGCCGTAGCCGCCATTTTGAAAATCAGATTGGAACCACTTGAACAAATTGAACTTTCATCATTGGCAGGAACCATTATGCCAAGTGTCCACTACCTTGGTCTAATAGTAACAAAGAAGATGTTACAGACGCCGACGCCGATGTTTGAAGGGTTCACCATGATCAGTACCTTGTCCTATTTGAGACATGTAATCATTGCAAGAGCCAAATCAAACCATGGACATACACCAATTCTTGTTTCTTTCTTTCGGTTTTTTTATATTCAAAGTCCAAGAACGAGATCCTTCCTGAGCGTGGTGTGAAAACATGGCATCTGAGATCTTCCCCCCGAAAGATTGAGGTCAGCAACGCGTGCATTCAGCAAGGTGAGACACGTCACAAGACTGAGTTCAGGGTTGGCTCTCGGTATCTCCACGAGATTGGAAATATAGAAAGATCCCCTGTAACTGTCACGATATGACACGTAGCCGTCAACGGTTGACCGGGCGATCAGGAAATCAGCCTCGTTTGGAACAAAGGCCGTGGCATCGTCCTCCATGTCGCCACAACACGAGTCAGTCTCGTGAGGAAGAGATGCTTGTCCATGCTTACCCCGACAGGCCTGGAACAGAAACACCTTGGGCTTGCCCCGAAGTGAAGGACAATTCTCAGCTGTGAACTGTTTGGTAATCTGGTCAACGTTTACATCTAAACCATCTGATGCTTTGATGCTTTTTGACGACCCGTGAGACATCACAACGCAGACAAAACAGCTATAGCGTGAGTGATCCTGTGAAGCCATTGTTTTCAATGTATTTAGAAGAATAGAACCCTCCAAATCTTTTCTAACCGCTACTTTGAAACCAAACTGCTTAAACACTTCTTCCAAACCGACTTCATCTTTTTCAGTGCCATATCTGTAGTCGCTTCCATCTTGAAATGATCTCATACTGATGATGAGACATACACCTTTGGGAATGGCGTCCATCTTGTACACATTATTGGGAATTGTAGACGATTGAGTAGACAGCGACCATGCAGTCATAGGACGAGCTACTGTTTCTATTTGGTCTTGAATATCAAAACCTGTAAATATTTCTACCATTCTTTGTATCAAGCGGTCAATGTTTTGACCAGTTATCGATGAAATCTCCATATGTCCTGACAACCAAGCTTTGTCCGATACCCCCAGGAACTTCGCATCCTGAGTATCTGAAGGCAGGTCGGACTTGTTGCCGATGATAATAGTAACAATGTTCTTGTAGTATAGATCGTTTATCCACAAGTATTCCATTTTTTCCAGGCTTGTGTTAGAATTCACGTCATACAACAGAAAGTAGACGTCAGGCTTGTGTTCAGTTGCCTGCTGGAGTTGTGATGTTTTGGTTCCTCTGCACTCTGTGACATCAAGCATCACAGGGGGATTATACCCCAGACGCAGGCCATAAACAAAGCAGGCACCACGGACACCAAGATGCATGTAAGAGTTGCCTTTGATCAGGTATTTCACAAGTTCTGATTTCCCACTCTCACTTGGTCCCAGCAGACATATCTTTACTTTTGAACGCCCTTTCTTTTCAGATGCCACCTTTAATTGGTGTGCATCAGTGGAAGCACGCGCCATTCCCTAAACAAAGGTCTGAAAAACATATCAATACATCAATACACAGGATGGTACATACTAACGTGTGCTCGAAAAGACACATGTTGCGCTCTAAGAAGAAAACAATATATCGATACAGGGAGCTCGAAGAATTCAGTGTGCACACCACAACACTCACGATTATGTGAACATATCTAAAATAAACATAAATCAGAAAGTCAGCCACATAGGGCTGGACACTCTCTGGTGAGGAGAATTTTACCTCGATCATAAGAGAGTATCGGTCTACTTCACCCTGGACGCTCGCGTATTTATATCTTCCGATGCGTCGGTCAGGGACTTTGAATTGATTTACAACTGACATGATTATAGTTCAGAGAGATTCGCCAAAATGGAAATCAGGGAGTTGAAGGGGTTAGGGCCGGGGTTGAACTATTCTCAGCTATCTTAGCAGCAACAGATACTAGTACGTAGTCTGATATGGACTACAGCTGAATTGGCCATAAACATGACAATCAAGCGCTTCGTCACACACGACTAGCTTTGAGGTGCAGCGGGTAGATTTAAAGCTGGCTGAGAATAAACCGCTGGAAAACCCAATCTGCTAATGACGCCACAGCCTATTAATAGAGGTGACGGCGGTTCTATTAATAGGGTCCATTCTTTCCATACATTCAACAACACACCATCATTTCTTTGAATTAACCAAAAATGTTCCTGAGGTGGAACATCAGATACACATACAGAACTCATTCAGAACACACAAATGTTCATTGACAAGCATAGTCGCCTTTTACGGCAAGCATGGGCTCCTGAGGACCTATTCTTCCCCGGATCTTCACAGGGCATCAACAGATGTACATACCCCGATTCTGCAAGGGGGTGTCACTTTTCCTCTGACTTGTTCTTTTGATAGTTGTATGAAATACGCCCAATGAAAGATACAACCAGTCGCATAAAATAATCTCCGATTGCATGATGGGTAATTAACAGGCAGTAGTCTTCAACAGACATTAATCAACCATTTACATTCTGCTGGTTACAATGGGTTGAACATCAACGATCTGTCCTCACCAACCTAGGCATGTTACGATCTGGTATAATCAAAACTATCGTATGTAATTAACTTCAGTGGATCCTACCTGGGTTACTTACGTAATCAGTCTTTCCAATTTCCTGTCTACCTTAGTTTCGTTTTGTTTGACACCTGCGTGCGCCTGTCCTTAGTCATTTCCGCTCAACACCGGCCCTTATCAGATAGTTTTTAACAATAGGTCACTTATGTCACGATGGAGAACACATAGAATCGGCTTCATACATCTGTGAATTGAACTGGGTTTTCGACTTTAACCACTCAGCTTGTCCGCCGAACCTCGGAGAAGAACGAAAAGAACCATATGGCCATTTTAGAGGATCCGGGCCACATGCAGATCATGGCTGCCACCCAGAAGCATGCACGAGTTACATCCAGAAGTACGAGGCTATTTACCATTTATTCCTGACTTTACAGTATCAGTATTTCACTTATTGATATCACAAAATGTAACTTATGATATTAAATAATTATTGAAGTATTTTTTATGTTTGTTTATTGTTTGACGTCACACTCAGCAATATTCCAGTTACATATGTGAATAGTCGAGTCTGGACCAGACAATCCAGTGATTGACATCATGAGCATCGATCTACGCATGGTTGAGTTGGGTTGAACGACGCGGTTTACGGCATTCCGGTTGTATCACGACGTGTCAGCTTAATGTGGGGGAAAAGCCGGAAGAGATGCAGGTCTCAGACCTTTACCACTTCGGTAAAACCAACCATCACAGGTATGGTGCTGACAAACCTAGGAACATATAAGGGCGGACCAGGATTCGAACCCACAGTCATGTTTCTGGCGTACATAGCGAAGTGTCCCTGAAGTATTTCTGATATCATAAATTCAATTCAGTCTTATTAAAGATTCATTTCTCACAAATCCGAATTTGAGATGTCAAAACATGATTTATGGATATCAAGTTGATTTTTACATATAAAAAAATGCTTGACATGAGTGCCCCTCCCAGATGACATTGTTATAATTTTTTTACATTTGGGGATATCTTTGCTAATTATTTTGATAGACAGTTTCAGTTCATTTCCATACTTCTATGCTGTCCTTTATTTTAAGTAATTTGTTTGTGGGTTGAGTATAGTTAAGGTGTATGGATAAGATTGGCTGCACAAGAAACAGTACTGCATTTACTGTTATCTCATCCAACTGCTTACATCATGTCAACAATTTGAATCATAATTTCAGTAAGCATTGGCCGTTATGGTGTCCTGTGAAGTAATGCAGCATGGAACACAAAAAGTAATGGATGATAATGAGCGCACTGATTCGTGTGTACTGTGACACGATCAACCAGGTCACAAAAACTAGTGGTTGATAATGAGAGCACTGATTCGTGTGTACCGTGACACGATCAACCAGGTCACACAAACTAGTGGTTGATAATGAGAGCACTGATTCGTGTGTACCGTGACACAATCCACCAGGCCACACAAACTAGTGGTTGATAATGAGAGCACTGATTCGTGTGTACCGTGACACAATCCACCAGGCCACACAAACTAGTGGTTGATAATGAGAGCACTGATTCGTGTGTATCAGACACCATCAACCAGGCCACACAAACTAGTGGATGATAATGAGAGCACTGATTCGTGTGTATCGAGACACCATCAACCAGGCCACACAAACTAGTGGATGATAATGAGAGCACTGATTCGTGTGTATCGAGACACCATCAACCAGGCCACACAAACTAGTGGTTGATAATGAGAGCACTGATTCGTGTGTATCGAGACACCATCAACCAGGCCACACAAACTAGTGGATGATAATGAGAGCACTGATTCGTGTGTATCGAGACACCATCAACCAGGCCACACAAACTAGTGGATGATAATGAGAGCACTGATTCGTGTGTATCGAGACACCATCAACCAGGCCACACAAACTAGTGGTTGATAATGAGAGCGCTGATTCATGTGTATCGAGACACCATCAACCAGGCCACACAAACTAGTGGTTGATAATGAGAGCACTGATTCGTGTGTACCGTGACACAATCCACCAGGCCACACAAACTAGTGGTTGATAATGAGAGCACTGATTCGTGTGTATCGAGACACCATCAACCAGGCCACACAAACTAGTGGATGATAATGAGAGCACTGATTCGTGTGTATCGAGACACCATCAACCAGGCCACACAAACTAGTGGATGATAATGAGAGCGCTGATTCGTGTGTATCGAGACACCATCAACCAGGTCACACAAACTAGTGGTTGATAATGAGAGCGCTGATTCATGTGTACCTTGACACAATCTACACAAACTAGTGGATGATAATGAGAGCGCTGATTCATGTGTACCTTAACACAATCCACACAAACTAGTGGATGATAATGGGTGGTAATTCATGTGTACCGCGACACAAATTGTAGCTCAGACTGGTGTCTTTGTCAGCCAACATGCACTTTACTTAAAAAATCAAATGAATGCTTATTATATTTGCTTATTAATTGCTCCTTAACCATTCAGGGTAATCTACACACCTATTCCACCATATTACACATGGATAATTGAGGATGTAACAAACAACAATAACAATAAGTATGAAAACAATGTTTACTTCAAGTGGAAATGCAAACAGGTGAGACCATTTCTTACTTGTGTCACTCTTTCACCACAACTTACATCACAGTTGGCTGTACAGACAAAGCATTTACATCACAGCTAACTGTTGGTCCTCACTGGAGGAAAACCTGCTCACAAACCTTTGATTCAACATTAATAAATATCACTGAAGTGATTGTTAGATAATACACATAAGTAACACATCACAAGTCAATCATTCAGAACAATTTCCATTTTAATATGTTTTACTCTAAATGACAGGCTGTAAAGATATATTTTGTTCACTTATAACAGCCATCTCAATAGTAAGGTCATAACATGAGACATGAAAACTGGACATGTTGAAGAAGCTGGATTTCATCAAAGCGCAAGCTAATACCCGACCAAAGATATTGAGTAAAATCAAGTCAGTTTAACAATGGTTATCCCCTCAAAACACTGTCAGAAAACACAATATCTGTACATGGAGGTACTCTGTCCCAAAACAGCAGTACTATATCTTAGGGTCATGTTTTGATATGTGAACATCTGTAATTCTAAGTCTGAAATGTTTGTTTCATCAGGTTTCGGAACCATCATCCTTGCTGACTCCTGATGCTGCGACTATAGCAACAAGTGACAGGGAAGACACAGCTTTCAATAGGACAACAAAGACAAGAATATGATTGGATTTCAGTAATCTACTTTCCTGGTTCAGCGGACCTTAATGAAATTCCAAACCTCCCGTATACCCACAGAGTGAAGGGCTAATCTTAGGCATACTGTATGTACTTGTAATCCCCACATCAAGACAATGACATGTGATAACATAGATGAACATTTGCAATCATAGCATGTTATAATTATTGTGGTTGTAATTAACAGTTATTTCTTCTTCTCATCTGTAAATCTGCCAAAGCTACCTGTATGTGCTGCTGTAATCTCTCGTCAGATCTGCAGTGGCTATATTCATGTGATAACAGACTTGTAGTCAATATTGGAAGTGATTATTTAACTACCATGAAGATCCTTCTCCACACGCACCAATTCAAACAAGGATGAAGACAGTTCCCATCGGTTGTGGACAGGGACCACATTGGGCACACACCACATCAGGGCCCACAGGAATACTAGACTATCGTTTTCAAATTTCACATTGCAACATATTTGGCTTTAAAAAGTAACATTTAGCTTATTCAAAGTTGGGAAAGTCGTGAGGACTGTTTGGTTGTTTTCTGTTTGTGATGGTCAAAGGTGTTTTATATGTGCCAGAATCTTCCATTTACATCAGGGGTATGAAGCTAACTGTCACTGTCCAAGAAGCAAGAATACAGACAGATACAAAGGAGACCATTCCATGCAAGTGTTTTCACTGAGATGTGTCTCGGTTTCTAACACTAACACTTACATAAAACTTGTAACTAAAACACAGAAAGGAGCCCATAACAATGACTTAATGGACACTCCAATCCCTTTTCCACCCAGCCGAACAGGATGACTGGTCATGAAGTAGTGAGGCTTGAGGTTTTTGGTGAGAAATTCGTCTCTGTTGTCATGTTGCAGCTATGATTTACACTCCACAGGGCACTCAACTATGAGATCTTGAAGCTGTACTCATTTGAGAGGAATATAGCATGATCCAGAGCATGGATGTTCACAAACATCTTGCTCACTTGTTTAATATTTTCTCTGTAAATAGAAAGACAATCAGATGAAATTCAGTCAACCCTTCCATCCAATGTAAAACAGTATATCTTTGTAATATTCGGATTTCAAGTGTTGCGATCAACATGCTAAAGATACCATATATTAATTTTTCAAATTCATCATTATTTCAGATTGTATCCTGCCAATAATTCTATTCCAGTTTGAATCACTAGTACTTACTATCAGTACTACTAGTTACACAACAATGGAAATCATTAGAAGATCCCATAAAATCATAGTTTGAAAGTCAAAGGCATAGAATTAAAAGGCCACTGGCCACTATTCTTTTCAAAAATAAAATGGTTCAAAGCATAAATAAACTTCAAATCTGCACATTTGTAAAAATTGTATCTAAAGATCGTTTCTGTTTTCTCAATTCATCACCAGTTCCTTTGACTTGTGAATCCTGTTGTTTCCTAATCCTGTCGTATAAACTGACAGGTAAGACACCATCCTCCCTCACCTGCCCTCGTGCCTCTCTGTATCGGCTGCCAACATCGTGGACTTGTGCATGGTGTCAGCAAACAGCATGAGGTAGCGACATAGAGGCTCCAACTGGGGCATCGTCTTGTCCGTGTCTGCACTGGTGAACCAGGCCTTGGGTAGTGTGGAGATGATCTGTACAAAGAGGAACACATGTATTTAGTAAAGAGTTTTCTACAGCGGGAAGCAACATTTCAGCAACATCAAGAATGGTCTAAACATATTGTAGCTATTCCATTTGAGATAGGAGACTCATGTATGTTACAAAGCAGACCCATCATGTGTACACTAGGTTCACATGCCCAAAGTCTCAGACTCTTGTCAGACACCAACCCAAAATGTGGTGTCTTCCATGTAGTAATGTAGCAATAACCCAGCTGTATCACAACAGCAAGACAAAGCAGTGGTCGATAGTATGAGTAAAGAACCCTGAATTGGGTCATACTGACAAGGGACGGTTGCTGGTTGCACAGTTACAATCACAGGCCATGATGACAATAGTAATAGGCAAACTATTCGGTGCACGACAACAGAATCAGCCAGGTGCTACATCGTAACCACATTGCCAGAGAGGGCACTTTGACAACATGAGGTAATTACTGGGACCTAATCTGCTTGCAGGTGGATCTACTCACTGCGTTCGTCTTCTCCAGTGCATCCTTGTTACAGAAGCCGGTGTGTAGACTGAGGATGATGTATCTGTTGAGCAGCCCATCAAAGGCTATCTGTTGTAACACTTGATCCGCCAGGATTCCATACCATGACAGGATGTTGCCTAGCAACTGTAATAATGAAAACAAATTCATTATTTTTTGGTATCCCAGCAGCACATACTGAACATGTTGTACACTATGCATTATTATGGGTGATCTATTAAATACTACTTAAAGTTAAAGAATACCAGATTTTTTATCATATGGCATGACAGTTTAGCTAAAATCCTCTGAAAAATGTGGTCGTGACAGAATAACTATAGTCACACACCTCATGTGAATCATTGTCAATGTCAGACATGTTTGGTGGGTATGTCTTGTGGGTGACCATGACATATTCTGTGGGTATGTAAGAAGGATAAACAAAACTAACAGCAGCCTAGATAAGTCTAGATAGACACCTTGATACACATGCTAGATAAGTGAACCCACCTTGATACACGTCCAGGACTGTCTGTGGAAGAAGACAGCTGGGCCGGCAGATCTGTTCTCCAGAACACTGAAACACAAACAAGTGAAACTGCACAGTCACAACACAAGCTTTGAGTAAGTAAGTAGGGTTGCTTATGATGGAAGTTGAATCAGGGTCTTTGGTCAGAGGTGTGGAAAACCAATCTCCAACTTGCCTGATTCGTTACGGGACTGCTGGACAAACCAAAGAATGAGCATGTTACCCATGGAAGACTTTAAAATTAAGAAGACTTTCAGTCAAGTTTCATCAAATATTCATTACAAGTACTAAACATAGAATTGAAAATGTCTTAACATTGCAAGTATGACCAATCCAACTGATGGCAGTGTATTGTGTACTTCCTTGTTCTTATTTCAATCCGCTCCGACACTCTCTGATTAGTTGATCAGAGTAACACATAGCCAAATCTGCCGCATATTGTAAAAAGTCATGGCAGGTTGCATAACCAAGACTTATAGTGTTTGTCTGTTTATGGCCAAGCAAGGGACAAATCATTATTGGTGGGGGATGAAGTTATGGAGATACGAAAGCTGAGAAAAGGTATGACAAGATGAAGAGAGTATGAAAATAAACGCAAACAGGAATTTCAAACACTAGCTTTAACATTTACATGTACTATTTTGAGACAAAACACCATTTGGGGTCAAGTGTCTGAACAAGCACACCTTGTCTCAGGACAAGGGAATTCTAACTGATTACTCATCCAGCTACAGGTTCACAGTTCGATCATGTTGATATTTCCACACTCCTTTTGGTATGACAAGCCAACATCTTACTTAACCACTTTGATACCCTACTATGTGTCTACACAGGTTTTAAGATCTCACATCAGATAACTGGCAAATTGCAAAAAGACCTTGGGGAGGAAAATCTGTGGTCGATAGTGTCAGTCCCAGTTACCTACAGGTGATGTCCCAGGAATTGATGTTTTCAGTTATTCCCCATCCATAGCCTATTCACACTTAGATACCCAATCACAACACTGGAAGTTAACACTCATGAGATGGCAAATGAGTTCTGTGAATCCTCAAAACAAATTAACCCTGGTTAAGAAAAATTTAAAAAATAGGAGAAATCAAATATGCCAAGGACACTGTTTTAGTAAGGTTTTGACTTTTTGGAATTTGAGATGCTTTTTAAGGTTGCTGTCAACCAACTCAACAAGTGATCTTACTTTTTTGGATACATAGGCATAAAGACATCGTCATCCAGTGTTTTCTTCATCCTGTTAGAAATGGCCTTCAGTAATGCCTGAGTATTCTTGGCCTCTCCACTGACAGTGGGGTAGTCGCGGATCAGTCGCTGTATGAGGTTCACTAGTCTTGAGGTCTGTATTGTTGACATTGGGTCCCAAACTGTTTCTACAAGCCCTGTAAAACAAACATAGTCTTCAGCATTTGAGTACTGCATCACTCCCAAAAAACGTGATTTCATATTCGATCGGGATGGTGGAGTAGCCAAGAGGTTAAAGTGTTTGGTCCCTATGCTGAAGGCCTGGGTTTGATTTCCCATGTGTGAAGCCTTTTTCTAGTGATTGGCGGAGTAAGTTTTCATAAAGCAGTGAAAAACCTAACCCATTCACATTAAATGAGTTGGGTCTTGCTGCTTTCAACAGAACATCAGCAGATCATGAAATGTCAGCTTGTGGAGAACAAAGCCCAAAGTGATGTAGGTAATGCAGTGTTCGAATTTGAACACGCAAGTGAACAGGTCCTTGTCATAGAGTATAATAGAGCTAACATTAAAAATCCCCATTGGAGCCATCCTCAAACACCTCTTAATTTCGAACACTGCTGTTGATGTCTACCACAGGTGGGTTTGTTGTTGCTGACAAACCAATGTTCATAACTAGGGCAAATCTGGACCCTGACACTGGACCCCATGCCCAACAGACATAGGATCCATGTGTGCACCCTTAGTTGTGTTGACACTGGACCCCATGCCCATCAAACGCAGGATCCATGTGTGCACCCTTAGTTGTGGAGAGATTGGACCCCATGCCCATCAGACGTAGGATCCATGTGTGCACCCTTAGCTGTGGAGACACTGGACCCCATGCCCATCAGACGCAGGATCCATGTGTGCACCATTAGTTGTGGAGACACTGGACCCCATGCCCATCAGACGCAGGATCCATGTGTGCACCCTTAGCTGTGGAGACACTGGACCCCATGCCCATCAGACGTAGGATCCATGTGTGCACCCTCAGTTCTGGAGAGATTGGACCCAATGCCCTGGTTTTCTTATCCAGATTAAATCATATGAATACTCAGAAAAATGATTCAGCTTCATGAAAGTAAAAACATTTGGTCATATTCAAACTTAACAGACCCTTTCATCCTTAACTTTGTAACAATGCTGACATCTATGTTCAGAAACATGTCTAAAACTTTGACAAGCTGGAAGCAGAGAGACTAAAGAATCACACTAGATCCAAGGTAACACAGGGATGAGATAGTCTTACTTGTGAGTTTTGGTAAAATTATTTTATCCACAATTGCTGGTAATAATTTAACGTCATCATCTTCTATGGATGCCTCATCCTCTTCATTATGGAGACCCAGAAAAACCAGACAAGCGTACCACTGACTCTCTTCAAAGTCACCACAGTTCTCCTGAAAACAATGAGACAATTTTAGTACTGAGAGTTTAACACACATTGTATTTAATCACATGCTGTACCATCCTTAGTTCTGACAATATTCCTGATTTCAAAAGTTTCAAATTTTTGGCCTTCTAATTCAGGGTAGTTTTGTTTTACACTGCCTTGATCAGTATTTCAGATGTTATCACGATGAGTCAGCTACTAGTCCAAAATAGAGGCAGTCCGAGACATTTACTATTAAAACTCTCCAACAAGGGGGCTGACAAGACGAGGATCAGAAACCGGTAAAATTAGAACTCACAATCATTTGAACATCCCACCACTAACAAGGGTAGACCATCAGTTAATTCAACTTGAGGTTCATGAAATAAATTAGATTTGTGATTTAGCAAGAAGACTCGTCCTTCCAGATTTTCACTAGTCTTGGGAAGAAGAGACTTGTGGGCATGTCTAACCCAACTATGGAGTCGCTGCTCCTCAGATGAATGGGTCACTACGAATATTAACAGTAATAATCAGATCAGTCAGCATCCTTGATAATCCAGTGTATTCTATCTCCATTCCACTTTGTTGAATAGCCTGGACCTATTTGCCACTACAGCGTTGAGTCTAGTTCAAATGACAACACTGAGATAACTGTACAATCGATTTTCTTCATTTTCATGGCAATATCCCCAGTACCAGATGCCTATTTGCATGCCATCCCTGATACAACAGGCATGTCTTGTAGAAGATGGATTTCCCTTCCCTGTCTTACTCACTCATAAAAACATAATGTCCAGCTAAGGTTCATATATGCCGTCTTCTGATTCTGTTAAACATATTGATGGCTTGCAAGGCTGCATATAAAATGTTGATCTATCTCGAACTCTTGTTCAGAAGAGGCATTTTGACTAGTTGATGTCAAGCTCATGAACAATAGAGTGAGTGAGTTAGTTGGGTTTAATGCCGCTTTTAACAGTATTCCAGTTATATCACTGCGTGTCAGCTTAATGTGGGAGGAAAGTCCGAAGTGATGCAGGTCTCTGACGTTTACCACTTCAGTGAAACCCACGAGCACGGGTATGGTGCTGACCTAGAAACATAATTGGGGCAAACCGGGATTCGAACCCACAATCATGGATTTCTGGTGTGTCCAAGGGACTCAACTCCGCACTGCGAATAGTGGCACCTTAGACGACTGGGCCACCCGTGCCCCCCCATGAACAAGAGAAATTTTGTGCTAAGTTGGTGATAAAACAGTTGAAGAAGCTATGACAAAGAGGTCCAGGTTACATATTATTATAGAATGGAGAGAAAATTCACGGTATGATCAAGGATTGTCAATGGTTGGCAAAAGTACCACCCTACTCTGGATCAGAGACAAGTATTACCTCGATTGGATTCCACTTTAAAGTGTGCAATCTGATGAGAGGGTTGAACAGTTTAGGGAGACACAGTCCGATGTAAGCCTCCCTGTAGGAGTCCCCATAGCTGAACTTCCATTGTTCGAACTGACTGCGGATACAGTCAACCTCACTGAAATCTTCCACCACGTCTTCAAACAAGGTCCTAGCACTTGTCACAATGGAGTCTGGGGAGGAAATAGAACAGTCGGGATGAAGTTACGCCCTGGTTCTACCCCTGTCACTTGTGTACTTTTTGCTCAATCTATGTTAATTCTAGAAACTTACAGTTTTCAATCAAGCTCCTTTCTTAACGTGGTTACATTAGAACTATCAGTAATGTCTTTGACATAATTACTTGTTCCAAGGCAGGGTCAATTAATTTCATTCTCATAAAAAGCTCAGCTAATATAGTCCATGTATTAAACCTACTGAAGCTAAGTGAAATGATTCCAACACAACTTCAGCTGAGTAAAGGAACACTGCAACAATGCACTATATATCGTTAGTTTCTAAGAGGTCGAATAACCATTGAATTAAAAATATCTCCGCCCCCAAGAAAAAAAAAAATCAACAAATTTTCATACTTACATTTTGGGCCTAACTGACTAAAGCTAAGTTCATATGCATCATGTATATTCAGTTAAATATAAGAATCTCTACTGAAGTGATAAGGGCAGTTCATCAAGGGGACATACACTGTGACAAACGTTCTGTATAGTTTATATATTATACAGCGTAAACTTTCTCCTGATAAATTCTATATGTGTGTGTATGGTATTGTATTTCAACAGTGATGAAACTGTGATATCAAACTTAGATGACCGCACTAAGAGAGACTGTAAAGATAAAATCCACCTTTCTCCATAGTGAACTTAGAGATATCAGTTTGACTTTCTTCATCATCAGAAGAGAGACCATCATGGTGACCGCGAATGTTTTTGGCTTCTCGAGCACGGCGCCGACGCGATCTGGAATAGAGAACAGTGTTTTTTTACTCTTTTTGCTGCACCTTATGCATCAAAAGTTGAGACAGCATTTCTACAAATAATAATAATAATAATAATAATAATAATAATAATAATAGTTGTGATTACATAAATCTCAAGGGTGTGAGCGAGATTGAATTTTGTGTAACACCACAGTGAACAATATCCCACCAAAAAGTATGATGGCAGGCTGATAGTAGTCTGCATCTGGGACCAAACACCAGTGGTTGACAGCATGAGCACCGTCAGAGCACAATGACACACCATCTATCCTCACAAGTTGTCTCTTATGACAAACGGTACAGGGTAACTCTCCTGCCCTCACAGGGCATATTCTTTTGGAAAACCTGCACCAGTCTGAGAATTGAGCCACTAGTCCAAAGCCAGAGGCTCCAAAATTTCTTTCTGTCTACTAGACTCAGCTATTTGAACTAAAATTTAATATAAACTCTAATTTCCACAGATGCCTTGTACATAAATGCTCCTATTAATAATATCAATGATTAAACTAAACCTGGCACTAACCTCCGTGCTTCCCGCTCAGCTACACGCCGCTGTCTCGCCTGTTCCTCATTTCCAGCCATTATAACCTTGGATGCTGCCTTACCTACAAAGCAATAGTCAGTCAGTGTTAACAATGGTTAACAGAGGTTAATTGGATCATCTGAACCAAACTATATTTTAAGTAGGCCTTTGCATTTCATTGTCATTTATATCAAGTTCATGACAGAAATGACAAATAGTTGGATTTTCTAAAATAAATACACAAAAATAAACATACTTTTAGGGTGTGTGAGTGAGTTAAAGTTTTACGTCACATCGGCAGTATCTCAGCCATATAGTGACGAACATACATTTAGGATGAAATGATGAATATTGATATCCCTTTAATAGGAACAGTTATATTTTAGGCCTCATCACCATGGTAACAGGACCTACCAGGAAATTACCACTGCCATGGGAGGCACTCAAAAGGTTGGCACATAGGGGCAATACTGGTGAGAGTTTTGTACAAGACCTACTGACAATGTTGTCTATTTTAGTTACAAATTTCTCACTGGGAAGAATATCAATACTCAAAAACACAGAAATGTTGAAATGAAACATGTTTAAGTATTAAAAGAAAACAAAGCATGTTCACTTGCAAATGATAACACTTAAGTAGGTTTCTATAGTGGTTTGACAGAGAAGAATTCACAAGATACATTTGTCAGAATGACATTTAAAACACGTGGCAAGTTGGAAATAAGACAAAACTGGTATGAAGAGCATAGAATCCTATCTAGAAGTATGAAAGGAAGGGAGACTGTATGTGTGATGTGTGTACAAAGTACACTAATATGAGAGGTAAATACCGACTTGTCATGTAGTCCTGACACTGGTCTCGGACATCCTGCTGCCGCCGCTGCAGCAGATTCTCAGCTCGCAGTTTCAGTAAGTGAAGCATGCGAGTCTCCAGGTCGTTAATCAGGGGCACCTGCAATGTGAGGAGACAGGTCAACACAGGCACATGACATCTGTACAGTGGAGCAGCTTCTCCTACACACTGTAGTATTAACTGGGAGAAAACAGGCAACCTCATGCATCCCAGCTGGACATCCCTCCAGGCCAGCTAACACCCTTGCATGACAATTCAATATCTCTCCATGCCAGTATAACACCCCTCCATGGCAACGTATCACCCCTCCACGGCAACAAAATTCCCTGCATGACAATTTAACACTTCTACATGTCAACTTCATAGCCCTAGATGAGACCCAAACACCTGTACATGACAGCTTAAAATCTTTGTATGGCAGCCAAACTCCCTACATTATACACCACTGCATAGAAACTCAAAGCCCTGCACAACACATCCCTACATGACTGCCCTGCATGACAGTTGAACTCTTTACATCATTCATCCCTACACAAAAACTCACTACCCTTGCAAGACAGCTGAATGACAAAACCCCTATATGATACTTAAACGCTCCTTAAGAACAAATTCCCATCACTGCATGATAACTTAACCTCCCTACATGACGTCGTCACACTCCCATATAGCAAATGAACTTCCTCCACAATAGCCTGCATTACCGCTGATCGCAAACGCATGAGAGCTGAACACTCCTTCACGGCAGCTGAACACAACTGTACACAACTGCATAACAGCTGAACACTCCTTCAGGAAAGCTGAACACTTCTCAGGACAGCTCAACACGAGTCAGTAACAGCTGAACACTACTGCAAGCGAGCTGAACACTTCTCAGGACAGCTCAAAACAAGTCAGTAACAGCTGAACACTACTGCAAGCGAGCTGAACACTCCATCATGACAGCTGAACACTCCTTCAGGACAGCTGAATACTTCTCAGGACAGCCCAACCCAAGTCAGTAACAAATGACTACTGCAAGAGAGCTGAACACTTCTCAGGACAGCTCAACACACGTCAGTAACAGCTGAACACTACTGCAAGCGAGCGGAACACTCCATCATGACAGCTGAACACAACTGAATAACAGCTGAACACTTCTCAGCACAGCTAAACACAACTCAGTAACAGCTGAACACTGATTGTGATCAAGTCATCTCACATGAGTTCCACACTTCTCCATACTTAAAAAGGAAAGCTAAATATTCTCCATTGACAATTTTCATTAGATGATGTAAACATAATTATTTCACATTTCTAAACAACAATCCTCTTTCAAATAAAACCTCTTGACATATTCTGTTCATGGGTGGCAGGAAACAATGGTATAGCAAGAGGCTGCTCACTGGACATTTCACATTTGGTTTATTTGGGAGAGAATACAGTGTCAAACACAGAAATCATTGCAATTGGCAACTGAATTCTTCTCAATCTGATAATGGTAAAATGGTTTGTCCATTTTGAAAACAGGAAAAGAGTTAAATAATTCAATGATTATCACTTCCACAAGTTAATGCCAATTTGATTTTTAGATATCTTGACATAAACTGTATGTGGATAATGTCAGCATATTTCCTGCTTTTCTATCATCTTCAAAAATGCATAAGAATAACGTGATGGTTATTTGCCAACAGCTTGTGTTCCTATAGAACCACACATGTGTGGATAAGAAGCATAGTATTCTGAAAAAAACATCTTCATTAGGTTTTACATTGAACAATGACTGATCTAAGATGGAAGTGCATAAGACATTGATGAAACAAAAACGATGAACTTGAATGTAGGTCCATAAATATTTCCAACAATTTACTCTAGTCAATATCACTAAACATCAACAAAAACACAACTGTGCAAGGATGACAAGCAATCCCACCCACAAACAGCATGGCCCCTCTGTACAGTTGATTTGCTTTAAAATAATCAGTGTGTCAGTAATGTCAGACACTGAGGAATTGATCAGCCGGTGTTTTGGATGATTACATCTACAGGGGTAGCCATTCTAGAACCCTTCCCTCTCACACAAAGTTCGTCTCACTGCTGCAATATGACTGCCTAGTTCGAGACAAGTACATTAAGAAAGTTTGTGAAGGCAAGTCATATTGTGCAATGAAACAAGCTTGAAGTCACTGCTTTATTTGGCTAATACAACATCGAAAACATACAAGACAACTTGGCATACAATACTAACCGAACAGTTTGAAAAACAAGTAACTTTTTGTCATGATTAGTTGTATGTTATGAAAGCTATAAATAAAACCAAGACTTCAGTTAACATCTTAAGTAGTTTTTAGCACTCAAGATTTCATTTGCTCATGCTTTTTTGACTGAACTGTTTAATGGCATATATAAACCAGCATGTTAAGTCAAACAGTTCCAACTAAAGCAGTGACTTCCGCTGCGTCCTACTGACCCGCCCAAAAGATAGTATATTGACCCACCTTCTCGTTTAGACACTCAACCAAGTCTCTCACATACCCCCTCATTTCTTGGAAGAACTTATAGCGTTCCCCCAAACTGCTGCATTTCCCTTCACACTCGTCTATGCAAGTTTGGGTGTCCACAAACTCAGTTGCCAATCTGTCTCGTTCCATCTTATGACTCCTGTAAACCTCATCCATTATGTGGAGCCTAAACAAAAGAAAATGTCAGTAGCCTCTCGGACACTCGCTCGTTTATAACCATATTGGATCTACTGATGTAGAGAAAAATGGAAACAGTTCTTGAGGGAAGCATGTGTTTCTCATGAAATGTCCTCCTGTAATTCCAGAGGTGAGGTGAAGTTAAATGGGGTGTAACGTCGCGTCCACTATTATTGCACTTAAACATTTTGCATTCATGACTTGCCACATTGTTTGTGGCTGATTGTACTAGTAGGGACTAATACCGATACTTTGCCGCAGTTTAACATGAATACCCAACTCACTCAGACACAGTCTACTGACTCTGAGCCAACCAGTCCTTGTTTAACCCCTTAATGCCTAGCGCCAGGCAGGGTTAGAACATGCACCATCTTTTAACTTCTTTTGGTTTGACACAGCCAGGGATCAAACCCCAGACAATCCACTCTCTGGGCAGACAGTCTACCACAGAGGCTGTAATTCCAGAGGTTGTCTGACAAGGTTGTGAACAAAGCGGATACTAACATTGCACTGAGATGTTGTTGGAAGTGTTTACATGTTGTTTAATGCTATCACACTCTGCAATATTCCAGCTTTATGACTGCGCGTAAAATATCAAATCTGGAACCAAAAATCCAGTGCTTGATATAATGAGCAACATTCCATGTTGTTGGGGTGTGATTCATCTGAACCCATTCAGTCGCTTCACATGACCAGCAAAGTGTGCTGGAGACCAATTCTAACCCGGAATCCCCTTGGGGCAGATGGACATGTAAAGAAGTCACCATTTTTCTGATAATGTTCCCTTATTTCTGCCCATAAGTGTATGATCTGACACCACAGGATTTATCAGTTGGCTTTTCCAGAAGAATACAACTTGAGCATCTTTTCATGTACTCAATACTCTCTGTAAAGATTTGACAAACCCTCGATAGGCCAAGTCAACCCAAACAAAATTGCACTATGAGCAATGTAATAAAGTTGAATGTCTTGAAAAAGGACATCTAACTGGCTCAGAAAACCCAGATATTGGAATTGGAATTAAAAGATCTAATTAAATGAGATTACTTGTAAATACTGTTTAAAAAATTCTGTTTCCATGATTATTGTTAAAATAATGATTAAAAAACAGATTAACACAAAGACCAAAACAAATAATTCTCATATGAGTGTGGAGACACAGTTGACATCGACTTCATTAGTTCACAGCTACCTCTCTTGCATTCGCCTCCTGATGGCTTCAATTGTCAGCTGGGAGGCGTCAGCTGTCTTGGACAAGGCCTGGAACGGCTCAAATTTGGTCTTCTGGGAATCCCCATTGCTGAATATAGAGTAGTTCTGTGGGGAACTTGTCTTTGCTTCATACTCATCCTGGCTAGATGACACCTGAAGCACAAACACTTGTCATTGAGGGACAGTACTATTTGGGATTTATACTGGCATGTTACTTGTAGTGTGCATGCTATAATTTGATAAGTATTAATTATTCAAACAGTCACATCTTTAGTTGTCAATGAGGACTCGCAATGCATGTTTTGCATTAATTCTCATATAAAGAATGCAATATTGTGTGTAAGGTAAAACACTGAGGCCATTGCTCAAAACCCTCTTAATGTAATGGCATGTAATGGGAATTGGGAATCAAACCCAGACTTTGGGGATGGGGAGTAAACACTAACCACTAGGCTACCCCACGCCTGTAGATGCTGCTGAACACAGTACCTGCTGTATGTTGGCTGCGGTCACTGCCTTCCTGATCTGCTGGGCTTCCCACTCCTGGATCTCTCGGTCACTTCCTTCGTTGTCACTCCCTACAAAACAGCAGCAGATACATTTTAGGGGTCAACCATATCATACTTTGTTGAAGGGGGTAGGGCTGACATTTTTGCCAACAACAACAAATTTTCAGTCAGAGTTTCATAACATAAAATGTTGTTCTATTTGGTGAAGACAAGCGATTTTTCTCTCCTAAGAATACTCCAGTTTTCAAAAGATCCGGCATGTTCTAGGAATGATTGTAATTTTGGGGATAAAACCTGAGGAGAAAGTAATTTTTCCAAATTATTTTGGTACTGACCCTACAAAGATAATGATTGTTGAGCATCTGGGATTCAAACATATATCCAGGTACAGGTAAGGGACATAACCATCCACAAGAAAGTGTGTTACACCACATAAGACTGAGCCCCTTCAAGATTAGAGGGATCAGGAGAGTTCTCTCTGGCATACTGTACATACCATGCTCTGCTGCTAAAAAGTCGTCTCTCATCCGCTGAAGATCACGAGCAGCTGTGTCGATGGTGAAGTCTATCCTGTCTTCCTCATCACTGCGGTCATGCTCATCATCTCTGCAACATACACCCTACTTGGTCAGACATGACACCATAACAATCACAGTTGGTTATCATGCATTACGCCTCAACAATTTGATTTGTTGTTTAACAAGTTAAACGCCGCACTCAGCAATATTCCAGCTGTATGGAATATTGGAAATTTGAAATATAAATTTAACATTTATATGCATATCTTCTTTCTACTTTGGTCCTATGTGGAAACATGTTTAAACCCTATTTCTAGCGTCTAAATAAAAAACAATCGCCCGAACACAATTACAAGGGTGCAATTACTGTTTGAGGCAATGGTGGATGCAACTGCTTGGGTCTCGTTTCGGTTGGCCATTGCGGGTGGATGCACCCCAGCAAAAGTATACACTCAAAGGATGATGGAGTGAAGCCAAAAAGAGAGCGTAGTTCGGGAAAGCTCGAAGACAGAAGTGGTGGATAGCAGGATGAAGAGTCTCTTCCATGACTTTCTGCGCTGAATAGATGCAGTCACTTAAATACAAAGCGCTTGAACTGGACACAGGGAGAGATTTTCCTGGGCACCTGATCCCAAGATCGACGAGAGTCGGGAAATTGTAAATACCTGATCAGGCTGGCCAGGAAGTTAATTCTTTGCTAGAAAATGCCAACGAAGACCTAGGAACGCCCTTCTGCTTCTGGATCATTCGAACTGGATCCCGGTGTCACCTAGAGCATCTATCTCGTAACGCAAGCTGCTATAACCAGGGTTAGTAGAAATATGGATCATCTCTTAAATGCCAAAGGCTTAATCACTGGAAGTCAAGTGTTGTAGTACCAAATTAAGGTCCCACGCTGGGGGTCAAAATCGTGAAGATTGATCCACTAGCTTGAAGGAGTGGATGAGTGATCAGAGATCTGCCACAGTTGAGACTTTAGCACAGGATGTAGTAGCGATGATGAAGTTAATCGCTGCTGTAGGTGGCTGAGTTGAGCCCTTAAGCTTATGTGTTGATCGCAGATGGTGTAAGTACTCAGCAATCTGTTGGGGTGAAGCTGAGGTAGGAGAAGAAATGTCATTGTCACGAGCATGAGAAATTTCTTGAACGCTATCCACTTGTGGTCGTAAAGGCACGAGGTAGATGCAGTGATAGTCTTTGCTACTCGTTCGGAGTAGCCTTTTGTGATAAGGGACTTCTACAAATGCGCCAGCATAGATGCCGGATGGAGCCACTGAGAGTGTGGCTGAAGTAGAAGGTCTTCCCAAAATGGTAGACGATGGAATTGTCTGTTGGCCCTCCAATGGAATTGACAACGCATCATGATCCCAAGCCTGTGGGTCGGGGATGGGTGAAGTGAATCAGGATAGCTGAGTTTTGAAACGGGTGGCTTACAGATCTGTCTCTGGGGAATGATATAATAGGCAGGACCCCATTGTGGATACCATTCGGTTTATGTACCACACAACTGCAGTGATGTCGGACTGTATCGTGAGGTGAGAGGAGCATGGGAGCTCTGCGCAGTGCGTCACTGCTAGAATGACTGCCTTGAAACTCAAGATTGTTGATGTGTAGGCAACAATCCTCGGTGGATCAACGTCCTGCTACCTGAAGATGGGGAAAATGCCCTCCCCAACCTACTGTTGATGCTTCTACGAACGGATGAAGGGACCGGACCTCATGGCAGTTGATAGCCTTAAACTAATCATCCCAAGACCAATGCTGGAGAATACTGCGTTGGCGATAGGCTGTCACAGAACTGGCTTGATGGGAGAGCCGGTCTATGATGTTGGTAAGTTTATCTTGCATAAGAAGTACCACTCCTCTGGCGAAGGCATCATATTGAAAGTGAGGTGGAGTGTGCATCTGTTCCCGATAAGAACATAGACTCAAGTGGTAGTGTACGGCGAACTGTTGTGTCGAGATGCACAAGATCACGATCCTCGATGACGTAAGATGAACATTTTGGGAAAGCGTGCCAATGTCACTATCGATCTCAGATTAAATTGATGACGTGACTTTCGTTTTGACGATGTTCTTGAATCTTTTGATTTAGATTTATGCTATAGCATCAGTCTATGGCATCTCTGGATATAGATATGGAAAGAAGAATCATCTAAAGAATGGCATTTAGCACATCTAGATTCCAAAGTACACTGGCCACGGCAATAACTACACGGCAAAAGGTATGTCAGTATTTAGCACAGGCCGGATGAAGCTTATCCTTCTTCCCTGTGATGAAAGAGTCTCCAACCACAATAAGTCTCACAAAAAAAGAAAAAAAAGTATTCTTTTGGTCCATGCAATACATGAACACAAGGTGGCAATTAGATAGAGAATGAGTTGGTAGAGAGACACATGGTCACGCATGGAAGGTTACCATGCACGAGAGGCACGTAACTGACCAAGTTGGGGCCGTAACCATGAAAATATAGGGGTGTTTGGGCAAATGATTTATATTTAGAAGCTGGAAACAGGGTTCAAGCACATTTCCACATAGGATCGAGGAAGAAAGAGGAGCTATGCACAGTGTGAGAGAGGATAAGTTTAAAAATTAGGGTCTGTAATCAAGTCTGGACCAGACAGTCAAGTGATTGATAGTGTGAGCAATGACCCACACTGTCAGGGTACAATGACACGCAATCAAACATGCAATAGATTTAGTCGACTCTTGCAATCAGCATAGGTTGCTTGTGATCAGCCCAAAATCAAAGAGGCCAATCCTACCAAAAGTCAAAATAAACTGTAGACTATTAACATGATTAATCATGTTAAGAGTACAATTTGAACCCGTTGATCTGATAACCATGAACATAATTATCTGGCATGCACAACTAGCAGGGAAAGACAAAACATAGGTATAATTCACCTTGGTGATGTCACAGGAAAACCTAAGTGCAAATAATTTAGGAAGGAGGTATAAAAGACAAACAGATGAATGTTTTTCACCACACAAGCTGAGTTAATACATGATTACATCAAGAAGAGAACAACTTTCAAGCTGATGTTTATCATGACATACCTGACAAGTCTAGCAGTTGTTTTGTTAGGAGCTTCTGGTTCTTCAAGAGGAATTTCATCTCCCAGTTCTCGAGCCATCTGCCGTTGTTTTCGTATCATGTGAATGGTCCGCGCATCTGGAATCTCACCTCCTGTGAAAGGAAGAAAATTCAATTGGTTCAGTCATCAATACCATTCATAAAATACATTATGATTCTATTCATACCAGAAAGGAGTAAATCTGAATGAAGCCAGTGCATGTTTGTGCACACAAGTAAACAAAATATACAACAAATACCGTACATCATGCACTTGGCCAATACAAATAATAGAAAACAAAATTACACACTGACTCTTTTGCTTCATAATCATGAGGAGAGTTGTGTGCTGCAGTCCACAATAATTCAACAGTGGAGAAAAGAAATCTAGGACATGCAACCATTGGTTGATAGCATGATCAATGATCCACCACCCAATCCTCATTTGAGTAGTTTCTTATGGCAAGCATGGGGGTTCTGGGACCCACCTGCCTGGAAATCTGTCATCTGTGGGATTTGTTTTTAAAGAACATGAATACAGAATCTTACAAATAAGTCTTCATATTGCCTAGGTCTCGAAATGGTACGTGTTCTTATTCAGTCAGCAAATGTTTGCTTGATTGTGAAGTTTGATGTTGGTCTCAAATCATCTTTGGTCCAAAACATAAACAAGGCTTTGATTGTTTGCCAAGCCCCTAAAACAGTAGCAGCAGCTAACAATTAAAACCAACGAAACCCGATGCACTTACTTGCCAACATTGACCTAAAGACCATTTTTCCATCCTCATCACTGTCGTCATCCTCATCCTCATCGCCATTCAAAGTTCTGATCTCTTCTCGAAGTTTCTGAAAATTGATAAAGCAGTTGAACATTCATAACATACTACCATGTACTCCAGTGGATGCTGTCACATTTTGATATGATTTGGACCAAATTCTAAACTGAATTTAGCATGTTTAGACAGCAGTCAAATTGTACATCCCATGTTCATAGTGACATCTCAGTAAGAAAACTCTACAGAAAGATGAACATAGAGCATTGCAATCTGTGCCATGAGTGAAGACGATTGATAATCTCTGTGCAACTTCGGTTATTATTAACGTTTGTATTGATCGAGACATCTTAAAATTGGATACATCAAACATGTCAAACGAAGTTATGATTGAATGACATGTAGGCTTATTAACTAAGTATTGTGGCAATGGCTGGGGCATTGGGAAAATAAGCTTCCTTTTGTCCCAAATCAGGACAAACTTATAATATCAAATGAAGAAGTACTTTAGGATAGACATGGCCACCAGTCTGCAAGTCCTAGACATGTGAAAATTTAGGGGGACTGGTTCTCTTCATCCAAAATAGAAGTTCACAAAACCAATTTCCGATTAGAGCTGCGGACTAGTTAGATATATATGACCATTGGTGTCTACCTCTCATTGCATTCTGTACACAAGTGTGAATCAAAGTAAATCATCAGTGAAATAAAATCACCCTTGGGAAAACTTAAGTTACCATGGAATATCACAAATAATGATAATGATCTGATGTGGGGAATATTTGAAATGAACTAGCTAGGATTGCCCATTTTGTTGGACCCTAGACCACTTCTTGGTCCTGAATAAGAAGTGAGGACAGTCATGTTAAACCTGATTTCACCATGTTTTTACTTGAAAATGATAAAATAACCAAGAAATGCTAGGACAGTAAAAGTGTCTTGTTTCTTTTTTGTATTATCTTTTTAATGTAAATTATGAGGAATTGGGAATTTTAAAATTCAAATTGGGAAATTGTGCGGTCATTTGCTGCACACATGGGGCGGAATATCATTCTCTGGGCAGGTCTAGCTTTATAATCCCTGCTCAACCTAGGGATCCCCTCAATATTTTAATTCTAACATTTTCATGATTAGGGTTTTCATGGTTATGACAAGCACTTATTTTAACCTTGAATGATGCACAAAATAAGGGTAGATTGAGTTGTTACTTCAATTTTATTCTGTCAACATGTTCAAGCTGCACCAGTGTATGCTTTTTGCATAAACTAACAAATATTTTTTGTTTGTTTGTTGTTTTACGCCACACTCAGCAATATTCCAGCTATATGATGACGGTCAAGCTAATGTAGCAGCTGTTTACCTTCAGTTTTTCTTCAGCTATTTCCTGGGGCTCTTCCTTAGTTTCCTTCTCTTCTTTCTTTGGGCTATCTGGATCTTCCTCCTTCTTCTCCTTCAGGCTCTCCTTCTTCAGCTGTTTGGCAATCCGTTTACTGTGACTAGATTTCTTGACCTTAAACACTTCAGTGTCACCTGGAAATGTTGATTTTAATCTTTTGAAATTTCTGACATAATATGAAATGATTATGTATATATTGATATATCAGATAAACAATGAATAATCACTGCTGAACATAACAAGATACTTTCATCTAAACATGCTGCATTTTACACAATAATTTCAGATAAAAGCAGTGCATGAAGATATTTTATTTGTAGTACTCATGGTATTATACGTCCAAAAAATCTTATGCATGTCCTAATAGCCAAAATTGTTATTGTGTTATAAATGTTATGTGATCTGGGTGATGGCTTGTCAAATCAACATCATAAATCATTTGTGTGCAATGCAGAGGAACAATGTTTTGCAGGCTTGCATGAAATATCAGTAATATAGCGCACTGCTTCTGTGATTAACTTTAAATGTTTTACACATGCACTAGTTTCCATTGACATCTTGATTCCTTTACCATTATCTGACTCAAGCTAGCATTTTCAGCACTCTACAACATGTATGATCTTACTTACTTTACCCCCCTACACCATGTACACTAACTGCAAAACAAGTGGGCAAAACTGCAACTTTGCGGGTGCAGCAATATTCAGAAGCAGTAACATTTGCAACATCAAGCTTCATGGATCTTGCATGCTCATTTGATCCTTGAGTTTGCTAGGTTCCCCCAAAAACTATTCTTAAGCCCTTGGACTCCCATTCCAACAAAATACTCATTTATTGCCATAAGGGATAGGCACCATTTTCCGATCCTTAGGGTTTGCTGTGTGTGGGTTGGCATATCTCAACTTAAGAAATGTTTCCAAACATATTCCAACATGTCCAATGTAATCAAAAATAATAACATATTTTCTTATTACCAAATTTGAAGATTCTCAGGAAGAGGGACTAGAGGTTTCATATGCACATCGTTGTGTAAATTATTAGCAATTAACACCTTACAAGGCCAGTATGTTGATGATCCTGGGTGTTTTTAAATCATGCATGAAATAATTTCCAAGAGTGGCGTCACACATTTAGTTCATGCACGATTCAATTCTCAAATCAAAACAATAGAGCTCTGCAGAGCAAAGCTGACAACAAAAGCTCTGCGCAGAATAACTGGCTTCGGACATAGTTTTATTAGAGGCTAATTGAAAGGAAAGCTTATATGTTTCTCGATCATAGCCCTACGGAAATCTAGCAACATGGTCACTTTGCTGTATTGTCATGCACCTGTCGCAGATATAGCAGCATATCTATATAATTATGCAAAACAATATGTAAAGTGCAATGAAAGGCTTAATTATGTTCGGATTAGAAAAAAAGTCTGGTCACATGATAAGCCAACAGACGCGGTTTGGTCATAGCCGAGTAAGCTCGGGGATTATCAGGTATCGTTAGTAAACAATGCTTCAGAATGTTCGATGTAGTGGCCGAACCTAGTAGAGTATTAACTTAGCAACGCAAATTTCATTCAACAATCGCAGTATGATGAGGTGCACCCAATAAAATGATAACGTACAGTACACCCACAATAAGAGCAAGAAAACCGTTTACACCACACCGGAGTGAACGCCGATTGACATGCTACAGATCAATGTTAGGCTTTGTCGACAAATGGCTTATCTAATTAAAATATTAAGCCATTCAAAGTTTATGTACAAAGAAAACGCAACCCATACCATCTTCCTCCGTGTCAAAACTAAGCGGTTTGACTTTCGAAGAGTCTAATTCTTTTTCACGTTTCTTTTTTTTAACTTTCTTTAACTCCGGAATCGGTGGTGGTGGTGGTGGTGGCAATGGCAGTGGCGGTGGTGCACGCAAAATATCTGGGCAATCATCGTCAATGTCCATGAAATTTCCATTTTCTTCATTCCCTGCTTCTGCGAGTTTATTTTCATTTTCCTGATCAGAATCACTATCAGCAACAACTTTTCTACGGAAATTTCGTTTAGGTTTCTTGAACATTGTCGCCATTTGCAAATCGTATGCCGAACTAAATAACCCGTGTAAGTGGAGTTTATTATACGAAAGCAGGTCCGCGAAAGCTCTCTGCATTGCTGTTTACGCTGTACGAAATGTACCATTCGCAATATCATCTCTGTAAGGAGCTATGTGAAACGTGCCTTGCGTGCAAGCTCTGTATCAGCGTGTGACACCTAAGAATCACTTCAAACTATGGAGCACAGGAACAAGTTATCGCTGTGATGAGCAGTAGAAGGGAAAGAACTGCTCGTTAAGCAGAATACTTTCAATGTTTTTGTTATCACAAGTAATTTCTGTAAACGCTTAATTTTGCGACATGAAAATAACAAAAATATTACCGCACATCTCTCCGTCCTTCCCATCCACTTATATTTTACACATTATTGAAGCGGTGTGATTTATCTTCGGCTTCCGTGGAGTATCTTCAGTAAAACTTATCATATCTACATTTAACAGATAGTGTATATTTTACATATAAAAACATAATTGTATTGCAAATATAACCCATTATATTTTACTTGTATTCAGCTTAATATCAAACATATGCAAATATATGTTTCTTCATTTGCATTTTCACTTTAAAACATATTAAAGTTGAGTGCTGTTATTGTTAGTTGTGCAAATAGTATGATATCGCCCATGTTTACGTTTTTAGCATGGAGGTTTGACAGAAATGTTTAACTTAGTAAACTCTGCTCAAATAGGCAACGCAAATGTATTTTACTTTGACTTAATCACAGAGTGTTGAGCGGCGAAATGGAATCCCCTCCAACTTTTGTGGAAGAGATCGAGTTCAACGAACTGACATTTCATGAGGTGAGAAACATGTTCTTCCTACTTTTTAAATGATGAAGTATGCAAGGCAGGACAGCCTGATGACGGTTTCAATAGACTGTAACACCCGCGGCACTCTGTACACTTGCTGTTAGACATGCTAGCCTGTCATGTATGGACACAGAGGTCAATCAGTTCCGTGTTCTACACGTGCTCTGTAGGGTCACGTGATCTTTGGTCTGGACACACCCTTTCCAGTTCTGTGAATATAGGAACTTGTCAGCTGTGAAATCGTAACTATTCGCCCCTCCGCCTTACTACATGAAATCCATGACATATATACTATTTACGTCTTCATGACGTTTTACTGACAATCAACTGACAATGCAAATTCATAACTATGTTGCAATGTTTACCCAGAGACCATATAATAGATCTATTATATGGTCTCTGGTTTACCATTTATCTTTCCATAAATATTATCAAGCCAAACCTTTCCTTTGGAAATGTTTTATTATTTGAGTTACACAGCGACTGATGTTGTGAACTCAACTTAGTTGTTTTTGCAATTTTAAAACTTTTTATTGGAATATTTGGTGTATTTAAAGCACCAGGACGCCAGCAAAAATAGCTGATAACCCCCCAGCTTTCTCACCTCAGCTCTCCTCATTCTGCGAGAGAAGTGTCTGCTCCAGTGACCACACTGCAGAAGTAGTATTCATTAGCAGGTCAGGAAGTGCTTAATTCTGGTGAATATTCCTGCCTAGTCTCTAGCTTCATACGACAGAGACATTAATGTTGTACTTGTTGTCATGGCTTTGATAAACACTGGCTTCTCTCAATAATGACGTAGACAGAATTTCAGAATAGGCTGCAAGATTCCAAGTTGAATTTATTCCTGAAAAATCAGAATCTATTGAGTTTACCTTAGTAAACCCTTGTTGCAAACCTAACTTATATATGAATGGTACAGAAATCAAAGATGTTCAAAGTCATAAGCACCAAGGTATTACTTGACGAAGTAATTGTACATGGAAAATGCACATTGATGATATTGCAAGGAAATGTTGGCCTCTGGTTAATTCTTTAAGAAGTTATAAATATAGTCTATCTCGAACTACCTTAGAAACTATGTACAAATCATTTATCTCACCAATTTTTGATTATTGTTGTCATATTTGGGACAACTGTACTAATGAACAAGATAATTTACAAGAAAAAATAAACTTAGAAGTTAGATGCCCTTAGAACCATATGTGGTGCTGTACGGGATACAAGTCATCAGAAGATTTAGAATGAAACAAATTTGAAGTCATTAAATGACAGAAGATACAATTCAAAATTGGTAATGTTTTATGAAATGAATAATCATTTCTCTTCAGAATATCTTCGTAGGCTTATTCCTAATACAGTTTCGGAAAGCACAAATTATAACTTAAGGGATAAAACTAATCTTCAAACAGTGAAGTGTAAAACAAAAGCTTATACAGATTCATTTATACCAGCTACAACACAACTTTGGAATATGTTACCAGAAAACCCTATTGAGGGCAGAGCCCTTTTAAAGAATTTGCTTCATGTAACTTGGATTTAAATTTTGGAAACAGGTTATGTCAAGTTATTCACTGTCGCGTCAGGCTTGGCTGCAGAGATCTTATTGCAGATCAGTATGATAGATATATTTTGGATACAAAAACTAGTTCCTGTGAATATCATACCGAAGATGCTTTACACTTCTTTTTTGTGTGTACAAATTATTATTTTCTTTTCAAAATGAAATGTTTTTTTACAGCATGGTTATTCTTTGCAAACAGTGCTATGTGCTATGGAATTTGCATTTGAGTAAGGAAGAGCAAATCCAAACATTGGATTTTATTCAAAACTTCATATTAAAAACTGGCAGATTTTCAATAAAGTAAATAAATTGTTTAATATAAACTGCAAATATATTTATTATATATATACACATCTAACTTGGCGTGTACAATTCATTTGTTACATCTAACCTTTGTTGGTGTATTTATTGCATCATGTCTTCTGTGTAATGGAGCGGTATTAACATAAGTGCTATGCTTGTTTACCAATCCATTTTCACATTTTTGTGAAAATAAATATGTTTAAATCATAAAAGGGAATGGGGAAACTCTGATCTCACATCCTTAAATCCTTACAAATATTTATTATATTATATATTTTGGAAGGTCATAGTTTTCTACAGCCAACCTTTTAAGAAGTTTGATCTACTATAAAGAAGTGTGCATAAAAATATCACTCTTAAAATTGAATTAGCCAGTCAGGCTAGGGACATTTCAGAATCTTTTATTGCTAGCTCCAGCTATCGAGCCAGCGGCTGTTTTGCACACTGCTTTGGTGTTGTTTACACAAAAACCATTTTATCCATATGTGGTTAAAATATACCATTAATCATGCTTTTATCTTATGTGGAACTCTGAATATACCATTTCTTTTCATTTGAACAGTTACATTAATAAATGAAAATTTTAGAAATACCCATCTTAAACATGTTAAAACAAGTTCGTAAGAATCTCTTTCGTCTAGAAAGCACAACTGATAAATCCGGTTGTCCATATTATGACACTAAAATCTACTGAAAATGATGCTAAGAGTCACATTTGGTCTGAAAGACTCAAAAGTATTCAGCAGAGACTGTGAATAATATTGATCTCAAATGGTTCTCTGACAGAGAAAGGATGTCTTTTGTTGCCATGTATTATCATGATTATATATCTCTTTTAGATTGTCGGTAAAGGAGCATTTGGGGTTGTGAGTAGAGCGAACTTTAGAGGGACTGATGTTGCTGTCAAGATAATAGAAACAGAATCTGAAAGGAAGGCCTTCATTACAGAGCTTAAACAACTTTCCAGGGTCAGCCATCCCAATATCGTCAAGCTGTATGGAGCATGTACGAAGTCACCAGTAAGTATTCAAATTGCTCATGCAATACAAGTCCCCTCTGAGGGTTCCAAGACAGAGCAGGCTCCCAGTACACCATGGTTGTCTCCCCTGTGAGGATTCCTGTGCAATATAGGCCTCCCGTACACCATGGTTGTCTCCCCTGTGAGGATTCTGGTGCAATATAGGCCTCCCATACACCATGGTTGTCTCCCCTGTGAGGATCCCAGTGCAGTATAGGCCTCCCGTACACCATGGTTGTATCCCCTGTGAGGATTCCTGTGCAATATAGGCCTCCCGTACACCATGGTTGTCTCCCCTGTGAGGATTCTGGTGCAATATAGGCCTCCCGTACACCATGGTTGTCTCCCCTGTGAGGATTCTGGTGCAATTTTGGCCCCTCTATACCATGGTTGTCTACCCTGTGAGGATTCCGGTGCAGTAAAGACCCCTCTATACCATGGTTGTCTCCCCTGTTAGGATTCTGGTGCAGTATAGGCCCCTGTACACCATGGTTGTCTCCCCTGTGAGGATTCTGGTGCAGTATAGGCCCCAGTATACCATGGTTGTCTCCCCTGTGAGGATTCTGGTGCAGTTTTGGCCCCTCTATACCATGGTTGTCTCCCCTGTGAGAATTCCGGTGCAGTATAGGCCCCAGTATACCATGGTTGTCTCCCTTGTGAGGATTCTGGTGCAAGCTCCTCACAGCGATAGTACGTTCCCGGAGCTCTCTATACTATCGCTGCCACCAGTCAAAACTCCCCACTGTGAATAGGTGGCCACAACCATGCTTGGAGTTGAACTCGCAACCGAATGACCGTTTTGTTTACAAACAAGTGACGACTGTCGTGACGCCGAATACACTTATAGCTGCTAAATTACTTTCTTCGTTTGTCAATTTGAATTTCTGTTTCATTACAACTATCGTGTTATTGATATAGTAAGAATGTAAGGGAGAAGTTGGTTGATTTTCCGTTAGTCTGCAATCTCGAACCAATCTGATTATCAAAACAACAAAGTAAATTCATCTGGAAAACATGGTCAGTCGCAAATCTTTTCAAATTGAAATATGATGGCATTCCCAAAGACATAAACAAAAGTATAAACGTTACTACATTTGGGGTTAGAGGGCAAATTTCAAGATTCTTGTAATGGCTGCGCCCACACTGGTGGCAGCGATGTTACCGAGAGTGTAACGAAGGTGTCACGCGCTGGGAAGGAGCTTGGATTCTGGTGCAGTATAGGCCCCTGTATACCATGGTTGTCTCCCTTGTGAGGATTCTGGTGCAGTATAGGCCCCAGTATACCATGGTTGTCTCCCTTGTGAGGATTCTGGTGCAGTATAGGCCCCAGTATACCATGGTTTTCTCCCTTGTGAGGATTCTGGTGCAGTATAGGCCCCTGTATACCATGGTTGTCTCCCTTGTGAGGATTCTGGTGCAGTATAGGCCCCAGTATACCATGGTTGTCTCCCTTGTGAGGATTCCGGTGCAGTATAGGCCCCAGTACACCATTGTTGTTTCTTATTTGGATTCCTCCCAAGTTAAGCTGACACCGCAATATGACTGGAATACTGTTTAAAGCGGCCTTAAACCCAACTCACTCACTCAGAATATTACAGAATTTTCTTTTGTCCCTTTGAGTGGGTAATATGCTTGACCATGGTAACAGGTGTGTTTTTCAGTCAAGTCTGCAGAATTTTGAATCCTCACAGTCCTCCTTGAAATGGATATGCATAGAGCAGCAACCAGACATTGTCAGTGCTTTCCCACAGACTTTGATGTTGCTGTGTTGGAGGGGATTTAATGTTATCAGATTTCTATGACCGATTCTTTGAAAAATGGGTAATGTATTATTTTTGATTTAGTGCCTTGTTTTAAAACACAAAAACAAATTTGGATCAAAAGGCTTTTTTTATTTGAGTGGAAAACACAGTATTGAAATGAAAAAATTGAAGATTTTGCCATAAAACATTCATAGAAAAAAGACTTCAGCATTCCCTAGTTTTCTGACAGTTGTGTAGTAGGTCCATGATGCTATTGTAGGATATACTACATGAACATTTCCTTCATGTCCACTTACACTGAAAGCAACTGAAATCATTCTCCTGAGAACAGCAGATTATCAGTGTGTCGTCTTGAAGTCCTGGTGTGTGTATTATAGTCACATATCTCCATTTCTCTTCGGTTGTGGGGCATCTGTTCTGAAGTAATGTATGCTGTCACCACAGTTTCACCTGGTTGATAGTTGTGGAATAACAAGAAATGGTTTTGAAAGATGGCCGTTATTTTGCAGGTTTGTCTTGTTATGGAGTATGCAGAGGGTGGCTCTCTCTACAATGGTATGTCACATATACTACGTTTCATCATTAAATAATCTAACTGTCTGATCAGCCAGTCACAGTCTTTTAAAAAAGATGGCTTGATGGCCTGTATGGAGGATATCATGACATCATCATGTTTGGCGTGAAGTCGCTTGATGCTGTTCCTGTGTTTTGGGTTACCACACTGAAATGGTGGTTACAGGAGAGATGTTAATACTAATTAGCACACCTCACAAGCTTCAGTATTATACATAACAGTGAAGTATGCAATAATTATGTTGTTTTAGTAACAGATACCATGTTTATGATCCAGCCCAAATGATAATTGGTAAAATAGAGAAACATTTTTAACCTCAATTTGGTAAGATACCAAGTTTAACCATTCTGAATGGTGAGATTCACAATACCATGAGCTCAGTTTAGCCATTCTGAATGGTGAGATTAATAACACCACCAGCTCAGTTTAGCCATTCTGAATGGTGAGATTAACAAAACCACCAGCTCTTTTTAGCCATTCTGAATGGTGAGATTAATAACACCACCAGCTCAGTTTAGCCATTCTGAATGGTGAGATTAACAATACCATGAGCTCAATTTAGCCATTCTGAATGGTGAGATTAACAAAACCACCAGCTCTGTTTAGCCATTCTGAAGGGTGAGATTAATAACACCACCAGCTCAGTTTAGCCATTCTGAATGGTGAGATTAACAATACCATGAGCTCAGTTTAGCCATTCTGAATGGTGAGATTAACAAAACCACCAGCTCTGTTTAGCCATTCTGAAGGGTGAGATTAATAACACCACCAGCTCAGTTTAGCCATTCTGAATGGTGAGATTAACAACACCACTAGCTCTGTTTAGCCATTCTGAATGGTGAGATTAACAACACCACATACTTTTTTTTATTTATCATGGTTTTGGTCAACCTGATATTTTAGTTTTCCTTCCCGACCCATATTCTGCTAATAGGTTGCTTCTGATTATGATCAATGATTGATCAGTCGGAACAAATGGATTATATCCAGTGATCAATGAGACAAGCTGAAGAATGTATTGTACTGAATGTATCTCCTATTTCAGTGCTACATGGCTCTGGTCGCCAGCCGAGCTATACGAGTGCCCATGCCATGAGTTGGGCCCTGCAGTGTGCCCGTGGAGTAGCGTACTTACACAACATGAGACCCAAGGCTCTCATTCACAGAGATCTCAAACCACCGAAGTAAGTGACGAGGCCAGATGGAAATATGTACTCAAGTTGTACATAACATGCGGATATCATTAAGACCATAAAAGATATGTAGATAATATAAAGAAATGATAACAGAGAAAAACATTTGTTTGATAATAACCATCTGTGTTTATTGAAAAATCCCCCCGAAAACAGGGTACCCCCGAAACAGAAAATTGGTATTGGTTGTGACTATCAGTAGCCTGTGTGGCCTCCGTTAGGTGCGATGCAGGCCGCACATCAACGTCTCTTTGAGTAGACTAGTCTTTGGAAGGAGGCTTGAAGAATCCTGTTCAATTGCCGCACCATAAAGTCTTCCAGTTCCTGAAGTATATGTTGCTGCCATGCAGCCTCAAGACGTCTCCCAATCTTGTCCCAGACATGCTCATTTGGGGCCATGTCCAGTTACAAAGAAGGCCAGGGCATTACAGGAATGTTATTCACTCTGAGAAGATCCATAGAGACCCGTGCTGTATGGGGACGAGCTTGTCCGGCGGAAAGACCTGGAGTTGAGGTTGAACCAGGAAGAGAGGTCTGATGTGATTACGAAGAACATCATCCCTGTGCACGACAGCAGTCACAAGCTGACAAAACATGTGTAGAGGGGTCATGTGATGATAACTGAAGCCTCCCCACACCATGATGCTTCCTCCTCCCCACCGGTCGGCCTGTAAGACACAGGAGTTAGCGTAGCGCTTATTACTTCGTCTCAACACTCTGATGCGTCCGTCGGCGTGAGAAAGGTTGAACTTGTTGCCTCTGTTGACCTCATCAATGTAGGTGCTGTTGGGCCCACTGCAGACGTTGTTGGCTGTGATGTTGAGTCAGCCCTGACGTAAGAACTTCTGATTCCCGTTGCTCTGTGTCAGCTGACACGGGATGACGTGGGCCATGATTGGTTGCAGCTGTCTGTGTTGCTCGTCACTGTCGGTCATACAGATGTGTCACCCGGATGTTATGGTCCCGTGCAGGATTAGTCGGCCATCGGCCGTCCATGAGGCCTCTTGGACACTGCCTGTAGTTGATGCGACCAATCTGGTGATGGTAGACAGATGACTTTCAAAGTGCCTCGCCACTGCAGTTGATGTTGATCCGGCCTGTAGCATCCAGTGACAACGCCTCTCTGGAGTTCAGTTAATCAAACCTTGTTTTCTGTCCTTTTTCAAAGGCGAGTGTGAAATGCTTGGTGTCTTTTTTATATGCTGGCACATATTTTTGCATTTGATGTGTGCTTCACGTGCAAAAAACGTCAAACGAGCCGTCGACTGCGCTCCTGCAGTGTACTCAAAATGAATGCTGTATATAGTGAACAGTGTTTCTTCAATGCGTCTCTTTACTTTTGTTTACATTTCTTTTCACAAATTACTATTTTGTGCATTTCACAAAAAAACAAATTTGACTTGTGTTTCTGTGCGGTTGAGTAAATGTAATCAGAACTTTCCCCATGTTCAGGACCCATAGCCTGCTTACATATTTTACATCTGGGAATAATCAGCATGATATCTTGGGTATTATTAGTTCTTCAGACAAATGACAAATATTTTACATGTGATAGTATGCAGTTATTTACCATGTTTAAAGATTATATGATGTGTCATTTAGTGAAACAGTGAAACCTGTAACTCCAGATCCCTTTAATCATGTTGATCCAGAAAACGAGCTAATGTGGAAAACACACTTACATACCTTATGTGGAAATCCTGCTATTGTGGAAAACCTGCTATTGTGGAAAACCTGCTAATCTGGAATTCATGCTAAACCAGAAGACCCACCTGTATGATAACTGTAAAGAACCTCTCCAAATGTTCACAAGACATTGCTTCTTACATATCCTAATAAGAATTTGTTAATTCAGAAATTTGTTATTCTGCACAATTTCAGTGTCTTGATTAACAGGGTTAGACTGTATTAAATAATTGGGATAAACTATATTTGTCATCTGTATTTGTCATGTTTGATAGAAATCTAATCAAGTAATACCATTTCTGTCTGCAGTCTCTTGTTGATTTTGGGTGGCACTGTGCTGAAAATTTGTGATTTTGGCACGGCCTGTGATATCCAGACTCATATGACCAACAACAAGGGGAGCGCCGCTTGGATGGCGCCAGAGGTGTTTGAAGGTGAGCTGGTGATGACGAGTGGACCTCCCTTTCATGTAGCATCTGGTGTCCCCCGCCGTGATATTGCTGGAATATCGCTAAAAGCGGCGTAAAACCATACTCAGTCAGTCAGTCAGTCATGTAGCATCTTTCAACATGGTATTTGTAGCGTTCCAGGTTCTAGTTGGATCAAGTGGGGACTAGTTCCTGGCATCAGTCACGTCATTTGTCAGGTGACACTTGTGATATTTTTCACTCCCAGAAATATTCACAGATAATAACCTATAATGTGTCAGTGTTCCCATTGACTTTTGAAACTACCAGTCCACCAGGACTAGCAACTCTAAAAATTACCAGTCCCTAAATAAATTTTGTCAGTCCCAACTCTTAGCAAATAAAAAAAAGCATAAAAATTACCTGGTTTTATTCAGCTTTGGCTGTACATTTGTTGTTGTTCAAGTTCGAGTCTCAATATGAGGAAACTATGATTAATATTTATCATGTTTATATGAACACAGGTGATAAATAATAATGATAATAAATAAGTAATGAATTTGAACACTATTTAGGGACTGTTCATTTATTGCTGGTCATGAAAAAATATTTTTAGGAGGGCCATGCGAAACTGAAACATAAAATGGGGGATGGGTGGAGGGCAGCAAGATATGATATGGTCATAAGACCAATCTCACCCCACCCCTATGATAATTAACCAGTTCCGAAACAAACTATTTTGACTGTCTGCCTTGCCCTTTTATTTGATCAATGGCTTCAGCATTAGACATGAAAAGTTGCTTTTATCCAGGGTGCAACTACAGCGAGAAGTGTGATGTGTTCAGCTGGGGTATCATTCTGTGGGAGGTGATCACCAGGCGGAAACCGTTTGACGAGATCGGTGGGCCAGCATTCAGGATCATGTGGGCTGTTCACAATGGTGAGTAAAGCAATGTGTCCATCTGTCAACCAGAACCGGAACAGACTGGACTGGGCACTAGACAGTTCATTAGCTTCTAGATATTGAGCAATTGTTAATGTATTTCTTCAACAAGTGAATTTCATGAAGTTAAATCCTTTTGTAAACATAACATAACAGGTTAAGCTGATGTGAAGCTTGGCAACAACTTTAAGAAATGAAGAGCTACTATGGAGGATACTGATGTAAAATAGCTGACTGCAGATGGAGCAATTTGCTGGGCTTTGTGGGCAGGGACAGATGGAACATTATTTGCCTGGCCTAACAAGTCTATGTGTAGTCCAATCAAAAATACGGGCAACAAAACCAACATCCGGGTTGTAAACAGTATTACTGCCGTTCAGATTTCGGTCGATTGCAGGATTTGAAAAGCATGTTTACCATCAATTACAAATCTTTTCATTATTTAATCAAGGTGCACAAGTGATTTCATGCACTTCATGAGGCAAGACCCGTGTTTTATTGCAATATAGATCTTTGTTTCCGATCAGATCGTATTGACTAGGTGTCACCATTTTGTTTGAAGCCAATGCTTAATAGGAGAGGTGGAATCTGATTTTTAAATAGGAGGGACATACAAGGGACATAACACGTAATGGCCACTGGTGGTGCTATGATCGAGCCACAAAATACCAGCCTAGTTTGGCAAGGGTGGAAACCAGACTTTTATAGTGAGTTAACACCCTTGTCTCAAGAAGATGACTTTTGCGTTGCGCTACAAAACAAAAGAGGTTTTGTTGTAGAACCTGTATGCTAGTTCGTCATCTTGGTTACCTCAGTGTTACTCTGTGGGAAGGTATGTGACTGAACAGCTCCCCACATCCGAATGGTGGTAAGAGGCGACTAAACTGGGGATTAGCTGTCTGTAATGACTGTGGACTACACATGGTAGTGGCTGACAAACTCCAGGGAAGACAAACTGCCATGTGGCTAACTGTGTGTCATCAATCCAACACTGGGAACTGATGCACATGACTGACCACTCGTCTGATCCAGATTTGAATGATTGGTTGGCAAAGTATTATAACTGGACAGCATTAGAAACTGGCACTGGTCCTGTAGTCCTTGCCAAACTGCCCAATAGTTAAGGTATCATAAGGACGAGTAGGGTTTTGCTGTATGTTTATCATTTTAAGGACCTGTGGACTAAAAAATGTCTGTTTCTACTGCTGCTGTCATATTGCTAACTTTTATGTTCCAGGTAAAAGGCCACCACCGATAAGGAATATACCCAAACCATTGGATATACTCATGCAGAGGTATGTGTCAATGCCACTTTTGTGTTGGACAGAAATCTATCCTTCATGTCGCTGAGTGAGTTAATGAGTGAGTCAGATTGGGGTTTAAGCTGCGTTAAGCACTCTCATAGCAGGGGAACACCAGGAATGGGCATTGACAGAACATCCAAATCATGAATGGAACCAGCTATATATTGATATAACAAGATTGTCCAGGTGTAGCCATTGATTGAACCTACTATAGATGCATCACTATTGTTCCTGAACAGATAGCAGTAGGTCCGTGACCATAAAACAGGGACACAGGGGACTGGTTTACATATGAATAATACTGTAAAGTAAACACCTTATCTCTGCAGGGAGTAGCCTTGTGGTCAACACAGTGACTGCATTGGCTTGTAGTGCAAGCCAGTTGGAGTAGCCTTGTGGTCAACACAGTTACTGTATTGGCTTGTAGTCCAAGCCAGTTGGAGTAGCCTTGTGGTTAACACAGTTACTGTATTGGCTTGTAGTGCAAGCCAGTTGGGAATAGCCTTGTGGTTAACACAGTTACTGTATTGGCTTGTAGTGCAAGCCAGTTGGGAGTAGCCTTGTGGTCAACACAGTGACTGCATTGGCTTGTAGTGCAAGCCAGTTGGAGTAGCCTTGTGGTTAACACAGTTACTGCATTGGCTTGTAATGCAAGCCAGTTGGGAATAGCCTTGTGGTTAACACAGTTACTGTATTGGCTTGTAGTGCAAGCCAGTTGGAGTAGCCTTGTGGTCAACACAGTTACTGCATTGGCTTGTAGTGCAAGCCAGTTGGAGTAGCCTTGTGGTTAACACAGTTACTGCATTGGCTTGTAGTGCAAGCCAGTTGGAGTAGCCTTGTGGTCAACACAGTTACTGCATTGGCTTGTAGTGCAAGCCAGTTGGAGTAGCCTTGTGGGTAACACAGTTACTGCATTGGCTTGTAATGCAAGCCAGTTGGAGTAGCCTTGTGGTCAACACAGTTACTGCATTGGCTTGTAGTCCAAGCCAGTTGGAGTAGCCTTGTGGTCAACACAGTTACTGTATTGGCTTGTAGTCCAAGACAGTTGGAGTAGCCTTGTGGGTAACACAGTTACTGCATTGGCTTGTAGTCCAAGACAGTTGGAGTAGCCTTGTGGGTAACACAGTTACTGCATTGGCTTGTAGTGCAAGCCAGTTAGAGTAGCCTTGTGGTTAACACAGTTACTGCATTGGCTTGTAGTGCAAGCCAGTTGGGAGTAGCCTTGTGGTCAACACAGTTACGGCATTGGCTTGTAGTGCAAGCCAGTTGGAGTAGCCTTGTGGGTAACACAGTTACTGCATTGGCTTGTAGTGCAAGCCAGTTGGGAATAGCCTTGTGGTTAACACAGTTACTGTATTGGCTTGTAGTGCAAGCCAGTTGGAGTAGCCTTGTGGTCAACACAGTTACTGCATTGGCTTGTAGTGCAAGCCAGTTAGAGTAGCCTTGTGGTTAACACAGTTACTGCATTGGCTTGTAGTCCAAGCCAGTAGGAGTAGCCTTGTGGTCAACACAGTTACTGTATTGGCTTGTAGTGCAAGCCAGTTGGAGTAGCCTTGTGGTCAACACAGTGACTGTATTGGCTTGTAGTGCAAGCCAGTTGGAGTAGCCTTGTGGTCAACACAGTTACTGCATTGGCTTGTAGTGCAAGCCAGTTGGAGTAGCCTTGTGGTCAACACAGTTACTGCATTGGCTTGTAGTGCAAGCCAGTTGGAGTAGCCTCGTGGTCAACACAGTTACTGCATTGGCTTGTAGTGCAAGCCAGTTGGAGTAGCCTTGTGGGTAACACAGTTACTGCATTGGCTTGTAGTGCAAGCCAGTTGGAGTAGCCTTGTGGGTAACACAGTTACTGCATTGGCTTGTAGTGCAAGCCAGTTGGAGTAGCCTTGTGGTCAACACAGTTACTGCATTGGCTTGTAGTGCAAGCCAGTTGGAGTAGCCTTGTGGGTAACACAGTTACTGCATTGGCTTGTAGTGCAAGCCAGTTGGAGTAGCCTTGTGGGTAACACAGTTACTGCATTGGCTTGTAGTGCAAGCCAGTTGGAGTAGCCTTGTGGGTAACACAGTTACTGCATTGGCTTGTAGTGCAAGCCAGTTGGAGTAGCCTTGTGGTCAACACAGTTACTGCATTGGCTTGTAGTGCAAGCCAGTTGGAGTAGCCTTGTGGTCAACACAGTTACTGTATTGGCTTGTAGTGCAAGCCAGTTGGAGTATCCTTGTGGTTAACACAGTTACTGTATTGACTTGTAGTGCAAGCCAGTTGGAGTAGCCTTGTGGGTAACACAGTTACTGCATTGGCTTGTAGTGCAAGCCAGTTGGAGTAGCCTTGTGGTCAACACAGTTACTGCATTGGCTTGTAGTGCAAGCCAGTTGGAGTAGCCTTGTGGTCAACACAGTTACTGTATTGGCTTGTAGTGCAAGCCAGTTGGAGTAGCCTTGTGGGTAACACAGTTACTGCATTGGCTTGTAGTGCAAGCCAGTTGGAGTAGCCTTGTGGTTAACACAGTTACTGCATTGGCTTGTAGTGCAAGCCAGTTGGAGTAGCCTTGTGGTCAACACAGTTACTGCATTGGCTTGTAGTGCAAGCCAGTTGGAGTAGCCTTGTGGTCAACACAGTTACTGTATTGGCTTGTAGTGCAAGCCAGTTGGAGTAGCCTTGTGGGTAACACAGTTACTGCATTGGCTTGTAGTGCAAGCCAGTTGGAGTAGCCTTGTGGGTAACACAGTTACTGCATTGGCTTGTAGTGCAAGCCAGTTGGAGTAGCCTTGTGGTTAACACAGTTACTGTATTGGCTTGTAGTGCAAGCCAGTTGGAGTAGCCTTGTGGTTAACACAGTTACTGCATTGGCTTGTAGTCCAAGCCAGTTAGAGTATCCTTGTGGTTAACACAGTTACTGTATTGGCTTGTAGTGCAAGCCAGTTGGAGTAGCCTTGTGGTCAACACAGTGACTGTATTGGCTTGTAGTGCAAGCCAGTTGGAGTAGCCTTGTGGTCAACACAGTTACTGCATTGGCTTGTAGTCCAAACCAGTTGGAGTAGCCTTGTGGGTAACACAGTTACTGCATTGGCTTGTAGTGCAAGCCAGTTGGAGTAGCCTTGTGGGTAACACAGTTACTGTATTGGCTTGTAGTGCAAGCCAGTTGGAGTAGCCTTGTGGTTAACACAGTTACTGCATTGGCTTGTAGTGCAAACCAGTTAGAGTAGCCTTGTGGTTAACACAGTTACTGCATTGGCTTGTAGTGCAAACCAGTTAGAGTAGCCTTGTGGTTAACACAGTTACTGCATTGGCTTGTAGTGCAAGCCAGTTGGAGTAGCCTTGTGGGTAACACAGTCACTGCATTGGCTTGTAGTGCAAGCCAGTTGGAGTAGCCTTGTGGTCATCACAGTTACTGCATTGGCTTGTAGTGCAAAGCAGTTGGAGTATCCTTGTGGTCATCACAGTTACTGTATTGGCTTGTAGTGCAAGCCAGTAGGAGTAGCCTTGTGGGTAACACAGTTACTGCATTGGCTTGTAGTGCAAGCCAGTAGGAGTAGCCTTGTGGTCAACACAGTTACTGCATTGGCTTGTAGTGCAAGCCAGTAGGAGTAGCCTTGTGGTCAACACAGTTACTGCATTGGCTTGTAGTGCAAGCCAGTAGGAGTAGCCTTGTGGTCAACACAGTTACTGCATTGGCTTGTAGTGCAAGCCAGTTGGAGTAGCCTTGTGGTTAACACAGTTACTGCATTGGCTTGTAGTGCAAGCCAGTTGGGAGTAGCCTTGTGGTCAACACAGTTACTGCATTGGCTTGTAGTGCAAGCCAGTTGGAGTAGCCTTGTGGTTAACACAGTTACTGTATTGGCTTGTAGTGCAAGCCAGTTGGAGTAGCCTTGTGGTCATCACAGTTACTGCATTGGCTTGTAGTGCAAGCCAGTTGGAGTAGCCTTGTGGTCAACACAGTTACTGTATTGGCTTGTAGTGCAAGCCAGTTGGAGTAGCCTTGTGGTCAACACAGTTACTGCATTGGCTTGTAGTGCAAGCCAGTTGGAGTATCCTCGTGGTCAACACAGTTACTGTATTGGCTTGTAGTGCAAGCCAGTTGGGAATAGCCTTGTGGTTAACACAGTCACTGCATTGGCTTGTAGTGCAAGCCAGTTGGAGTAGCCTTGTGGGTAACACAGTTACTGCATTGGCTTGTAGTGCAAGCCAGTTGGAGTATCCTCGTGGTCAACACAGTTACTGTATTGGCTTGTAGTGCAAGCCAGTTGGGAATAGCCTTGTGGTTAACACAGTCACTGCATTGGCTTGTAGTGCAAGCCAGTTGGAGTAGCCTTGTGGGTAACACAGTTACTGCATTGGCTTGTAGTGCAAGCCAGTTGGAGTAGCCTTGTGGTCAACACAGTTACTGCATTGGCTTGTAGTGCAAGCCAGTTGGAGTAGCCTTGTGGTTAACACAGTTACTGTATTGGCTTGTAGTGCAAGCCAGTTGGAGTAGCCTTGTGGTCAACACAGTTACTGCATTGGCTTGTAGTGCAAGCCAGTTGGAGTAGCCTTGTGGTTAACACAGTTACTGCATTGGCTTGTAGTGCAAGCCAGTTGGGAGTAGCCTTGTGGTCAACACAGTTACTGCATTGGCTTGTAGTGCAAGCCAGTTGGAGTAGCCTTGTGGTTAACACAGTTACTGCATTGGCTTGTAGTGCAAGCCAGTTGGAGTAGCCTTGTGGGTAACACAGTTACTGCATTGGCTTGTAGTGCAAGCCAGTTGGAGTAGCCTTGTGGGTAACACAGTTACTGCATTGGCTTGTAGTGCAAGCCAGTAGGAGTAGCCTTGTGGTTAACACAGTTACTGTATTGACTTGTAGTGCAAGCCAGTTGGAGTAGCCTTGTGGTCAACACAGTCACTGCATTGGCTTGTAGTGCAAACCAGTTGGAGTAGCCTTGTGGGTAACACAGTCACTGCATTGGCTTGTAGTGCAAACCAGTTGGAATAGCCTTGTGGTTAACACAGTTACTGCATTGGCTTGTAGTCCAAGCCAGTTGGAGTAGCCTTGTGGTTAACACAGTTACTGTATTGGCTTGTAGTGCAAGCCAGTTGGAATAGCCTTGTGGTTAACACAGTTACTGCATTGGCTTGTAGTGCAAGCCAGTTGGAGTAGCCTTGTGGTCAACACAGTTACTGCATTGGCTTGTAGTGCAAGCCAGTTGGAGTAGCCTTGTGGGTAACACAGTTACTGCATTGGCTTGTAGTGCAAGCCAGTTGGAGTAGCCTTGTGGTCAACACAGTTACTGTATTGGCTTGTAGTGCAAGCCAGTTGGAGTAGCCTTGTGGTTAACACAGTTACTGTATTGGCTTGTAGTGCAAGCCAGTTGGAGTAGCCTTGTGGTCAACACAGTTACTGTATTGGCTTGTAGTGCAAGCCAGTTGGAGTAGCCTTGTGGTTAACACAGTTACTGCATTGGCTTGTAGTGCAAGCCAGTTGGAGTAGCCTTGTGGTCAACACAGTTACTGTATTGGCTTGTAGTGCAAGCCAGTTGGAGTAGCCTTGTGGGTAACACAGTTACTGCATTGGCTTGTAGTGCAAGCCAGTTGGAGTAGCCTTGTGGTTAACACAGTTACTGCATTGGCTTGTAGTGCAAGCCAGTTGGAGTAGCCTTGTGGTCAACACAGTTACTGTATTGGCTTGTAGTGCAAGCCAGTTGGAGTAGCCTTGTGGTTAACACAGTTACTGCATTGGCTTGTAGTGCAAGCCAGTTGGAGTAGCCTTGTGGTCAACACAGTTACTGTATTGGCTTGTAGTGCAAGCCAGTTGGAGTAGCCTTGTGGTTAACACAGTTACTGTATTGGCTTGTAGTGCAAGCCAGTTGGAGTAGCCTTGTGGTCAACACAGTTACTGTATTGGCTTGTAGTGCAAGCCAGTTGGAGTAGCCTTGTGGTTAACACAGTTACTGCATTGGCTTGTAGTGCAAGCCAGTTGGAGTAGCCTTGTGGTCAACACAGTTACTGTATTGGCTTGTAGTGCAAGCCAGTTGGAGTAGCCTTGTGGGTAACACAGTTACTGTATTGGCTTGTAGTGCAAGCCAGTTGGAGTAGCCTTGTGGTTAACACAGTTACTGCATTGGCTTGTAGTGCAAGCCAGTTGGAGTAGCCTTGTGGTCAACACAGTTACTGTATTGGCTTGTAGTGCAAGCCAGTTGGAGTAGCCTTGTGGTTAACACAGTTACTGTATTGGCTTGTAGTGCAAGCCAGTTGGAGTAGCCTTGTGGTTAACACAGTTACTGCATTGGCTTGTAATGCAAGCCAGTTGGAGTAGCCTTGTGGGTAACACAGTTACTGCATTGGCTTGTAGTGCAAGCCAGTTGGAGTAGCCTTGTGGGTAACACAGTTACTGTATTGGCTTGTAGTGCAAGCCAGTTAGAGTAGCCTTGTGGGTAACACAGTTACTGCATTGGCTTGTAATGCAAGCCAGTTAGAGTAGCCTTGTGGTCAACACAGTTACTGCATTGGCTTGTAATGCAAGCCAGTTGGAGTAGCCTTGTGGTTAACACAGTTACTGCATTGGCTTGTAATGCAAGCCATTTGGGAGTAGCCTTGTGGTTAACAGTTACTGCACTCCTATAAATCAATGTATGTTACATAGCTATTATTACATATACAGGCAACATACTGTTAAGATATCCAGAGGCAGATTTCTGTCGCTCAGTAGATTGGTGAACCTGCATAATACTTTCAAAGAATGTGTTGTTAAGGATATTGTGTGATCTCCCTACTTATACCCTTGGAGTTTCATCTTTGAAACTTTGCCAATTTTTCACAATTGCCAAGGCATTGTTAAACCTCACTCATATCATGTCCTCATTTAAAGGGGAAGTGTACAAAAATTACTGTCTTTCTTTTTCTTAACAAAACGCAATTTTAGAATAAGTTGGTATCTGTGTTTGAAAATATACACTCATTTTTTTCACAGTGAAAGTAGGAAGCTCACAATAGTGTGAAAATGATATGCCGTTATGAGGCCTTCGTTTTTCGAGCTAAACAGGCCTGAGTTATCCCCCTTAGATTATGACGTAATTGGTGCCAATTCAACTGGGTCCCTGTCTATTCTGAACGTAAAAGATATCAAGTACAAGTTTTCGGTAAAAACGACATGGCCTACGACACACTCCGACGCAGTGGTGACTCAGCATAACACTATGCTGGCTGGCATCTGAGACGCTAGAATCACACACCTGTACCTACACCACGTGAAGCGGCTCTAACAAAGCATGATGACGTCATAATGTTTATCAATTGGCACCAATGACGTCATATTGCAAGGGGCATAAGCCATGGTGTTTTTGTTATGGAAATAGAACACTTGGTAAATGTGAAAAATATAAATCGTTTTAATGCAAAACATATGTTAATTAATTGTGATATTTTTATATTTTTGTCTATGACACTTCTAGGTTAACACTTTTATTGTGGAAAAAGTACAAGAAAATTATGTTCATTTCCGTGTGAACTTGCCCTTTAATACATATACTACTGAAAAGGGTTGTGGACCACCTGATTCTGGCAGATTAACTAAAGTTAAATGTAAGATTAGGGTGGTCCTTTACTTTTTTGAGTAGTGTATAAATCTGTATGAATATAACCGCTATTGTATTAACAAGGTATGAGCTGAATGTGCCCCTCTGTTTCCCACACAGTGAGTAAGTGAGTGAGTGAGAGTGAAAGTTAACTCTGCTTTGAAGAGCGTTTCGGTTATGTTACTGGTATGATGCTGACAAACCTAGGAATATAATCAGGAAAAATCAGGATTTAAACACGATCACAGATTTTTGACACGCCTAATTAAATTAAGAGACGCAACTATGCACAGTGATTACCAGCGCCTTAGTGGAATTGGCCACCGTTCCCTCTTTCCCCTAACGATGGTATTGTTGCTTCATCTACACATGTTGAACTCAGGTGCTGGTCCGGGAACCCCACTGAGAGGCCGTCGATGGCGGAGGTGGACCGAGTGATGACTCACCTGTTTCAGGTAAGTGTCTGCTGGATCCAGAACAGATGCTGATGATATGAAAGATGAAGAGAAGGAATATTCAGTATGAGGGGAAGGAATGGGTGTGGTTTAATGGTGTTGTTTCAACCTTGATGTATAGAGAACTAGTTCTGGATTCCGAGGAGCTATGTACCCAGCAGCCCTTGCTTGCCGTGAGAAATCACAAACAGGGGGAATAGATGGGCACAGTACATGAGCTGGGACCCTTGTCACAAAGCGATCTTAGTGCTAAGATGATAGTAACTCCCATTCTTTAACATAAACTTAAGACAGTTGTAGCGCTAAGACAATAGTAACTTCCATAGTTTAATAAAGACGTAAGACAATCAAAGCGGTGAGGTGATAGTAACTCCCATACTATAATAAAGACGTAAGACAGTCATAGTGGTGAGACGATAGTAACTCCCATACTATACTAAAGACGTAAGACAGTCATAGCGGTGAGACGATAGTAACTCCCATACTATAATAAAGACGTAAGACAGTCATAGCGGTGAGACGATAGTAACTCCCATACTATAATAAAGACTTAAGACAGTCGTAGTGCTAAGACAATAGTAACTTCCATAGTTTAATAAAGACGTAAGACAATCAAAGCGGTGAGGTGATAGTAACTCCCATACTATAATAAAGACGTAAGACAGTCATAGTGGTGAGACGATAGTAACTCCCATACTATACTAAAGACGTAAGACAGTCATAGCGGTGAGACAATAGTAACTCCCATACTATAATAAAGACGTAAGACAGTCATAGCGGTTAGATGATAGTAACTCCCATACTATAATAAAGACATAAGACAGTCATAGCGGTGAGACGATAGTAACTCCCATACTATAATAAAGACATAAGACAGTCATAGCGGTGAGACGATAGTAACACCCATACTTTAACATAGACTTAAGACAGTCGTAGTGCTAAGACAATAGTCATGCTCATACTTTAACTTAGACTTAAGACAGTCTTAGCTCAAAGATTGCTTTGTGGAGCGGGTACAAGGCTGGTTTTATGTATCTACCCCAACAGTGTTTATTTTTGCTCAAGTTATCAAAGGTCTTACAACTCTAACCCTTTGTATTAACTTGCTGTTGCAGGGTTATACCATCTATACTGGATGCAAAACATTGCAACCTATACTCAAAACAGCAAATAATTTCTATATGGGATTCAATGGGATGCAGAGATATCTCTATAGGCAATTTAACTATGGCCATGGAAAGTAGCATGCATGTGAAATTTTACTGTCGATGGCCAATTTTTCTTGCTAAATCAAAATGTTTGGTTTCAAACAAGAAAAGTCACACCTGTATTTAGTGTTTGGCTCCACAGGTACTTCATATTCCATTTGTTGCTAGTAGTGGTCACCTTGCAGGGATTAATGTAGGATTCTAAACTAAGTGCCCTTGGCAGGCAATTTGGGAAAAAACATCATAATTTTATTCAAAATTTACATTTTGAAAAGTTCCTATTTTACAAAATTCAGAGGTATTTGAACATTGTAAAATTAAGCATTCCAACCTGTTCCTGTTCATTGGTCCTGTTATCAGTGAAATACAAGTCACCTCTACAAAGCCATAACTTTAGTTCTAACTTCGTTAACATGAAGTGGTAACTTTTAATCCCAATTTGGGTATGTTGAGTGACATTTCCTTGGGGCTGAACATCGGCCTCTGTGTACTGGTAGGTCTAAGTAGTCTAATCCCTGCATGGGACCCCCATTATAATGCCTGGGACCCCCAAAAGCATGAGTCCCCAGAACTCATAGATAGAATGGCCTGCATATATCCCTGCTGTAGTAGTAGGAATTAATTCAAATTTGGTGACACTCATCACGTTTATCACGGACACTAACCATGGTGAGAGTAAATTCATGAAATGATGTATTGTTTCTTAACCATGTTAGCAATTTAACACATTAAAACATTGTTCCCTCGCATATTGTTGTTTTAGTTTTTCCGAGGTGCTGAGGAACCCTTGGTGTATCCGCCAGCCAGTGACTCGGACGAGGAGCTGTACCCTAGCAGTGGTAGGTGCATGAACTGAAGGTGTCACAATACGTCCCCAGGGCCCCATTGATGCATGTCATCGTATCCCAATTGCGTGGATCGATGCTCATGATTTCAATCACTGGACTGTCTGGTCCAGACTCGATTATTAAGAGACCGCCGTCATATAACTGGAATATTGCTGAGTGCGGCGTAAAACAACAAACAAACAAAACAAACAAACAAATATATCTTACTAGCCCAACTTCGTGGCTACAGCCTACATACCATGCGTTAACCTAAATGTATGTTGTGTGTTTTGAGACCATTGTGTTAAACAACAGCAAAGCTGATTGGCTGCTTTGTACAATACTTTTGTCTGTCGTTTGTGGTTCTTAGACTTTCACATACATACTAATAATGCACCTACATGTATGTCAGTCATAATCAGTGAACAGCGAAAACCCAGTTTTCTAGTTCACATGGGTTTCTGATAAAATACAAAATGAAAACAAAATGATGTCTGACTTTGCCCTAACTTAGTTGATCATTTGTATAAATAAGTATGTATTTTTCAAATGGACAGTCAGGCCAGCTTTACGGAAATGTTACTTGCCCAATTTATAAGTCACTTGCATTTGTCTAGAGGGCCAGCAGCTATTTTAACACTGGGTACACATTTGGGTACAAGTATGTACATATCTGATGTGTTTTGTACAAGTAGGCCCCTCTGCTTACATTCTTGTTGTGTGCAGACGGACCGGTCAGATGTCTTAGATAAGGTGTTGCCTAAATACAGAAACAAGAAGTGTTCACGTTGAATGATTACATATTGAATAGGCATATAGAAGTGATATTCATAAGAATGGGAGATTTGTGGATGCAACTGTTGTGTTTTGAGGGGAACATATATATACAAAATCACTACTGTGCCATAACAGCTTGATATCATTTTTTTGACATTTATGTGGATATATATCATTTTTGTTGACATTTATGTGGATATATATCATTTTTGTTGACTTGTATGTGGATATATGAAGTATTGTAAACTGAACTTTCCAGCCAAACACATTTTTCTTGGAGGGCTTTGGACAAAAGACTGAATAATATAAATACATGTACAAGTATCTTTGTGATCGTCACACATGCTCATTTACATCATCATAAGACCTCATTGTTTGTATGCTTTAAATTAGTGGTGTAACAATACTCCGATACAGTATCATATCCCGAAACAAGGGCCACGATACAATACATCGATTTATGACCCTGTATTGCGATACATGTGATACATTTCATTTCAAGTTATATTGGTTTAAAATATGTGAATAATAACAAACTGTTCAACCACCAGCTTATGCAGATTGTCTAGCATTTCATGGTTGGACAAATATAGCATAACATTCACAGTGCCTTCTACCAATTCTTTCCTACAACATCCCATCTTTTATCTCTGAAATTTATTAACAAATGATTCAGGGTTGTGATTCACCTGCAGAATGAAGAATATTAACTTCAGAAATAAAAGTATTGTATAGGGATGAAAATTGTATTGCACCTTTAGTGTCGAGATATGTATTGTGTTGCAATCCACCATATAGTGACGCCTCTAATTTGAATGATTTTGTGTACAACGATTAGAGACATTAGAATGATATTTTGTTGCAGCTCCTATGACACCACCAATCACGTTCTCCAACACACCTCCCAGCACGGTACACTCCCATTCAGTGTCGCCCCCTACCAGCGAGTCCAGAGCTGTCACCAATAGTGATACTGTCAAGTATGGTGCTGACCGGCCGGACCACGTGCCTCTCTTCCTGCCCAGCATGGCCAGACATGCCCCCATCGTTGTGGAGGTACTACAACCATATTGACTTCATTTTTACCGTTTTCCGACTGATAATCTACAGTATATTTAGGTTATTGGGTATTGGCCAACCCCGGCATGATCCTTGGAACCACTGCCAAAATGATATGCCTATGAAAAAGGTTGACCCCACAATAAACCGTATACACTATATGTTTGGATTGATATTTTGTGCAAGTTTTGTATAAATGTTTTATATATACAGGCAATAGATAGTAAAAATATTCATTTGCAAATTTCTGTTGCTAAACTACTGTGGACTGGTGTAGCTAGAAAATACTTTCAAAGAATGCTGGTATAGGATATTGTCCGACAGAATGTTTACTTTAGAACTTGGCCATTATCTTATAATATACTGTAGTCATGGTAGTTGAAATGCACTGTGTGACAAATCACACAGTGACAATCATCAATGAATTGATCAGATATATCCTTGTATGTGCTCGGATCTGATACAACAGTGTCATAGCAGTCTATAGCCCTGCTGCTCTTCTGTGTAATAACTGCACACAATCATTGCAGGATAGTAATAATCGGAGTATTCAGTGAATTGTATACTTAGCCTGCATGACAGGAGAAAGGCACCCCCAATCTCCCCTCCTGCCTTCCACTGTCTTCCCAGTCCACTTAAAGCAAGAGGAAGTTCAAGTTCTGGAGTGTATCTGTGGAAGCTGTTTTCACTCTGTGTTATTGATATTGCACACTATAGTAGCAGGCTTTGTATATTATATATGATATGTGTAATGCTCCTTTAATTTTTGCTTTAAACATCCTTCACTCACAGCTTGTTCACGTAAACCAATTTCAGGAGGAGAGACACAGAGGCCAGCAGAGTGCACCTCCATCCCTTGCTGCCAGTCGAGAAAGTCTCCATGACCCCCGAGGGTCAAGGTCAGGGACACCTGTTGACCATTACAAACGATATTCAGCTGATCTGAGCAAACTGGATGAATACGACATCTCATCTCAACAGCGGAACCAGGCCAGCAACCCACAGAGAGGTGGCTAAAGAATTTTATACTATTTTCAACTATATTTTTTCTGACCTGTTTCAACCACTTATTTGAAAAATGAATCAAATATGTTTTCTCAAACCTTTTTATTTCACAAGAAGTTTCTTAATTTTGACTTTAAATGGTCTTTGGGTTAGTTTTCCCGGTTCCTAGCCTCGTACAAGACTGTTGTAGGACAGAAATGTTTAGGATATCAATAAAAATAGTTGAGAAGAGAAACAAATGTTATAATATTCGGATGTAGCCTTATGATGTTAGGCCTGTAATCATGGCAGTGGAAGCCACAAACGTGTTAAGTTAGCCTTGCTGAAAGCTAGATGTCTATATATGCTGCAACAAGCTTTCCAACTGTTATTTAATACTTCTGCATTCTTGTGAAGGAGGTAATATGAAACCCTTCACAATATCATCTCTTTTCACCTCAGTATTTCAAACGTTTTTCAGTTGATTACTTGTGTCTGCTTGTTTGTTTACGTGTTTTATTTGGACACAAATTACTTATGTTGTAGACCACAATAATCCTCAAGATAACCACACCTGCATGACTAATTTGTGGTCACATCACAGAGCCCCAGGGAAAGTGTAGAGTACTAATATAGCACTTGAAATGTGAAAGTCTGGGAATATATATGGTCTTGTTCACAATTGTAACCTTGAAGGTTAAGACCAAGTAGGTGGTGTTCACAGGCAGCCCCTTTCCCTTGTGATGTCATGGACTCAGGTGGAACAGTTGGGGCTGATGCTGCAATAAGTGGCTCTTGTAAAAGATATTATCTCATGTATGGATAAGGAAAGATATATATAGATGTATCCAAGCATTTCGTATTTATAATGATAGCCTTGCATTTTTGTGTAAACACTTGGGCAACCAGTTTGAAAATCAACAATTGGTGACATTTGGAAAAAGAAATTATCACATTCATGAAATACTAAACATCCCAAAAAGGGTTTGGGATATAGAATAGAAAGTGTCTGAATATGCAAGTTGTATGTGAATGACATTGTTTAAAAGGAGCCTAATAAATACCCCAACTTTTCACGACAACTACAAGCTTAGGCTATGATGAACCTGGACCTGACACTAGTAACACATGTTCCTTGGTTGAGAAAGTCAGTCAGTCAGTGTTATGGGTTGACGACAGAGTATCAAGAAATGTCTGGCTGCTTATACACATGTGTACACATTATGATGTCTGTATTCGCACTAAGTAATGCTTGCTGCTCTCAAGGTATGTGCCAGAGCATGGAGGTGCTGGAAACATCAAACTACACTAGTTACAGTATGTTGTAGAAATCACTACTGTGCTAAAATGTTGATGTGTGGTTCATGAACATTTTACTATTAGAGTTCTTTTATGCCTTGAAAACACTTAATCAGCTAAATACATTCATTCTTAATGGAATTCAAATCTAGACGTTGCAGAGTTTCCAATACATACTTGCATCTGGCACTTACTTCCCTCTCGCTGTGTGATGTGTGCGAGTGTGTAGCATGTGTTGTTGTTGACATCATCGTTTAATTCCCATGCATCTCGTACTACCAGTGCTAGGTCACCGACGATCGGGGTCACATGGCACCCCTGCCAACTTCGCCACAGCTGGCATCACCTTTAATCAGACAAACCAAGCAGGTGAGGATACTGAAGCATTGATTGTCATGGTAGCAGGCTTGTCCAACAACATCTACGCTAGGAGATGATAGCACTCAAACCCCCTCATACTGCAACACAGTGTTATTTATGCCCCTGTCCTGTGCCTTGTCAGACTACCTGCTCAGATCCCTTGAGAGTTCACAGCCCAAGCTGTTGGTTAGACCCCTCAAGCTTTGCGTCACCAGTCTTCTGGGAGTCTGGTTACGAGGTGAACTTTTTCCATCAGCGGATATTAGGTTGACCTTGAAACCTTTATTGAGATAAATCACAGAGATGTTTCAGGACTGATTGTGCCATCAGTCACAACAAGGGCCTGGTGTATTTGTCCTACCTCAGTAGCCTAATAAACAAGTTGCTCGAGTAATTTTGACGAAACAACTTTAGGAGGTGAAAGGTTTCTCCAGTCCCATTAAATTTGATACAACAGATGTAAGATAATGGGGAACCTTTGACGGGTTGAACATTTGATTTTCCTTTTATGTACCTGTGTAAGGAAACACTGTTATGCTCTTATTTGGCATGCCACTTCTGTCAGTATACAGGCACTAACTATTCCTACTAATACAGTCAGTAGAACACTGCCTACAAAGTAGTTCCTCAGTCCCTGTCAACCCACAGTCCTGACAGTGTTTTCAGTGCACAGTCTTGTTATTACCCTAAGTATCTGTGTCCCTTTTGTTTATGCATGTGTTTGGCATGACGTTGCTGATATGTTATGATTGTGTTGGTCCTAGCGTACTGTATTTACTGTAGACTCAAACCATCCAGTCATACAATTACAGAGATTCAAGCTGAACTTATATTAGTTTTGGGATCGTAATTTCCTCTCAAACTTCAGACACTTGTACTCATTTCAGAATGTGAAGGTTTAATTTTCGAAACTTTAGTGAAATTGTTAAAAATGAATGAAAAGTCTTTAGATAAGCCATAGCCTAAATTACAGCAGGTAAATATTAAAACAAACAAGAGGATAATGCTGTATATATTCGTATGCTTTGTCACGTAAGTTTCAAAAGAATCCAGATTGCAATGGTTAAAACATACACGCAAAATATTTTAACAGTTTGTGAAATTAGGAGGTAAGCATTTGAACATGTTGAAGTAAGATTGTAGGAGAACTGTGATTTAATGTGTGTGATTTCCTCCTCTCTCTCCATGCTGCTGGGACTATAGCACTGGGAAGGTTTGGCTCATTTGATGCTCTCCTTCCTCCAGCTCGGCCACCAAAACCTAGTTTCTTGCTCTCTCAAGGTATCAGTTGGTGCTGGCAATTTTTTATACTTCACTTTTGTCTCCTTTTTCATCACATTTTTTTTCAATGGATATATTAACATAAAGTTTAAATTGTAAACCATCTTGTTCAGTGATGATTATGACACACCTAGATTATGTAGTGCCGTGAAGGGGGGGTGGGGAGAGTACAGGTGATAGTTTCTATATGTCAAGTTATCATTGCAGGGGTGCAGGGGTAGCCTCACTGTTAAAGTCACACCTAAAACTTGGTGTCTCTCTGCAATGGTGCTGGAATATTTCTAAAAAGCATCATAAAATATTCTCACCACAAATTAATTATGGGAAAGAAAGAGATTTGAATTTTCCACAGGGAAAATATATAGAATACGAAAAGTATGTGTTTACGGTCATCATTTTTGCATATTATGAAACAATTCATCACATAGTGTGAATGCTTGGTGGGGTATCATGCTTTGGACATACAGGACACTTTCAGCTGCATGCAATGTGGGCACGTCTTGCACTTCTCACTCCTCAGTCTGTACCAAGGAGAAATTGACTTCTTGTTTTATCATTGGTGAATATTATTACGATATGTATCCATAATCATTTTCAAATCATATATTTTCAGTTTTGTTTATCATTCACTTGCGTTGCACACTTTTCCCTCCAGTTATGTACCTCAGCCAATCAGGTCCTCCAACATGGAGCTTGATGGACGTTCATGCTTAATCCTGTTCATTATATTGGTAATTGTTACTTGAATAACTTGAAAGTGTTTCGAACATAATGTCATAAATGGAATCCAATCGGTAAATATATTTTATGTAACTTTCAAATATCAGAGCTTACACTAAAGTTACTTGGGATGGAATATTCATCTCTTGTGAGATCCTGCACTGAAACAGTTTTTAATAGTTCCTAATGTATAAGCAGTAAGTGTGGGTCTGTTAGATGTTAGGATGTTAGGACAGAATGTGAAAAGGAGCTGCTGGTTACAGAAGCTTAATGCTTGTGCTGTTATGGTGTATGAAGTAGACATAAAAGTGTTAATCTCTCATACACTCTTGCTGAAGTGGTGGCATGAATGGCTTCTAAGGGGTCACAATTTGCTGTGCAGAGTTGCGTCCCTTGGGCACTCAAGAAGCCAATTTGGGTTCGAATCCCGATTCGCCACGATTTTTTCTAGGTTTGTCAGCACCATACCTATGCTCATGGGTTTCACCAAAGTGGTAAATTTCTGAGACCTGCATCACTTCAGGCTTTCCTCTCACATTAAGCTGACATGCCATGATATAACTGGAATACTGTTCAAAGTGGCGTTAAATCCAACTCACACACTCTTGTTGAAGCCTCAGTAAACACCTTTCCATAAGCATAAAATCATGAGACAGATTGTCAGTTTGTGAAACTTTGCTCCAAGTCAAAATAATTCAGTGATGCAACTGATAAATTATAATATTTCCAATGAAGCTGCAAGATTATAACATACTAAAGCTATTTATTTGCATGGCCCAAAGTGCAGAGTTTTATGTTGTATTGTGGTTGTCACAGGAGTGGCAGCTGTCATCACATGATTGGCATTTTCTGAACATAATTTCTCATTGTCTGTCTTCATCGGTCTACTGCATGCTAGGCTGTATAACAACTTCACATGACAAATTTTTGCCTGCATGGATTGTAATAGTTATAGATCCTTGTGTCAGTTGACACCTTTCCCTTCCACGCTTACAAGTAACATTTCAAGTCCCTTCTCAACACTGAACATGATCCTTGATTATAATGAAACCCCCCACCTTCCACCCAGGCCGAGGACACCGAAGAATAGGATCGGACGAGTACACACACATCACGGGGACATCCAGTGCATCCTCCACTCCCCGCACAGCCAGCCCCGCCCGTATGCCGGCCACAGGGGTGACCCACTGCAGCACCTACCCCGGCCAACTGAACCAGGTGGGGCAGAGCATGTCCCCACCCACACGCTCCATCTCACACCAGCCCCCGCAGAGCTCGTCATGGACGGCGTCAGAAACACCAGGGCAGATGCCTACATCAGGTACTGGAACTTTATCATGGTCATGTTTTGGTGACGGAGAGTCACAATGTTCTCCATTTTATGTGTCCTTGTCCCTCCGAGGGGTAGCTCTCTCATGTAGACTGACTCTTCCTTGATGATTGGTTGGTATTTAGAAGATGGGTCAATAATCAGAATTCACTTATTCATTTATAACAAAAGCTGATTGGTTGTCAGTGTAACATGCAGACTATGTTCTGGAGGGGATCCAGTGGCCCAGTGGTCTAAGCTGCTCCTGAGCTGCTGGGATCAAGTGGTTGAGGGTTTGAATCTCACATTTCTGCCTCACTTGCACCACACTTGGGTCACCAAAGTAGCAGACTTCTATGATCTGTGCCACTTTGGGCGTTCCTTCTACATTAAGCTACATCAATGCAGTGATGAACTTTCTCACTCTTTAATGTCTGAAGCCAGTGATCTTCCTGCTGTATGGCAACTAGGATCTGTGCCCACAGGCACTGGTTTATCTGCACCAGACCATTGTACCTTCCGGCCTTATAGTATAGTACTGTTACACCTCGTCTTAAATCATTAGTCAATAATGACACTTATGACTGTAGTCATAACCTGGTATCTTTTCTAAATCCTCAGTCACAACTAAGTCCTCACTGGCATTCCCAGCACAACATTAAACACATGTACAGGACATCACAATCAAGAAGAACATATCTACATACAATAACTAAGGATACATGATCATACATTCTACCCTTTGTCAGATGGAACAAACTGTCTGTTTACAAAGGGACATAACTCTTGTAGCCCTTATTGCATACCACTAATAATATAGTAAACTTATAACAGTACTTTAAGTTGTAGTACTTTTCACTGTAATATTCCCACACTGAAATAGGCCAGTAAAATAATCAGGCAGAGTTCACTGTTTGAGATAGTCATAGGACATTGTGTTCTTCCTGTGTTGCCAGTACCTTCACTTGTCCATTGAGCACGAGAATACCTTTCTTCTGGAACGTGATCAGACTTACTACAAGTACAATGTTTGTTCATTTGGGATTAATTGACAAAGTTATTTATGATAGCAAATGAGCTTGTAAAGCAGTAAAAAGACTACAGAAATTTGATGATGTTCTGACATTTTCTTGTTCTTGACAAATACTGAGGTAAGTTCATTTTTAACTTTAACATTGTTGCATCTTAAGTGCATGTTTGGGTACCTGACCACTCGCTACACCAACGTAGTTAAGGGACAAGCAGTCCCTCCTCATTTAAAGGAAAAAGGCATAATGATTTCACCTATACAGTATTTAGGTGTGAGTGAAGGGCAAAATTGAAAAACTTTGAAACTAAAAACATTTGGAAAACCTTTTGGACAGGTGTAAGTCAGCATATGACCCCCAACACTTTCCTGAGGCTGGTTGGAATCAGTAAAAGTCCTAGTCTGTTGGAGTTAATCCAGATATAGCAATATTTATCTCCTACTACTGCTAACTTCCTTTCCTTCAGATGTCTTGACATGTTTCATGTGTTATGACACACTGAGCAACAGCCTTGTCTGTCTCGACCTAGTGAAACGTCACAAAACATTGTGCTCTAAGATCATATAAACCGAGAATAGATAATTTGCATTGTGTATGGAATGCAAAATTGTGTTGCTTTGAATCATATAAAACTAATCCATTTGAAAAAGATGCCTGTTGCACATGACATGTCTTTTCTGGAAATAAATATTATACAATCCTAGTTCTCACTGTCCGGGGCTGACTTCCTTCACTCAAAGTTGTGTTGAAGAATGAAACACCCTTCAATGCTGAGTGTAAGGCTTCAGAGTATGTGCAACAATATGACATTATTTAGTCCTCAGAGACCCAAGAATGAATATTTAATAATCCATTCACTCACTTTCCACCCTCATCAGGTCCTGGAATACTCTAGGATTCCTATATAGAATTGTTTTTCTTAAACTTATACGTAACTGTATTTCGAAAACTTAATGTTCGTCTAAACATCATTAGAGAAGTGAATTGTGCCATTTGTTGAATATTTTACGAGATACAAGGCACTCGTATTAAAACAACTATTCTCATATTACAGTAGGAGTTATTATCCCCTGCCATGAACTGGGGCAGAGGATATAGGAACGGAGTACATATGTCTGTCTGTCCATCTGTCCTTCCATCCATCTCTCATTTCACTTCTCAAAGTGGACAAATTTTCTCAAAAACTATTTAAGTCATAGACATGAAATTTTACACTCTGATCTTACAGAGTTATGGCCCTTGGTCCATGTTATTTTACTTGGTGCATAGTGTGCGCAATGGGGACAAGTGTCCTCAGAAACTACTGAAGTTGCATAAATGAGAGTTTGCATGCTTATGTGAGAGATATTTGTCAAGACTGAGTTCTAAAATTGGTCACGTAAATTATGTTTTTACAGAGTTATGGTAATTTTACTTATCATGACTGAGTAAAGGAGCCTTTTGTGTGTATTACTTTCACATTGAATCATTTTTCTGATGACATAAAGCGGCCCAAGTTTTCTCTTCTTAAGGCTTTATGCGGCGGTCGGGTAGCCTTGTGGTTGAAGCATTCGCCCGTCACGCCGAAGACCCGGGTTCGATTCCCAACATTGGTACAATGTGTGAAGCCCATTTCTGGTGTTCCCCGCAGTGATATTGCTTGAATATTGCTAAAAGTAGCATAAAATCAAACTCACTCACTCACTCACTCACACTTCAGCCTATATAGGACTCTTATATATAGTCACTGTTTATATTCTCTACTATATGAACAAACATAATTCTAATGTGCCCCGTGGCAGGGAATAGTGATAAGATAGTATTTTCTTGTTTGTCTGGTACAACTTTCATTCCACAAATTTCTCGTGCATTTTTTTTATACTTTTTATCAGCGAACATGTCTGTGAAAATCCATCGTCAGATTACAGACAGTTATAGGAAAGGTCCTTCTCATGTTAGTACTTACTGCGATAAGTCAGACTTCTGAACACAACGGTGGTTCTGCTGCAAGTTGGTATGTTATGTGTGTAAGCTTTGATTGGGAGCTCATTGAGGAAGCTTCGGGGCATGCTCAACATTGAGAAGCATGGTAAAAGTTGCAAGAAGCTTCGAAGATGTTGAATTTTCTGAAAGCTTGGCATATACATGACAAAGTTTGGAATGATTCTGTTTACATCATATGAGTTACTGTATTCACCGTAATAAGCACCCTGGGCTCAGAAAATGGAAATGGGGAGTGCTTATCAAAACAATACATGAAATAAAGTTTGTTTCAGAAATCGATCGGTAGTGAACAAGATGGGCTTCCATGGTTTAAACGTCACCAAAACTAAACTAAAATGTTTTTAGATAATAATATTGCACGGCAATTATATACATACCCCTTCTGCCCTGCTGTTTTCTGTAAAAAATATTTAATATACACAGGAAAATTCAGACTATCATGTAAATTTTCAGGTTTAGTTCTGGGCAATTGCTTACAGATTGGTCTAGAAGTTGGTCATGGGGAGCTTATTGGAGCAGAGTGTTTAATACAGTGAATACGGTAGCTGATACTGGAATGGCTGTGACTTAAGTGACATATACACGGAGCTGTTCGGGACCATTAATGTGAATTGACTGAGGACTATGACACTGATGTGATGGCTGCTGTCCACTGTCTTGTCCTGGGCAATCATTACACAGTGGCGTGGGAGGGGGTATGTCTGTTGAGAGAACTTGTTTGGTTATGACATTAACCTTCTGTGCATAACTCTTTCTCTCTGAGCTGCAGCCATGAAAGTTGAACTCTGTCAGTGATTGCTAATTGCTTCTGTGTTTGTGTACTTCCAGTCACATTTTATGTATGTTTGAATGTGGAAACTTGAGTCTGTAACATATTTTGTCATACTGTTTTACTGATAAAAATATTCAGCTAGAGTTGAGTCTCTGCAGAAATCCTTGTGTCTGTGTATTTGTGACACCTAACATAAACACTTATGTTTATTTTTATTATGTATTTCCAGTATCACCTGATGTCAACATGATGTACTTCTATATTTAAAAATATATGTCATTGCTTTATTTCCTGTGGTATCTGATGAAAAAAATGTTACACAAATGTGATTTTATTTTGTATACTCACTTAATGTCAACACAATGTACTAACATGCATTTTTATGCTGTGTTTCCAGTGTCACCTGATTTCAACATGATGTACTAACAACAAAATAAAAAGTTATTTTTTAAAGGAATTTCCAATATCACCTGATGTCAGCACAATGTACTAATATTGTTCTCGTACGTCAACATGATTTACAGACATGTATTTTTATGCCATGATTCCAGTGGCTGCTGACGTCAACATGATGTACTAACATATATTTTCATTGCTGTGGTTCCAGTGTCACCTGACGTCAACATGATGTACTAAGGTGTATTTTCATTGCTGTGTTTCCAGTATCACCTTACGTCAACAAGATGTACTAAAGTGTATTTTCATTGCTTGTTTCCAGTATTACCTGACGTCAACACGATGTACTAATGTGTATTTTCATTGCTGTGTTTCCAGTATCACCTGACGTCAACAAGAAGTACTTATGTGTATTTTCATCGCTGTGTTTCCAGTATCACCTGACGTCAACACGATGTACTAATGTGTATTTTCATTGCTGTGTTTCCAGTATCACCTGACGTCAACACGATGTACTAATGTGTATTTCATTGCTGTGTTTCCAGTGGCTCCTGATGTAAACATCCCTGCCTCTGCTATGAACATGGTCTATCTATCTCTGGACCACCAGTTACAGGTGAGATCAGACACCACTGGCAATCCATCAGTGGAGCGTTGGTTGAATACAACCCCCTCCGGCTTTGACCCAGACAAAATACCAGAGTTATGCCGGGTACTACTTCAATTTGATGTCTCCATGCATGTGCATGCACACCTTGCATGTGGGCTTCTGTCCTGGGTCAGTTTGGTTGGGTTTTTTGAATGCACAAGTAAAATATTCAATTCAATAACTAATTAACTGGCAGAAAATTGCCTACTCACTTGAACAATCTGCTCCTCATTTAAAGCGTCCTTTTGAAAAGTGAAATATCTTTTGATAGCTTTCTTTATGTTGTCATAATTTGGGTGAGGAAAAACATGGGAGTCACTATCCCTGGATTCCTGTTGTACCTTGACATCCACTGAACATGGCTGAACATCACAGATTATGTTATGAAGAAAAGAAAATAGAAAAATAATAATTCTGCAGACAAAAAGAATGAAATCATATGCAAACTGGTGGTTGAGTTGGTTTGGGCAGAAACAACACATTTAAATTTTGTTTTGACAAGTTAAACGCGTTGTGTTTTAGCTAACGTTGTTCTGCCAACTTTTGTAGGAAGCCAAACATTTCTGATTTTCTGGAGTTCTTGACAAAATAGTTTTGGTTATTGAGGAATATTTTCTCCATGCATGTTATTTTTGCCTTACTTTTTACTCTATGATTTATTTGATTGTAGTGATTATGGGGAAGGGATTTTGCAAAGCCTTGTTTCAAATTATTAGATTTCTTGTTCCATTTTTAACACATGTAGAAGTGAGAGTATGTTTGGTACATAAACGCATGGTACATCTATCATCTACCACATATGCATACAACTCTCCATGTTTGTTTGCCACACATTGTTTCTTTTATTAGAAAGAACTTTTTTATCATTAGATCTCATTCCTTCCATGTACTTGGTCTTCCAGGTTCATTAACCATGTCAACAGTAGCATTGTTGCCATCTCTGTCTCATCATCACTATGGCACTGCTTGCTTGTAATAAAGTCGTATTGCATGAGTAGTCAAGATGTATGATAATGAGCAACTGTTTCAAAAGTGTAGTATAAATTGTTGGATCTTAAACTCAAACTGATCTATTTCGAACTTGAGTAGTCAGACAACAAATTCCTCATGAAAATAAGATTCCGTATTCGACGTAATAAGTGCCCAGGGTGCTCTCAAAATCATAAATAAGGGGACTCTCATTAGATTATTATTTTGCTGAAAAAAGAAAAGAAAATGTTTTCATACGACAGATATTTTTTCCAGAATTTATTTGCCCACATTTAAGGGTGCATATACCACATGAGTGTGTATTATACACGAATAAATAAGTCTTTTGCACATTGATCAATCGGAAGGGGTGCTAATTGGGATTGTTCAATAGCCAATATATTAGCAAATATCGCTGTGGGCGCTTATTAGAGTGGGGCGCTTATTGCGTCAAATACGGTACACAAATTTCATCTTTATGTAAGTATTGTACAATTATTGTAAACATTAAGGGGTAATAAAGTTCTGATTGTTAATTTCTCAGAACCTTGATAGGGAGTATATTTTGACTGGGATTTGCTAATGTAGCTAAATATGGTGACTGAAGCTTCATCATAAAGCATAGCATCCTTCCATCCATGACAAGAAGGAAATGGAAATTATTTGAACAAATTTTGAATTTTCTGTGGTGTTGGTGTACTGGACCACGTCTCCCTGCTAGCAAGGCTACATGGGAAGTTTGTCCGCCCCAGTCCTTCATCGGTTGTAGACTAACATGGCAGCTGGAAGGGAATGTTACAAGCTCATACATCTGCATGTTATGCACAGTGTGATTGCCATTCATATGTTGTACAGTCAACTCATGTTATCTCAGACTATGACAACAGTTCCACCTTTCATGACCCCGCTCCCTGTGATCTCGATCACACTGTACAACAAACTCTCAGATTATCAGTCTACCCTTATTATATAGTTTTAAAAGGATTCTAATCAGGATAATGGTATTAATTGAGAAATAGACCATGAGTTGACTGTACAGATCTATTCTGTGTATATTATTAATATGACCTGGTGACCATTAAGGGGATTATAGTAAACACTAAGCAGGAAGTTATCTAGGATTCCAATCTTAGTGCCCTAATTGGTGAAACAATCAGGATATTCTTCAAAATTAGATTTTTATTTTCTGTTTTTAATTTCGTAAATTCTGAGGTATGGGGACATTTCTTATTCAAATTGGTAATTTTTGCTGACATTTGCTGCAGACTTGGGGTCAAATATCTGCCTCTTTGCTTGTCCAGATAAATCCCTGTTAAGGCATATGCAAGGAAGGCACATTGTGACTCCCCTATATCTGAGCAGCTCTCCAAACAACAAACATTTATCCTAAGTACGTAAAACATTAAAAGTGAAGCATTATTTGAACTGTGCTTGACTTGTCAATTTTCTTAAATGGTCACCAGGGCAGATCTTCATGTTCTGAAAATGTCAATATTGATTATTATGAGATGATATATTCATGCTGCTAGTATTATTGATACAGGCTAAGGTGTAACATCATGAAAGGTTGAAGTACTAATGTATATAATTTCAGATGTGGTGATGGATAAAAAGAAGGGAATGGGATCTTTACGTGTGTAAAGTGTGTAGTCATTACTAAGAAAATATACTGTAGATTGTTATTTAGACCATCTAGTAAAGTAAGCTGATGCCATTAACAAGATATGCCAGTCATAATAACACTTGCTATCATAGACCTATCTTCTTGATTTTCTAGGGAACACAGATAATTGAAGATCATTATTGCAGTTTGTCTTAATGTTGCCTCTTGCCTTTCAGATGAGCTCACATAGATGAGCTTGATAGAGCGATAGATAGTACCAGCATCCTTTCATGACCGACTGTCACATGTAGATGCAGGGCTTGATTTAGCAATATGAAACATATAAAACATTTTATTGAAAAATGCATATTAATATTTATGTCAAAAAGTCTCAAATTTGTGTCTTACTTGTCCACACAACATCAATCTTTGAACACATTCATTACCTCTAAGCTTCATATACCATACTACATCAGTAATGCCTGTGTAATTTTTGTCATACTTTTGGGGGCTTGACGTCATCAAACTGTGGGCACTTCAAGATTATTTGTATATGTTTTAACTTTGATAAATTTATGGGACAAGTGCAACCTGGTTTTGCATGTAATAAGATGAATGTGATTGGTGGTACTGACAGAGAAAATGGCGGTGAATCTGCACTTATCAATTCAGATTCTGATGTTGAAAACAAAATTGCAGATAAATCAGATCATGGTAAAAAAGTATAAAAACCCAAAATGTCTCCATTATTTTCTAGAAATTGGTTAGATTAGTATTTAGTTTTAATATGATTATTTTTTACATTGTTTCCATAAGATTAAACCTCCATTTTCATGTTCGGTGTTATGATGTTTGACTTTTATTTTATTGTATACCCCATTGGAAGGGTTACATGGCCCACCCATAACACATTCTAGATGAAAAACTGACTTAAGGTATTGGTACAAACACAAGTTTGAGTACAAATAATACTTAAGGTTCTTTCGCCTTGACCCATAGATCCATTTGTCACTGTCCACCATGTGTAGTTGTAGTTGTTACTGTCGCATCAAGTCATTTACATGGAACATGCATTTTCCCTTTCCTTTCCTATTTAAATGCAAAAGCGATTTTCATTTTGGTTCTTTTCTTAAATATATTTTATCTCTTTGTTGTTGTTGTGATTGGTAGATTTTCCTGTTTGAAGTTCCTTCTAGACACACTGTGGCTGTGTTATTTCCAGACACTATGTCTGTGTAAGTACCAGACACTATGGCTGTGTTAGTACCAGACGCTATGGCTGTGTTATTTCCAGACACTATGTCTGTGTTAGTACCAGACACTATGGCTGTGTTATTTCCAGACACTATGGCTGTGTTATTTCCAGACACTGTGGCTGTGTTATTTCCAGACACTATGTCTGTGTTAGTACCAGACACTATGTCTGTGTTAGTACCAGACACTGTGGCTGTGTTATTTCCAGACACTATGGCTGTGTTATTTCCAGACACTATTGCTGTGTTATTTCCAGACACTGTGGCTGTGTTATTTCCAGACACTGTGGCTGTGTTATTTCCAGACACTATGGCTGTGTTATTTCCAGACACTATGGCTGTGTAATTTCCAGACACTGTGGCTGTGTTATTTCCAGACACTATGGCTGTGTTATTTCCAGACACTATGGCTGTGTTATTTCCAGACACTGTGGCTGTGTTATTTCCAGACACTATGTCTGTGTTAGTACCAGACACTATGTCTGTGTTAGTACCAGACACTGTGTCTGTGTTATTTCCAGACACTATGGCTGTGTTATTTCCAGACACTATGGCTGTGTTATTTCCAGACACTGTGGCTGTGTTATTTCCAGACACTATGTCTGTGTTAGTACCAGACACTGTGGCTGTGTTATTTCCAGACACACTGTGGCTGTGTTATTTCCAGACACACAGTGGCTGTGTTACTTCCAGATACACTGTGGCTTTATTTTTCTAGACACACTGTGGCTGTGTTATTTCTCGACACACTGTGGCTTTGTTATATCCAGACACACTATGGTCCAGACACACTGTGGCTGTGTTATTTCCAGACACTGTGGCTGTGTTATTTCCAGACACACTATGGCTGTGTTATTTCCAGACACACTGTGGCTGTGTTATTTCCAGACACTGTGGCTGTGTTATTTCCAGACACTATGGCTGTGTTATTTCCAGACACAATGTGGCTGTGTTATTTCCAGACACACTGTGGCTGTGTTTTTTCCAGACACACAATGGCTGTGTTATTTCCAGACACTTTGGCTCTGTGATTTCCAGACACACTGTGGCTGTGTTATTTCTAGATGCCTTTTGCCTGTGTTATTTCCAGACACATTATGGCTGGTTATTTCCAGATATTATGGCTGTGTTATTTCGAGACTCTATGGCTGTGGTATTTCGAGACACTATGGCTGTGGTATTTCCAGACACAATGGCTGTGTTATTTTCAGACACTGTGGCTGTGTTAGTACCAGACACTGTGGCTGTGTTATTTCCAGACACTATGGCTGTGTTATTTCCAGACACTGTGGCTGTGTTAGTACCAGACACTGTGGCTGTGTTATTTCCAGACACTGTGGCTGTGGTATTTCCAGACACTGTGGCTGTGTTAGTACCAGACACTGTGGCTGTGTTATTTCCAGACACTATGGCTGTGGTATTTCCAGACACAATGGCTGTGTTGTTTTCAGACACTGTGGCTGTGTTAGTACCAGACACTGTGGCTGTGTTATTTCCAGACACTGTGGCTGTGTTAGTACCAGACACTGTGGCTGTGTTAGTACCAGACTCTGTGGCTGTGTTAGTACCAGACACAATGGCTGTGTTAGTATCAGACACACTTTGGCTGTGTAATTTCCAGACACTATGGCTGTGTAATTTCCAGACACTATGGCTGTGTTATTTCCAGACACTATGGCTGTGTAATTTCCAGACACTATGGCTGTGTTATTTCCAGACACTATGGCTGTGTTATTTCCAGACACTATGGCTGTGTAATTTCCAGACACTATGGCTGTGTAATTTCCAGACACTATGGCTGTGTTATTTCCAGACACTGTGGCTGTGTTATTTCCAGACACTATGGCTGTGTAATTTCCAGACACTATGGCTGTGTTATTTCCAGACACTATGGCTGTGTTAGGTATTACCTGTGTTATGTCAATGTAATTATGATCAGTACTTGAGCAGTTTGAGCTGTTCATTGATGGCACATGATCAATGATTATATCCTAATTGATTCCCACCATTTGGTTTCTTTAAAGTATGATATTGATGTAATGTTTTCAAAATGTATTTTACATATCTAAGCTATTTGTTCATGTATGTCATGGGAAGACTTGAGGAAAAAACAATTTGCTGATCAACAAAGTCATGTTTTAAGAAACCAATCCTTCCACAAACCCTACTGATCAACAGGTAAATATTAAGAAATCAATCCTTACACAAACCCTACTGATCAACAGGTAAATATTAAGACATCAATCCTTACACAAACCCTACTGATCAACAGGTAAATATTAAGAAATCAATCCTTACACAAACCCTACTGATCAACAGGTAAATATTAAGACATCAATCCTTACACAAACCCTACTGATCAACAGGTAAATATTAAGAAATCAATCCTTACACAAACCCTACTGATCAACAGGTAAATATTAAGAAATCAATCCTTACACAAACCCTACTGATCAACAGGTAAATATTAAGACATCAATCCTTACACAAACCCTACTGATCAACAGGTAAATATTAAGAAATCAATCCTTACACAAACCCTACTGATCAACAGGTAAATATTAAGACATCAAATCCTCTTTAGATGTCACCAGGACCTTTTGTTACATGAATGTTGATATAATAGTTTCAAATGTAAGACGTCCTGTGTTGATTAATGTGTGCCGTGCATCCAAATGAAAGTTTAGTAACTGGCCTACAGACCATGGACGACAGCCCCTGGGGTCCAGACTGAACAAACAGCAGCTTCATGTCTATCCAGACCTGCAATACACACACCATACTTCATTTCTGGAAATTTCTGTTCAAGCCTTTTTGTCATACAACAGCTACATACACTCTTTCTTTGTCAGTGCTTATTCTGTCCCAGATTTGGACAGTTTATTTCATACTACCGTATTCTACGTAATAAGCGCCCAGGGCGGTTTCAAAATTAGAAATAAGGGGCTCTTATTCGAATATAATTTGGTGAGTTGAAAGATTGTAAATTTCGTAGTTTATTCTTACAGCCTGAAATGATACAACACGATAGATATATTTTTCCAGAATTTAATTGCCCGTAATTAAGGGTGCATATAACACACGAGTGTATTATACACGAATAAAGAAGTCTTGTGTACATTGATCAATGGGATGGGGTGCTAATTGGGATTGTTCACCAGCCTATATATTAGCCATTATCATCGTGGGCGTTTATTACGTCAAATATGGTACATGTAGATGTGAGCTTCACCTCAATATCAGACAAACGGAATATTTCCTTTTGAGAGTGATGAAATGCTTTAGTCAGACGAAGGTACTGTCAGTCTCATTACAATCAGATAATTTACCCCGTAGTTGGTTTAAGCATGAAGAGATTCAAGGTTTGTATGGCATAGGAACTATTAATGTGGGGGCACAAACTTGGTATATGTGGGAACAGCAGGTTTGTATCACAAAGGTAATGTAAGCATTGGAGAATACAAGATTTGTATTAGCGACTGGTAATTTATTATTGGGTGATATTGGTTTTAGGATTGTATCGTATGTTGCTGTCGAGGAACTACATGAATGTACCTCACTGTACCTCACTATGTATATGACTGTGTTGTGTTTGCAGCCTCTGGCCCCATGTGTTGCTAACTCTGACTCTATGGCCATGTATGAACAACACTGCAAGGTAGGACACTGATGCTTTTCTCTCATTGTACACTACCTTCCTCCATGTACCATTATGCTTCTTAGTCAGTGTCATGATTCACTCCATAGAATGTCCAGCCACTGACACTCTGCTGAGGAAGTAGCATGTTCCCAACTGAGTGCATATATATCTTCGTGTTATAGGTTTTCGAGCCCCTAAGAAGTATTTTTGATTACATGTCCAATAACAATACCCATACATTAAAATTAGGTCTTACCTTTGAGAACATTTATCACTGTTAGCACTTGGATAGTCAAATGACCATGTCTTGATTTTATTGCGATAATGCCTCGTCGAGTGCGACGAGTCGATCAGGCACCATCTTGTTACCATCACCTGATTTTCAGCCCCTCCATGACAGTCAAGTTGAACATAGATGCACAACATGATCACATGACATTACACACAGGACGTTTACAAACAGCAGCTGATACATCATCGGTGCATACGATTGTTCAGAAGCAAAATTATCATCAGATCAAGTTTGATTGAAATGTGCATTTGTGAAAAAGTATGTTTTGAGGTATGTTTTCATTACTGAATATCTTACCTCATGTAGCTTAATATATAACATGACTTCAGGGGCAAGTGGCAAACACTTTGATGTGTTCAGTGGGCTCTGAACTGTCTCCTTTGATTACAGCATTAACTGCGTGGTTACGTATTCTTTAGGGGCTTGAAAATAGGTGAAGCTCGTAAACATATCACATGGGCATATATACTACTAAAACAAGTTAATGCCTACCAGATTCTGTCATATTACTATAGTTAATCGGTCATGGCAGTAGTATGAAAGAATCGGATGGACCTTAATTTATTTTGAGTAGCATATAGTGAATCCTTGTATCAGCTTTCATCACAGGGATGAGGAGAGCTTGGAGACCCCTAACTATCCATCAGGAGCAGCAATACAAGGCCTAGAATGTAAAGACCAAATATATCTTCCATGGGAACTGATTTTAAAGAATGTATGAATATGACCTGAATATATAGGGGAATGTGTTTACCCTCACAGTGGCAGCAAATAGACAAGGATGAAAACATTTATGAGTCCTTTTGAATACCAGGTTTGAAAACTGGCAATGAATTGATGGGAATGTTATTCCCTGATTCTTTTACCTCAGGCGTTCATTTGTTGGCTGGTTATCTAGCTGTCAAATGGTTAGGAAGCATGGATGATATATGGAGGAGTGGAGTGAATACATCATCACAAATGATAAGGGTGTTGATTGTTGGAGCTTTATCACTCCATCAGTTGTATTTGTATGTACGTCATTGTGTTCACAGCAATTAGGCACGGGTGGCCCTATTGACGAAGGTGGTGCAGATGGCTGTGCAGGGTTGGTCCCCACGTCATGCCAGACATCTATGATTTGGGGTTTAATTCCATGATTCACCCTGCTAATGTTTTTATGTTTGTCAGAGCCAAAAAGATGCTTGTTGGTATCACCAAAATGGTAAAAGTCTAAGACCTGCATCACTTCAGGCTTTCCTCCCACATCAAGCTGAAACACTGTGATATGACTGAAATATTGTTTAGAGCAGCAGCAGCAATATTGTTTGGCTTGGGATTTAATGGATCATCAGTCATTATCATATTAGGAATGACAAGTTTATGAACATATTTTATTGTTGTTGGTTTTGTCATATTTTCCTTTTTCAGTGCCTTTGTAACCCACTTCGCCTAGGGATTGTTTGAGATTGTAAACCCTGACATTTGGGAGCATACCTTGGCCTCCTTGGTATGCTTCCCTCCTGTCAGGGTTTTTGAAGCGACTCATCACATAGATAATAAGAAAACATCAAGAGACCTTACAGTGAAACAATACAGGGTGTCGTGGTATAAAAGCTATTCAATCAAAGCGTGCGAGAGAAAAAACACGTTCAAGATGGACCAACTTGATTCATGACATGTAAAATTGAACAACTTTTCATCTTCTGCCCTGAGGTTGCAGTTTCGATTCCCATCATCCATAATGAAACCTCCATTTCTTATCTTCTATTTTAGAACATCGGACGTTTGAAACACAAATTTTTAAGTATAGAAGTTATATTAACTCCTCATAGGAGAGTTTACAATGATTGTAACCCTTGTAGGAGGGTTTACATTCAATCATTGTAAGCCCTCAAAGGAGGGTTTACAATTATTGTAAACCAGACTGCAACGGATTACAATGCGCTGTATGGGAGAATTCAACCATTTCAAAAATCCCTCAAGGAGTTGCACAAACATGTGTGTTTATGAACATTCATAAGCAATTGGTCTTCAACCATGTATGGTCGGTGTGGTAGCCTTGTGGTTAAACCGTTTGCTTGTCATGCCAAAGATCCGGGTTCAGTTCCTCACATGAGTCCAACATGTGAAGCCCATTTTCTGGTGTACTCTGCCATGATATTGCTGGAATATTGGTAAAAGTGACATAAAAGCATACTCACTCATTTCAACCATATAAAGAGCCATCACTATTTTAATTTTTTAAAATTCTGTTCAGCAAATACACACATTGGCTAAAAGCAACAGACATTAAATGTAGTAGACAGGCATGGAATTCCTGTCAAAGTTCTTCATGGTCACAAGTACTCTAGTTAGACTATAGTCTTCCCTTGAGATGTCGTAATGATACATACCAACCTGTGTGACATGAACTGTAAACTGATTGGATGATGTGCTCATGGTGTGGACCCCTTGCAATATTTTACTGTAGCTTGAAACACATTCACACCATTTGATAATGCTGAACATAGTAAGACAGAGTTGTCTCCCTTTCACTGCTTCGGACACTGTCCTGTGCCAGTGTTAGTTTATGAGGTAACAAACTATCACACCTATAATGAAATGGATGTGGTGTCAAGCTTTGTTTGAAGACTCATCAACAAAGCTGTTGTTAGCGTAATGTGAAGCAAACAGCTGTTGATAGTGATTCCTCATTTAAAGCCTCAGTTCACAACTGCCCCAGTCAACAGGACTGGTTGGCGCACACAAGGCCACATGCTTTCAATCATGATTGTCACATGGGAAGTGATTTGACACACATTCTGAAGAGGTAGTCATGAATAGGCATAAAGAAGTTGCAGCAATATCTTGAATTATGTTTTGTGTGCTCTTTTTGAGGAAAGTAGGGTAATGTTGAATTAATGAACAATGGGATGTTTTAAACATAAAGGTGTAGAGAATTTCTTTGTACTGTCATGCCATGGCAACTACGTCTGTTGTCAAAGTTCTCTGTGTTGTGTGAGATGTTTTGTAATAATTTAATTCATTTCTCATAATTATGCCAATGGCAAAAATACATGTTCATATTAATTGGTCATCTTTCTTCTTGTCAGAACTTGGTATTTGTTGTGATTTGTTTTGTAAACAATATATCAGGGTGTTCAGTATGCTTCAATGTCATGTCAGTATCAAGGTGTTCAGTATGCTTCAATGTTTTGTCAGTATCAAGGTGTTCATTATGCTTCAATGTCATGTCAGTATCAAGGTGGTCTGTATGCTTCAATGTCATGTCAGTATCAAGGTGATCAGTATGATTTAATGTTATGTCAGTATTATGGTGTTCAGTATGCTTCAATGCCAGGTCAGTAGCAAGGTGTTCTGTATGCTTCAATGTCAGGTCAGTATCAAGGTGGTCTGTATGCTTCAATGTCATGTCAGTATCAAGGTGTTCATTATGCTTCAATGTCATGTCAGTATCAAGGTGTTCAGAATGATTTAATGTTATGTCAGTATTATGGTGTTCAGTATGCTTCAATGTCAGTTCAGTATCAAGGTGTTCAGTATGATTAAATGTTATGACAGTATCAAGGTGTTCAGTATGCTTCAATGTCAGGTCAGTATCAAGGTGTTCAGTATGCTTCAATGTCAGTTCAGTATCAAGGTGTTCAGTATGATTTAATGTTATGTCAGTATCAAGGTGTTCAGTATTCTTCAATGTCATGTCAGTATCAAGGTGTTCAGTCTGCTTCAGTGCCAGGTCAGTATCAAGGTGTTCAGTATGCTTCAATGTCAGGTCAGTATCAAGGTGTTCAGTATTATTTAATGTTATGTCAGTATCAAGGTGTTCAGTATGCTTCAATGTCAGCTCAGTATCAAGGTGTTCAGTCTGCTTCAATGTCATGTCAGTATCAAGGTGGTCTGTATGATTTAATGTTATGACAGTATCAAGGTGTTCAGTATGCTTCAATGTCAGGTCAGTATCCAGGTGTTCAATCTGCTTCAATGTCAGGTCAGTATCAAGGTGTTCAGTATGCTTCAATGTCAGTTCAGTATCAAGGTGTTCAGTATGATTTATTGTTGTGTCAGTATCAAGGTGTTCAGTATGCTTCAATGTCAGTTCAGTATCAAGGTGTTCAGTATGATTTATTGTTGTGTCAGTATCAAGGTGTTCAGTATGCTTCAATGTCAGGTCAGTATCAAGATGTTCAGTATGCTTCAATGTCAGGTCAGTATCAAGGTGTTCAGTATGCTTCAATGTCAGTTCAGAATCAAGGTGTTCAGTCTGCTTCAATGCCAGTTCAGTATCAAGGTGTTCAGTATGATTTAATGTTATGTCAGTATTATGGTGTACAGTATGCTTCAATGTTATGTCAGTATTATGGTGATCAGTATGATTTAATGTTATGTCAGTATCAAGGAGTTTAGTATGCTTCAATGTCAGTTCAGTATCAAGGTGTTCAGTCTGCTTCAATGTCAGTTCAGTATCAAGGTGTTCAGTATGCTTCAGTGCCTGGTCAGTATCAAGGTGTTCAGTATGCTTCAATGTCAGGTCAGTATCAAGGTGTTCAGTATGCTTCAATGTCAGTTCAGAATCAAGGTGTTCAGTATGATTTAATGTTATGACAGTATCAAGGTGTTCAGTATGCTTCAATGTCAGCTCAGTATCAAGGTGTTCAGTCTGCTTCAATGTCAGGTCAGTATCAAGGTGTTCTGTATGATTTAATGTTATGACAGTATCAAGGTGTTCAGTATGCTTCAATGTCAG